GACTCTTACTAGACAAAATTATACCTCTAATATATAGTAAGAAATATAGGTAATACGTAATCTTAGAACTATATAGGAAGTATACTTAACCTAAATTAAGTAACTTTAAACTTCTAGCAGCTTATATTACTATATATACAAGACTCCTTATTTTAGAGTATAACTATCTTAAATTTATTATAGCTTAAGGAGAAAAGAATTAGAAGCAGTAGGTTTATTTAGTATATAACTTATAATAGTATATAGAAGATACTTATAAATTTAATAACCTTATAGTAGAGTAGTTTATAATAATATAAAATACTATATTAGAGTACTAGCTATTTGTATCTAAGTATTTTAATAGTAGGTAGCTAATTAAATAGGTATTATAGATAATATAAATAAACTACAAGAAAGCTACTACTTAAGTAGAAAGAGGTAGGTTTACTAGGACCTATATAAGATTTATTATACTAATATAAAAGACTAGTAGAAGAGAAAGAAGACTAAATTATATATAGGTTACCTAACCTATATAAAGAAGTCCTAGGTCCTCTAATTAATTATTAACTAAGGGCGTCTAAGGCTAGTAAATTATTATATTATATTAGTCTATATAAGAGGTTACTCTATATTTAATATTTTACTAAAGTTTACTAAGAGAGGTACAAAGAATATATTAAGGTAGAGATATAAGATAGAATAGCTATAGTTAGAGGGTAAAGTAACTTACTAAACTTAAGTTAACTAATAGTACTACTTATATATAAGTAAACTAAGAAAGTATACTCTCTAATATTAAGCTCTATTTCTAGATATATAGGGCTATTCTTAACTTCTTTAGTATATAAGAATAAGCCTAGGGCTAAACCTTATAATAGGTTTAAGGACTTAGTACTTCTATACAGTATAACCTTATACTCTAATAAAGATATATATCCTAGTAGTTATAGCTTATATAATCTAAATAGGTAGCTAATATAGAAATACCTATCCTAATTAAAGAGGTAGTAGTTAAATACTATTACTAGTTATCTTCTAGTAGAGTAAAGAGTTTCTTATAGAACTACTATATCTACTACCTAGTCTAGTATAGATAAGCTAAATAATGTTAAATCTTTACTTACGTACCTTTCTAGTATAGAATTATAAAAGTTATAAGATTATTAATATTTAGCCTAAAATACCTAGCTTAGCAGAGACGCTAGATTACTATAGGTACTTAAAGATAACTACTCTATAGATAAAGCAGATACTTAACTAGGTTCTTAACTACTATATAGAGTACCTAACTATATATTAGTAAATGCTAATAAGTATATTAGTAATATATATAAAGCTTAGTAGATCTCTAATATAAAAGATATCTTCTTATAAAATATATAGCTAAAGGTTAGAACTTTATAGAATATATTAGTATTAGAGATATTCTACTTTTTAGTAATAGATTTTCTAATAACTATATAATATATAGTAATCTTAAAGAAATTTAAATTATTATTCTAAAAAAGGTAATTATAACTAAATATAAAGTTATAATAGACCTTACGTAATATATATAATATATATAGCTAGGCTAATAGTTAGTTTAATATACGTAAAGACTTTAGTAGTAATAATATAAAAGAAATCTCTAAGCTATCTAATATTAGATCTAGTAGTAAAAAATATATAATATTATTAAAAGCTATATTATCTTAAAATAATTACCTTATACCTACTAACCTAGGTAATATAAGAAAGAATACTGTAGGTAATAAGAATAACTAAAATAATAGTAATATATTTAAGACTAGTATAAATAATTTAGATATATATAATAAATACACTAGGTCTTTATAGGCTTAATATAGTATCTTAAAAGACAGAGCTTTAGCTTAATAGCTAATAGATAGGATATATATCTAAGATTTTCTTTATATTTGCTTAGAGTATACGTAAGTAACTAGTTAATATTATTATAGATTTTCTAGTTTAGCTAAAAGCTTCCTTAATTAAGTACTTTAACTTAAAGTATAAAAAAGTACTTTAAAGGACTTTATTAATTACTTCTATACTAGTATACAGATTTTCTTATATAGGTAAAGGCTTATTTAATTAAGAATCTTAATAAAAAGTATAGAAAAGTACTTTAGAAATTCTTACTTATTACTCTAGTAGTAACTATACTAGTAGTCTAGTCTAATATTGCAAAAGACTATATACTCTAGGCTATTAAAAAGGCTAGCTTTAACCTATTAAAATTTCCTTAACTTAAAGATATTATTATTATAATAGAACTAAAGTTTACTATATTATATACTTTAAGACTTTACGTAGTATAGTATAAGATACCTAGTTTATAATTAATAATAGATTTATTATTTATAATATAGGTAGTAGAATAGTAGATCTTATCTTATATAAAGTTATAAGACTTTAGCCTACTACTATTAAGAAGGCTATAGTAGAAAGTAGTAATAAGTATAGTAGTAGTTTTATTAATTACGTATTTTTTATAGCTACTAGAATATTAGCTAGGTACTATAGACTTTATAAGATTTACTAGCGTATATACTAAAGATATTCTTTATATATTATTATTTAAAAAGGTAGCTAGAATACTATAAGACTTTACTTTAAAGGTTAAGAGTAGCTTCTTAGAAAAAGGTATACTATATAGCCTTATATAATACTATATATAAATTTATACTATACTTAGTAGAATATAGTACTAGCTCTATAACTATAGCTACTATAGTAGTAATTATAGTAACTATTATAGGTAAACTAGGCAGTATAGACTTAATAGTTTTAGGTTATTAAAGTAATAAGCTAGTAACTATAGTAGTAGGCGTATATATAGCTATAAGTATAAGTAGTACTACTACTATATCTACTATAGCTATAGTAATAGCCTTAAGCCTAGTATACTTATCTATATTTATATTAATATAACGCAGTACTAGCAGCTAACGCATATTAACGCTACTTAGAACTAAGATATTATAAATATATCTAATTACTTAAGATAATATACTTTACTTATATAAAGTATTATCTATAAAGTTCTATAATAAAGAAGCCTATAATAGTAATAAATTAAGTAGTATAGATATTTAATTTTTTACTATATACTTTTTTATTAATAGTAAGTAATCTATATTATTTATAATAGAGTTATAAGTATAATTATTTTTATTTAGATCTAGTGTTTTTTAAGTAGTTTAACTACTTTATAGCTTACTTTCTCCTAAACTCTCTATTAGGCTTAAACTTAGTAACTAGTATTATAGAATTAATATAGTAGTCTACTAGATACCCTATATAAGATAATTATATATAACTATATTAACTCCTACTATAGTTAGTATATAGAGTTTCTACCTCTTTTAGAAATTATATAGGATATTACTATTATTAGTACTTAGTATTTAAGATTATAGTATAAAGCTAATAAAGTAGATCTTATTTAATATAAAGTATTAATTATTAAATTATTTCTAAGTATATTATTTACTATTATAAACCTCTAGGTATTTATAAATAGTTAAGTTTATTAGTATCTTTTATATTAAAGTAGGAGCTATAATAATAGGTATAACTTATATAATAGCCTAAGTAAATACTACTTACTAACTACTATTATATAGGGTTTTTCTTCTTATAACCTTAATAAATACTATTTAAATAGGTAGATTTAAGTAGCTAATATCTTTAGAATTATAAGTATTTTTACTATAACTAAATATTACTACAGCTTAGCCTACGTATATATAACTTTACTCTTATATACCTTTACCTACTTTAACTTATTTATAGTTATTTATTAACTCTAACCTTTTAATCTTTTTAACTTAGAAATAGCTATCTTTAATTATATTCTCTATTATCTATAGTCTTTATATTCTATCTAAATAGTAATTAATTAGTTACTACCTACCTTTATACCTATACTAGTTCTAATTACCTTCTTACTTATAATAATAGGTATAGAGACTTCTACTACTACCTCTTATATAATAGTATTTACTATATATCTTACCTACTTTACTTTATAAGCTAACCTTAATCTAACCTTCTACTTTTAGTATTAATAATACTAATTACAGTTTATAAGATAACTATATTAATAGCTACTAATAAGTTTCCTTTAACTATATATTTATATATAATAATAATAGAGTAGGTTCTTTTATAGTTCTAAATAGAGTAAGCTTAGATATAGCTATACTACTAATACTTAGTACTTTTAGAACTATAGCCTACTTTTAATAGTAACTTTAGGCTATTTTAGTTAGAACTTACTTTTTTCTATTTAATATATACTACTATAATATCTTTACTTTAGGTATCTTACGTAGTCTAAATAGCGTCTTAGCTATAAATAATTAATATTATATTATTATAGATCTTTAGACTAGTACTAAGTATAGCTATATAGTCTTTATAATATTTCTTTTATATTATATTAGTATAGTAGGTTACTTAAGTAATAATACTACTACTTAGTACTTACTTAACTATAGTAGAAACCTAATTATTATACTTTTTACTACTAAGTATAACTCTAATAGTATTATTTTCTAGCCTAGTATATTTAGGTTAAGTAAGGGCTTCTTTATTATTAACTAGTATAAAGTTATATTTTAAGCTACTTATAAATAGTTTACTTATAGTAATATAGCCTTAATATAGTATTTAATCTATTAAGTACTATACTAGAATATATAATTTAGTTAAGGCTTAGAAAGAAGAGGTAGTAATTATATAATAATTATAAATAAAAGTCTATTTTTACTTATTTTACTTTTTTCTCTTTATAAAGATTTCTTATACAGTAGTAATTTAAAAGTAATAAAATATATAAATCTTTTAATATTAGTATAAATTACTTAGAATATTAGGTAAATTTAGCTAGATATAGTGTAAAAGTATAAATTTACCCTTATACGCAGTATAATTTTACCTAACCTAGTGTATTTTACACTAACGCAGTACCTCAGTGTATCCTTTTGAGGTGCAACAAATCATTGCATCAGGAGTGGCTGCCTTGTCTGCCGGCATCTGCATTGGTGGTTATAGGTGCTTCCTTGGCCATGGCGATGTTTGCTGTAGTGGGGCTCCTGATCATGGCGATGTTTGTTGTTATCAAAGCACCGATCGTATTTTTCATGGGGAAAGGGTATTCGTCGTCTTCAGAGCAGGAGGAGACGGAGTCACAGGAGGCACAGCCGGTGCATGATGTTGTTGGAGATAGCCTGCCTGCTTATGAGGAGGTCTGTGGAAAGCAAGGAACGGAAGACGAGGGAGATAGTTTGAGCGGTGACACTGTGGTCTAAGGGAGGAGTTTACTTCTCATGTTGAGTTTGTAGGACTACAGCGTTCTCTTGGGCAAGTGCAAGGGCTGGGAGTAAGCTACAGGGAATTGTTGCAACATCGGAATAACCATATGCAAAGTTGGGTTGGAAAATACATAAGCTCGTTCATGCCATTGTAAACTATCTAGAAATGAAAGATTGTCTTCTCCCACGCTCTTGAAACTTCCCTTGCCATGTACCCGGCCGAAACATTTAAAAAACCAAAATTTAAGTAATATCATGTTGCAGGACACCATTCATGCTGCCGCCTTCTTCGTACTTCTCAGCAAATGCAAACTTGCTTCAACTCACCACACCCCCAGCAAAGATCGCACTGATATACAGTCTCCTCCGCCATGTTGGAACTCACATGCTTGTCGTTAACAATGTCCTTCTTCTCCTCCTTCTCGCCCCCCTCGCCCTGCATATCTTTAGCCAGATCGAAAGCATCCTGGAGACTGATCCTCTCGTCGAGGCCCTTGTCATGCACCCACTTCAACACCTTCTTCATGTTGTTGTCAGCGATATCCTTCTCAGGACCGGAAACGTGCTTGCTGTCGATCGGGATACGAAGCTCTTGGTCGCCGGACTTGAGGATCGCATGGTAGGTGACAGTGTAGGTCATGGCTTCCTCCTGTTTCTGGTTGGCAGTGACGGACCATGGATATCGCTTGAAGTTTTCGGTTTTATTGTTCTTCGAATTGAATTCTTGTGGAACACAATCCAATAAGTCCTGCACGCCAGAATCCAATGCATGGTTATTGTTGTCCCAGCTATCCCATTCATCACCAGAATTTGGGGCTCCAGCTCTCCACATTGAAACTTCTGGTTCAGGAGTAGGAACTGTCCAACCACAAGAAGGGTCACTCTCTAGAACAGCTTTAGCAGATTTGATCTGAGCCTCGACTTCCTGATCTGCACTCTTCTTGGCGGGAGTGGTCTTTGTGTTCGGTTTCCAATCCTCGGGCTTGATATCCGAGAAACGTTGTTTGCAAACCGTGCCAGGCATACCCAACTCTTCTCCAATCTTGGCCCAACTAATCTCTGGATTCTCGGTCTTCCGGTTCATGAGAGTTTGGTCCATCTCTTCATTCCAGTTCTTGATCAGATCCCAACAGCCAGACACGTCTTGGTGCTCGACGATAACGGTAAAAGCCTTCGCAGCATCATCCGCGCGTTCGGGAGTATCGAGCATGCACTCCATAACAGCATCCCTGAGGATCTCAAAGTCCACTGAGCTGTACGCCTGCAGATCAAGAGTTATGAAGGCTTTCTTCAGAGGTGATTCGGCGTCGGCACATGCATCTTGCGGGTTGAATTCTGACAGAGTTTCGGACTGTCCCTCTTCGATGAAAACGGTCTCCCAGATTCCAGTCTTCTCTTGATGTTTGCGAATGGTCGTGTAGGAATCTACGAGTGCCACATTGAGACCAGGTGTATGGTTCAGAAGTGCAGTCAATTGCCCATCCAAGAACTCTTGCTCCACAGAACTGTACTCCTCAAGACCGAGAGTTTCGAAAGCAAGTCTTAGTGCAGACGCAGTGTCAGCGGCATCGTCTTGGGCATCCGGGTCATCGATCACACTGTTCTTGTCGTTGGAAGAGGGGCAGGCAAATGCGAGAGCAACTCCATCGTCGGTTGAATTCTCAGGCTCATGGTCGCCTTGAGCGGTGGCAGTGGCATAGCTGTCCTGACCGGCACAGTTGAGGCACGAACCACCACAGCCCAAAGTGACATCACAGACATGGATCTTTCCATGTTGGTATTCTTCCATCATGCGTAGATCCAGATCACTTCCACCTTTTGAACCTGAATTGATCACATCGCTTGCGACATCGTCATCTCGAGGATCAAAGTGTTTCGGATCGACAAAGCTCCAGACAGGCTGGTCGTCCCGGTTTTTCAGCTCTGGATATGTATCAACCTCATCGAAGTTGCTGTACTCGTACACACTTGATTCTCCATCAGGGTACAATGGCAGAATGTCATTGTCATCGTCAAAATTTGCGGCTGTGGCCGTAGTCCCAGGAAGATCTGTGTTTGTTGAGATTATCGAACCACTCTCGTCGAGTTCAATAATGGTCGAGGGGCTCCTGGCGACTTTCTTTCGCTGTCCGTTGCGTATGCTTGCTCGAATTTCTTCGGATGTCGAAACCTTCGGGGACTGGGGCTGTAAGATCTCGGCAGTGGTTGGGATACTAGAGCGCTTGCTTGCTTTCGCGACCTTCGTGGGAGGGAGGGCTTCCTGCGTGGGCTTGAGGGAGTCGAAGGTATTGTAGTCATCGTCTCTGAATTTGGTACCAGAGGAGTTGTCGAGTGTACTGAACTGCGAGCTAGGATCGCCCAAATGCCAGTTGGAGGCGGTATTCGCTTCAGCGGTGTTCTTGTTCTGAGCAGTGTTCTTTTCTATGAGTTCCCTCCAGGTCTGACGTATGGACCGCTTCGTGTTACGCGTGTGGCCGAAGTCCTCGACGGCGACTGGCTTGACTTCGTTCGTGGCGGATATCTTGATTCGAGTCGGGGAGGAGCTTGCATTCAGCCTGTGCCGAACTTCAGACATTTTCCGGTCGAAGAGTAGCGGCTGCACGGGACGAACCTTTTCGCCGTGCTTGAGTGAATAGAACTTGAGGTCGTAGGCTTTGTCCATTGCGGGCATTATCTTGGATGCTGGCAGCGGGAGAGTATGAGATGCAGCGCCGTACCTCTCTTCCCGAACGCGTGGCTTGCCTGCGATCTTGACCTTCACCCGACCGTTCGCATGTTCTTGCTTCAAGTAGTCAGCGATAGGTAATCTATTCTGAACTGCGTAAGAACGTGGAACAACGCTCTGTTGCATGACCAGCTGTATTTCCTTGACAATGTCGTTAAGTTCATGGTTTCGAAGGTACAATGTGTTCGAGAAGTCGGCGTCTGAGGGCGAAATGGCTCGAATCGAATCCATACACACGTCCATGACGCGTTCGAGCTTGCGCACATAAGTTGTGGCGTCGTCACAGGAAACTTGAACGAAGTCCTGGGGAGGGGCTTTATGGTTGACCTCGATATCCATGTCGGCACCGCGAATATTGTGTTTGTCGTCTTTGGGAGTGGTGGGCTCGTCAGGGCCAGGCGGGGTGAAGACGAGCTCGGACGCGTCACTGATGGAGTCGGAGTCGTATGAAGACTCACACGGAGTGCTGTCTGATTCAGCGACTTGGTGGGTTGACATGCTTGAGAGCAGATCGTGAATGTGGTTGAAAGAGAAAGATTAAGAGTGAGGAAAGATCGAAAGAGTAAGAGTTGAGAGATGTGGTGGAGGAGAGAAGTAGCTGAAGACAAGCGGAAATGTTAATTATAAGCTGTTGGGCCAGTGAAGCGGTCAAAGCGCGGCGAAGTGGTAAAGGTAAGGGAAACAGCACGGGTCCAGAGCTATTGACCGTCTTGTTTTGATATCACGCAACTCAAATTACGCGGAGTAAAGGTGAAGAGAACGCCTGCCCCGTCCGAAAGAAAACCTGGGTGAGCCCGATGTGATCCTGTGCCCTCCCTTGAAGTTCAACTCCAGCATAAAACGCATCAATACCACAATTTCAACCTCAGCTCAACCGAGCAATGACCTTCTCTCACCCGCAGATCCATTTTGTCCCCTCCCTCCAGCGCCCCACGCATGCCATGACCTCTCCGCCGTTCCCCCATCGACCTCCTCAACCTCAAACTCTCGCTCATCTCCGTCAAGGCGCCTCCACCATCTGCCCCAGCTCTCACCCTTTCTGACCCAGATCTCTTCCGTTCCGTCCTCGTGAATCCTCCAACCGCCGTTGTTGAATGCTATCCTGACCCACTTGAGCAACTGGACCAGACCGTACAAAACCAGAAGTCCGAAGATTGTCGCAAAGATGGTGACGATGGCTGTCAGGAACGTGATCGTGGAAACCTGGCATCCCAGACCTGAAGTACGAAGCTCGAAGCGTTCAGATCCAAGAGCGCAGATGTTCTTGTGTCGGATGGGGGTGAGTAGGGGAAATGCGCGGGACAGTCGATCCTTGGGAAGAGGTAGGCATGTTCCAGACTGCGATGGTAAGACAAGAACCAATGAGTGCTACTTCACTTCGAGAAGGACGACATCCGCCCCAAAAGAATATGGGCATCAGAGCCTTGAGCTTGGATTCTCTGAACACGACTTGCACTGAGGCAGCGGGAGCGGACGCGATAAGAGGGTTTCGAAGAAACGTTCACTTACGATAGCACACCATCCACAATGACCCTTACTCCGATGGCAATCACCGCAATCGTTATAACCCCAGCATTTTACCAGCCGTTCCCAGTCGTCTGTCGGGGCGTCCTGATATCGCTCGTGCAAAAGCTCGGTCACGTTCAGCAACGCGACGTCTGCAGACCTCAGGGACGGAGAGGGGCATTTGGAAGCCATTGAGATTGTTGATTCAATAGGAATTAGTAGATTTGAGAACTCGAATGCGTGGGGTGAGGCAGAGCTCAAAGCTGCGAGATGGGCTGACCCAGACAGGTTTAGAGGGTTAAGAGGTCATGATGAGGTCACTACGACGGAAGCAGGATAGCGCTATCAGCCACGCGCCTTGACACAATCACACGAGCTCAGAGAACAGGAAGCATGGAATAAACTCCTTATGATAGTGGAAGGTGGATATATACAACAGCAAGTATATACGAAGTTAAATATGTACAACGAAATCCCTCTTTGTCTCGGTAAACTCTTTCATCCGAACTCTACAAAGGAAAACACACGTCCAAGCCTGTCAACTCGGTTTGTCCGTCTACTTCAAGGCGAGGATCTTGACTGCAGCGTGCTCGGCGACCGTGACAATGTATGATGTAGGGTTGGTGGTGATATGGCTAGAGATAGTCAGTTACTACTGCGAGTCAAAGGATGTAGCATAACGACTTACGCAGGGAATATCGAGGCGTCGACGACATGGATGTTGTCTGTGCCGTAGACCTTCGTGTTGAGGTCAACGACAGACGTGCCGCCAGTGAGACCACTGTCCGATCCGATCTTAGCCGTTCCAATCCAATGGTTTGCACGACGAGCAGAGGGAGTCTTGGGAAGCTGTAAAGAAGTTAGCAAGATACACTCAAGTATGGTACTGAAAATAACATACGCTAGCAACGTATTGCTCCACCGTTGTACCCGCAGGCGGGACCTGTACTTCAATCTTTGGGTTCTTCTGAATAGCTTTAAGCATGCTCTTTATGCCAGTGATGACGGCATCGGTATCCGCCTGGTTCTTGAGATAAGGCGAGTCGCTGACGAACATATTCAGGGCACCGTTGATAGAAAGAGCTCCGCGTGAGGTCGAGCCACGACCAAGGTACTGACTGATGGTGAGATGGTGAGTATCGTTCGCGCCAGGCCCTTCAACACGTGAAGTCCATTGGATCGCGCGGTCAATCCCGTCGGTACCCGGAATGACCTCCCATGCAAGGGGACCAATGTTGGGGGCGGACGAGGCAAGAATACCAGAGCGGTTGTCGAGATAGGCGGCCTTGTCGGCAGCGATGGGTGAGTTCCATGCCGCATAGAAGTCGTAGAAAGAGATGTTCTGGTGCTTGATAACGAGATCGGTGTTGACGTGATCGAGTAGATTAGATCCGACTGGAAGGTCGATCCACTCTGTCGAGTTGATGAAGGTGGATCCGTCCTGAGCGCTGTTCTTGACAATGTCAAGCTGCGCCTTAGGTCCGATACCACTTCGGAAGAGGAGCTTGGGAGTACCGAAAGTGCCGGCAGAGGAAATGACACGACCGCCAGTGTTGAGTTTCACAGTGCCGCAATAACCGCCCGCACCACCGTCGAGCTCGACACCAGTAGCTTTACCACCAGTGCGAACAATACGTCGAACAGCGGTGTTCGTGAAGAGTTTGAAGTTCTTCCTTGCGAGCGCGGTGACAAGATATGTACCAAGAGGGCCCTGTCTCTGTCCATTCTCATACATGAACGGGGTATGAGAGTACACTCGGTTCTTCTCGTTGGGCTTGTCGTTGGCAGTCAACTCTTTCCAGCCATCTGCACCGAGGGCGCCGGAGAGAACATCGTAGCCCTCCTGTTTGTAGCGTTTGCCATCCTTTGAAGGTGTGTCTGTGCCAGCAATGCGCTTGAAGACCCGATCGATGGCACCACTGACATCGCCAGCCTTCCATCCGTTGGGGAAGCTGGTATCCCAATCAACATTGACTGGTTTCCACCACAGCGCAGCGTTGACAGCACTGCCTCCGCCCAAGACACATCCGGCCATTTGGTCGATATCAGTACAAGCGACACCGGCGGAATCGACCCATATCTGATTGCAGAGACCTGGGACGTCGAATCGAGTAAGACCAGTTCCTTTGAGCCAAGCAGGGCCCATGGTGCCACCAAATCGTCCCAGTGATGGCGGACCTTTCTCGATCAAGAGAACACTCTTGCCCGATTCTGACAACTTATCAGCGAGAGGGATACCGCCGGCACCGCCACCAACAACGATGTAGTCGTACGATCCGGTAGGAGCAGCCTGGCCAGTGCAGGTGGACGGCTTTGCTGACGTCGGTGTAGCAGTAGAGACGCCCGAAGACGTTGGTGTAGCGCCACCGCCGGCCAGCTTGACCCAGTCGGTGTACTTCGCATTCCTAGCTCCTGCTACTGGAATACCGAAGATTGATTGTCCATTGTCGTGCTGCACCCAAGTGGTGCCTGGGACGTCTTTGTGCTGCGCCCAACTGATGACCTGAGTGTCTGCCGGGATCTGCGAACCTTCCGCACCATTTTGGTTCCAGATCCAACACCATTGGCAGCGGTACACTAACTCAAAGTTTGTATCGTTGATCTGGTGCGAGATTTGAGTGATGGTAGCATTGCCAGTGTAGTCTTCGGGGGCCACATAACCGCTGCGAAATGTGAGCAAATTGCATTGATGCATCACATTCGACGACCTTACGTTGCGAACGCGAATTTAGTTTTGATAGCGGTACCATCTGGCCATGCTACAAGCAGTAGGGAGTTGGCCATGCCGGCCTTGTGAGCGATGCCGGACCATCCTTTCTTGTTTGGAGTGGAACCGCGCTACGAAAAGTTAGTCGTCTTTCACTCAAGGTTTGTCGGGGCTACTTACAATGTATCCAATGTACTCATCGTTGCTCCCGGTGGGCGCACCTGGCAAAGCGTAGCCCCATTCAAAGCCACCGGTAGTCTGGGCTTCGGGGATGACCTGTCGCCTGGATAGGTCAGCAAAAGCCCATCCAGCATATATTGAAAGGCTTACAAAAACTCGATGCCGGAAGAATGAGTAAATTTGTCCTGCGCGAGAACAATAGGGGTGACTAGACTTGTCAGTGCCTTCTCAATTGGTCTTGAAGGAGAAACTGGACTCACAAAGAGTGGAAAGCAGCGCAGCCGCATTGATGAAAGAAATGCTCTTCATCTTGGAGAATAGAACGAACCGAATTGATCAGATGAACCAGCAAAGATCGAACAGCCACAACCCTCTACACAACCTGGCGCTATGGTGCACTATATATATTCTCATTTTATACAGGGCTTTCGCCAGGCGCTCCATAGTGGATTTGAGCTTGCCCGATTAGCCAAGCGAACATAAACAACCCTCCCATCTCGTGGCCATGGGTATTGCAAGGACGCTACGCCCATGCACTGGTACCTGCACCATTCTGAAATGCATCCTTGTGGCAATAGACCAAGTGAGAGGGCCTGCTGATCAAAAACAATCTTCCTACTGGACAATACCGACGGAGACTACATACGCGAGATTCGAGGCGCGTATAACCAGTACATCAGGGATGGAAACATATGGTGGTTGATATAGATTGATGAGCATTGATGAAGGACGGATTGCAAGGCCGTTAAGCCTAGGTTGCCAAGCGGAGTTATGCTTGATCTGGCCAATTATTCTCGCTTACATCACTTGAACGGGAATGGCCCGAGTTTGGTGTAGGAACACCTCCCCAGTTTCCGCGCTTCTCAAACATCTCTCCTGCGCCACGGTATCCCTCTTCAATCTCCACGTCCGTCTGAAAACGGTGTCGCGCGTTCCTGGCTTCTAGCCCGCTCCACCCCGCGTTCCCAGGAAGCGCTCGCCTCCCGCTAAATGACATGTTTCTAAAGGCTTGTTTTAAGGCCCACTGAAGGATCAAGTCCAGTGCACGTTATGGTAGTAGTTCTGTGTAGAGCAACCACTAACGTTGATCAAAGTTCGTCCTACAGCATATTGCAAGCCTCGGTCTTGTTGTTCAGTTATCTTCAGCTAAAGGTTTGTCGACAACACATCTATGACCCACTATGGACCACCTTTCTATAGCACCACCATACTCTGGTATTCTTTGAGATGTATGCTCAGCTCCACTTTTCGTACTCTAAGCAGGTACACTTCCATGCATTTGCCGAGGCTGCCCGTAAGGTATGTATCGTCAGTTCGTAGAGGTGGTGAATGGGTTATACTTTAGGAGGATACGACTGTAAATCGGGACATCAATATCCTCCAATCTCGTACCCCGTTTCATCTCTTTTCTATCATCAATTTTAGTGTTTCGCACCTCGCCTCCACATCTCCCAGGCCCCAGATCCTCTTGCTTTCGTTTTTTTTCATTTCTCTTAATCTGTCTACAAGTCTTCATATCATCCCATTACTTTCTTTTTACCCCAGGGTAGTCGAGACTACTCGGTTTTGGGCTCGTCGTGCATCCATATTGCTCGAGTAGACGATTAATCAATACACAATCACGCGGCCTCGTCAAACATTCAACAGTGTGCCGATCACTCTCGAACCCTCCCAATGTGCTTCGGCCGGCTCCGTGCCCAAAGTGGAGCTCAGTAGAATCGAATATGGAATATGTGGATTTGTAGAGCTATTTATGAACGCGTAGCAGCGTGAAATTAGTCGACAATCTCAAGCGGTTCTAGTCACTATGAAGTACACTGTCGTCGCATCCACTCTGCTTGCCAGTGCCTCGGCACACACTATCTTCACCCAGCTTTATGTTAATGGAGTGGGCCAGGGCCAAACAAAGGGCATTCGTGTGCCGGTACGCTGTCTTTGGTAGACTCTAACTATGGTTCGAACCACTTACTAACTCAATATGTAGACGTTCGATGGGTTCGTAGTGCACAGCAGCAATCTGCCACAGCCTTTCAATTACATTGACTCACAATACCAGGCCAATCACCGACGTGACGTCCAACGACGTGATCTGCAATGGAGGGCAAGCACAACCCACTCTCCTCACTGGCACAAACTGACAGGACTGCAGCCCCAACCCGCTGAACACCCCTCTCCCCAAAGACATCATCAACGTCAAAGCCGGCGACAAGCTCACAACAGAATGGCACCACACGCTCACCTCGACCCCAGAGACCGACTCCTCCGACCCCATTGACTCCAGCCACCTAGGCCCAATAATGATCTACCTCGCCAAAGTAGACAGTGCGTTGACCACCACCGTGACAGGTTTGAAATGTATGTCTCCCCCAAGCAAACCATCCACACCCACATCCACATCCATATCCATATCCACTCCTTCTGACTAACGCACAAACAGGGTTCAAAGTCTACGAAGACGGCCTAGACAGCAGCGGCGTATGGGCCGTAACCCGCCTAATCAACAACAAAGGAAAAATGACCTTCACACTCCCGTCTTGCATTGCGAATGGACAGTACGTCTTTTTAATACCCTTCTATCCATTGCTGTCCTTACTCCCCTCACCCCTCTTCCCCCCCTCTCCCCCCTAGTACACCCCCCCTAACAACCACGCAGATACCTCCTCCGCGCGGAGCTCATCGCGCTGCACGCCGCCAGCAGCTACCCCGGCGCACAACTGTACATGGAATGCGCGCAGATCAACGTGACGGGTGGAGGTTCCGCGGCGCCGGCGACGGTCAGTTTTCCTGGTGCGTATAAGGGCAGCGACCCCGGGATCACGTTTCAGCTGTATTATCCCAAGCCGACGAGTTATACGATTCCCGGGCCGAGACCGCTTGTCTGTTAGGTGGTGGGTGGGGGTAAGGAGGGGGTGGGGCTTGGGTTTGGGGGAGGGAGGGGGTGCTGTGTTTGTTTTGTTTTGTTCGTATATTGATGATAGTTGATACATGCGCAATGAAGTAACGATGAACGAAGATTGATATTCAGGACTTGAGTGATTTGCATGGTAAGCGTATACCCTCACCGGATAATGAACAGATATAATCTGGCACCCACCTCTCAGTTCCAACATATCCTCACCCGTGATATCAACAAATTCCCACAAAAGCAACAACATACCCAGACCCAAACACCAAACACCAACCCCACAAACCCATCATCCCCTACTTTACTTTACTTAACACCCAACCCCCCAAACACGCGATCCAGTTCCTCCCCCTCCTGCGTATCCCGCCCATTCCCACTCCCAGTCCCACTCCCAGCTACACCCTCCTCCTCACCCCCCATCTTCTCCCCCTCCTCCTCCCTCCCCCCCACAGCCTCCGGCCTTATCAAATGCACCCCACTATCCAACCACCCCGGCGCGACCCTCCTCCTCTCCACCAGTTCCTCCCTGCCCCTCCTCTCCACCCACTCCCCCCACACCCTCGCGGCCCCATCCCGTATCTCCGCTAGATGTTTCTGCAGCGCGACGCAAGAATGCAGAATCTGGTCTGGCGTGGCGGTTGTGCCTGTTGAGGAGACGACGTATGCGGGTGTTTGGTTTTGGTCCTGGGTTTGGCTTTGCGGGGGCTGCAGGATAGAGGGCGGGAGTGTCGATGGGAGGGTTTTGTAGGAGTAGGGGAGGGGCACGGCGGTGGGGAGCGAGATGAAGGGGGATACTGCGAGGGGGACTTGGGAGAGGAGGGGGTGGGGGTCTGGGGGGTGGGTGTTAGCTTTTGTTTTGCTTGGTTGGGTTGTGGCGCTGGGATGGCATAGGGCATGTGGTGGGAGCGCTGGAGCTGGAACTGCAATCACAACTGGGGGACTCACGGTCGTCGTGCATTGTGGAGGTAGAGTGGTTTACGTGAATCTCGGGTTCGTCAGGTTGCTGGGTGAAGTGACAAGCTCAAGTGGGGTCAGAAGGAGCGAGATGATGCAGGTCCCAACGCTCATGCTCGGGCACTACCGAACGAGTGGGGCAAGCCACCCAGGCAATCTCACGACAACAACTACGAATCTGCAAGGATGCAACAGCTAGATTATTCTACCAAGTCACAAAGCCGGGCGCCTTGGTCTGCCAAGAACACTTCTCCTACACAGCCAGGAACACACCCACTGATCCTATCCCATCCCATCCCATCCCATCGCGACGCGACATTACAAACATACAAACAAAGGAGGGGAATCTAGAAGAAATACTGTCGCGAGCCACCACCCCATGATCGTCGGTGCCACTCCTATCCATGTCCAAGCAAAACTTAACGACGGCCGTGCGAGCGGTTGATGCTGCCCTGGAGCGAGTCGACTTCGGTCTCGAGACGCTTGATCTCGGCGTGGCTGGCCTCGAGGTCCTTGTTGAGGCGGTCGCGCTCCGCAATGAGCTTCTGCTCCCACTGCCTGAATCGCTGTTCCTCGACCTTGACCTGCTCCGTGAAGCGCTTGCGGAGAGCCTCCTCCTCCTCCTTGAACTTGGGGTTGTCCAGCTTTCTTGGGCGGGCCTCGCCAAACTTCCGCGTCTCCATCTGCATTGCGCGGTATGCTTCGTAGTGGTTCTCCTCGGTGGTGTGGATCAGGTCGAGCATGTGGGTGCGGATGAGGATGGCGCGAAGCTTCTTAAAGTCGCAGTGCTCCTCGTTCTCGACCTCGGCAACACCCCAGGCGTACTGTCGGCCCTTGACGGTGCGGCCGTCGTTGGTCTGCACGTCCTTCTCGGATCCTATCACGGAGAAGGGCATGGCGTCGATCAGGCTGCGGGCGTGCTGCATGGCGGCCGCGTCGTCGTCCTCCAGCGGGGGCGTGTAGATCTTGATGCCCTGAGCATCAATGACTTGGCGCACCTGCGAGCAGTTAGCATGTGCAGTGGGTTTCTGGGGTGTTCACATACGCGCTGCTTGAACTTGTTGAGGTCGGTGGGGCTGAGCGTGTCTGCCTTGGCGACGACGGGGATCAGGTTGACGCGGGTGCAGAGCTTCTTCATGACCTCAATGTCCAGGGGCTTCAGTGTGTGGCCGGTGGGACGGATGAAGTACAGGCAGGCGTGGACCCGGAGATCGATCTTATCGGTACGGCGCGGTTGCTGCTCCTGCAACATGTACGACTCGTGCTGGTCGTCGAGGAACTCGATGATGGGCTGCCACGAGTCGCGGTTGTTGACGTAGTCGCCGAAGCCGGGGGTGTCGATGACGGTCAGGCGGACTGGACGTGTTAGCACCTCGCATGGCCCTGGACGACGGACTCGGCCTACCCTTGAAGAACTTCTCCTCGAGCTCGGCCTTTGTGATTTCAATCTCGACCGTCTTGTCCATCTGCTTGTGGTGTCGTCGCTTGTGGTCGGCATAGTTCTTGATGGTGGTGGAGAAGAGCGTGTTGATGAAGGTCGTCTTTCCGAGGCCAGACTCGCCGGCAACCTGGGTGCGTGTTAGGGTGTGTACGTATGGTTCAGCGGGAATGGTGTGCGTACCATGATGGTGAAGGCTGCACCGCGCTTGGCGACAATCTTGTGCCTGTGCTACGTTAGGACTGGGAGGTGCGTGGCTGCTCGCGAGATGTACCTCTGGTTGGGCAGCTACAGTGACAGGTCAGCATGAGGGACATAGATGTGTGGAAGGGCGTGTACGCACATTGGCAATGCCAATTGGGGTCGCTGACTCGGCCATGGTGCGGTGCGAGGGCGGGCTGCTGGTCAAGTAGGGGTCTGCGGCGATGGTCAGTTCAGCTCAGGTACCTCCGCGACAGGCTTCGCTGGGTTGTTCAGGGCGACTGACGTGGATTCGGCGTCGAGTGACTATGGCGGCAGCAACAGTGCAGGAGAGCGGCGCTGGTGTGGGCGGTGCAAAGTGTCGAGAGTGTCGGGGAGTGGGAGCGTGGTGTTGGCGGACAATTTGGCGTCCCCTTTCTGCACAAGGCCCGTTCGGCAGGCACACCGACCCTGACGGGGAAACCGCGCTAATGCACCTCGTTCGCGGGCCCGAGCTCCAGTCGCCAGAAAAAGTTCACGATGCGACGCTCCCGCAGCCCCGCCACAATGTCTCGATAGCACACTGGCTGCAATCGTGCAAAATGAAGACCGACTTCCAGGTGAGAATAGCGGGTGGTGCGGATATGCTACGCGACTAACAATGCGCAGTTTTCCAACCTGCTCGGCACCGTCTACAGCAGAGGGAACCTACTCTTCACTCCAGATGGCACATGTCTGCTGTCTCCGGTGGGCAACCGCGTCACCGTCTTCGACCTCGTCAAGTATGCAAGCCAACTCGGCAGCCGCGTCTCGTGCTGATTGGCCCGCAGTTCCAAATCATACACGCTCCCGTTTGCGCACCGCCGAAACATCGCCCGCCTGGCACTGAACCCTCGAGGCAACCTGCTGCTCTCCGTCGACGAAGACGGCCGCGCCATCCTCACAAACGTCCCCCGCCGAATCGTCCTCTACCACTTCTCCCTCCGCGGCGAGGTCACGGCACTCGCCTTCTCGCCCTCAGGCCGACACTTCGCAGCAGCCGTCGGCCGCCAGATTGAAGTATGGCACACGCCATCCACACCAGACGTAGCAGAAGGCGACCTGGAGTTCGCGCCTTTTGTGCGACACCGGATATACACGGGCCACTATGACATCGTCCAGAGCCTCGAATGGTCCGCCGACTCGCGATTCTTCCTCAGCGCATCCAAAGATCTCACCGCGCGCATATGGAGCATGGAGCAAGAGGAGGGCTTCGTGCACACCACACTGAGCGGACACAGGCAGGCCATAATGGGCGCCTGGTTTTCGAAAGACCAGGAGACGATATACACAGTCAGCAAAGACGGCGCCCTCTTTGTGTGGAAATACATGCTGCGCTACGATGCGCCCGAGGATGCCGACGAGGACAACGACGATAATCTGCAGTGGGGGATCGCAGAACGCCACTTCTTCATGCAGAACGGCGCACACGTCACATGCGCCGGCTTCCATCCAGAGTCCAAACTGCTCGTCACTGGCTTCTCCAACGGCATTTTCTTCATCCACGAGTTGCCCGACTTTGCGCAAATACAGAGCCTCAGCATATCGCAAAACGACATCGACTACGTTGCAATCAACAAGACTGGCGAGTGGCTCGCGTTCGGTGCCTCGAAACTTGGGCAGCTACTCGTCTGGGAGTGGCAATCCGAATCATACATCCTGAAGCAACAGGGGCACTTCGATTCCATGAACTCCATCGCATACTCTCCCGAAGGCCAGCGCATTATAACAGCTGCCGACGACGGAAAGATCAAAGTGTGGGACGTCAATACCGGCTTCTGCGTCGTCACATTCACAGAGCACATGAGTGGGGTGACGGCTTGCGAGTTTGCAAAGAGAGGGAACGTCCTTTTCACAGCCAGTCTGGACGGCTCAGTAAGAGCATGGGATCTGATCAGATATCGCAACTTCCGCACTTTCACCGCACCTTCAAGGCTATCCTTTTCTTCTCTGGCAGTCGATCCAAGCGGTGAGGTGGTATGCGCAGGATCCGTCGACTCTTTCGACATCCACATCTGGTCCGTTCAGACTGGCCAATTACTCGATCGATTATCCGGCCACGAAGGGCCTGTGTCGTCACTAGCCTTCTCCCCAGACGCTGGAACACTGGTCAGTGGGAGTTGGGATAAAACCGTCCGTGTCTGGAGTATCTTCGCCCGCACACAGACGAGCGAGCCACTGCAACTCATGGCCGACGTTCTCAGCGTCGCCTTCCGCCCCGACTCGAAGCAAATAGCAGTCACAACACTCGACGGCCAACTGACCTTCTGGTCTGTGTCCGACGCCGCACAACAAAACGGCATCGATGCCCGGCGAGACGTCTCAGGCGGTCGCAAGATGTCTGATCGGCGAACAGCCGCCAACGTTGCAGGCACAAAAGCCTTTACAACAGTGAGATATAGCGCAGATGGTACTTGTGTTCTCGCAGGTGGCAACAGCAAGTACATCTGCCTGTATGATGCACAATCGGGTGTTCTTCTAAAGAAATATACCGTCTCCGTCAACCTCACCCTTGATGGCACACAAGAGTTTTTGAACAGCAAACTGCTCACCGATGCTGGGCCGCAGGGCCTCATCGACGACCAGGGCGAAGCCTCAGACCTCGAAGACCGACGCGATACCACACTTCCTGGCGCACAAAAGGGTGTCGGCGCACGACGAACACGACCGGAAGTCCGCGTCCCAGCGGTAGCATTCTCACCCACAGGACGCGCGTTCTGCGCTGCATCGACAGAGGGGCTGCTCATCTACTCGCTAGACAACACCTTCCAATTCGACCCCTTCGACCTCGACATCAGCGTCACACCCAGCACTACACTCGAAACCCTCGCACAGAAAGAATACCTAAAAGCTCTAGTAATGGCCTTCCGTCTTAACGAACGCACCCTCATCCGCCGCGTCTACGAGGCCACGCCCATCTCCGACATTCCGCTCGTCGTCAAAGATTTACCACCCGTATATCTCGGCCGTTTACTACGCTTCGTTGCCGTCCAGGCAGACGAGTCGCCGCATTTGGAATTCAACCTGGTGTGGATCGAAGCACTGCTGAGCAAGCACGGTCGATGGATGAAGGACAACAAGGCAGGGCTTGAGGCAGAGTTGAGGAGTGTGGAGAAGGCGGTTAGAAGGATTCAAGCCGAGCTGGCGCGGTTGGCCGATGAGAATGTTTACCGCATCGAATATCTACTTGCGCAGCCTGTAGAGAAGAAGGAAAAGCAGAGGTTGTTAGATTTTGGGGTCAAAGAGATAGGGAATGCAGATGTGGGGGATGATGAAGAGATGGAGGATGGAGAGGATGAGGGGGATTGGTTGGGATTCGATTAGATTGTGAGATGCAAAGCAACAACATTTACTGTACGATTGGGCATGGCTGATGGAAGTTAGACGTGCACTTCTTCATCTTGGTGGTGATAGGGAGTGTCTGCCGGCGTTATATGGGGGAGGTGTTTGTTCGTATTTCGACGTTGTAATTGTCTTGGAACAATCATGTACGTTTCCAGGAGAGGAAGTTGCAAATGAGTGACCAATACTCTGCACTTTCCTGTCTCGTCCGCTTCCGCTTTCTTTCTCTCACTCTACGATCTCTTTCGGCTATATGGTCTTTCTTCTCGCCTCGTCGCTACTGCCTGTTAACACCAACTCGAAGGGCATCCAGTACACAGGGAGCATGGAACTCAGCACTCCTTCCGACGATATCGAATACTCGCACCTATCCATTCCCTACGACGGCAACTGCAATGGCCAGTCCACTCGACAAAACCAAACACCCGTCATCATGTCTTCCAACCCAACCATCATCTTATTCCCATCTCATCACCAACGCTCATGTATCTTCAACACTCACTATAGCCTTACCAACATCCCTTAACCCACGCCCAACATGTTCAAAATCCGCGTCCGCACCCCATCCCCCGTGTCCCGCCTAGCCAGCCCATCCTCCCCAGACCAAGACTTCCCAACCCAAACCGGCTGCCGTCCAGACTGGACGCTCCCCTCAGACGTGGTCCTAGAAAACCACTTCCAGCCAAAGTTCATCGCCCTCCTGCGCGCCTCAACGTTCGACAGAACAGGGAAATGTTTCTGCGCCCTCGTAATCGCCACAGCAAACGACCTCCTCAGCACCGACCTCACAACCCGCTTCCCCACAAGCGTGAGGGACTTCTTCACCGTCCTACACGCCTTCTGCTCCTCGCCAGGCATCCACGCGTTCCTCCGCTCCTTCACAAGATACGACAACATGCAAGGCCATCTCGGCGCACACGCAGTGTACATCACGCAGTGGACGTTTGCGCGGTGGCTGCAGTCGTTTTCCGAGCAGTGCGTCGACCCGGAGCCACAACAAGCAAGGCACAACAGTCCAGAGGCCGCGGATCTGCCGCGCATACGCCCGTGGGAGCGCTTCAAGTACGCCGTTAGACATATACTCAACGACAAGCAGGGGCGGTTGTGGGTTGAGAGACTGTACAGGGAAGAGCACGGCAGGCCGCGCATTATGAGCGTGTATAAGACTGAGGATGGGACGTCGAGGCTCGATTCTGTCATCCAGCGCGGGTTGTCGCTCGCTGATCCAGGTGGGAAGAGGAGGTGGTCGGCGCGCTGGCGCGAGGCGCATCCGTCTGCTGCTGGGGGTGGGGGTGCGGATGCGGATGCGGATGCGCAGGGGAGTGTGCGGGATATCGTCGAGGCGTAGCTTGCTCGCGACGAGACGTCCGAGGGTGGTATGTTGGGTTGATTTCGCGTGTGGGTTGGTTGCTGACTTTGTGTGGGGGGTAGTCGGTCGTTCTACACTGCCGCTTCAATGATCACTGCTTTGGCTGGGTACGAGTATGACGACGGTTGTATCGAGTACGACGACGGTTATATCGACTACGACGACGGTTACATCGACTACGACGACGGTTACACCGAATACGACTACGATACTCACTCCCAGGAACAACACAACCCAGCCATCATCGACACCATCACCCCACGATTCAACTTCCAACTCTCACTCTCTATTCCATCGCGCACTCTGGTCTTGGACGCGTCTTATACATGAGATTCATAGCTGTTGTTTAGTCTTGGTAGATAGACTTCCGTAGCAGCGTATCTTCTCATCTGTGAATACACGTCTTCACGAGACTTCCTCGTCGTTTGAGTTGTGTGGGAGATGCATGTTCGCACTGCCCCTTTCCTTCAACACAGCCCTTTTGTAGATATCTGTCGTCAATATGCATATCCTTCACGCGAACCACAACCCACTCCCCCCTTTTCCCTTTCCCTCCGCACAGGAGAGGTGTGTGCAAACAGACCTCAGGATCTCAATCGCATTGAACCCTCCCCAAAAGTTTCCAGTCAGTCAGCCTAGCTACTGTACATCCACCTCATCATGCGCGTTAAATGGACGATTCAACTCCCACATAGTGCAAACCAGGGTAAGACTAAAGCAATCCAGTCTCTTCTTCGAGCGTTTCCCCTTCCATCTTTCCACGATGCGATATTAGGGCGTGAAGTCTTGATAGAAGGTTGATGCTTGGGTACGGGCGTGAGGTGGGAGGTAGCTGATCGTTAGGGAATCAGGGGCTGGCGGGGATGTGTGGGTTTTTGTGGCAGGATGGAGGTGTTTGGGCGCGCTTGTTGGGGGTGGGGGGGATTCGTTGGGTTTTCGTGTTGTAGGGGTTCTGTTTCTTGACGTGGGGAAGATGGAAGTAGATGGTGGTGTGGGTGGTGTGTGGATTAGCGGACTTTGGTCAGTGGTAGAAAACTTTAACAACTTGGGGGTGTTGGTTAGGATGACGGGAAACATATTTCAAAGAAGTTGATAGGGGTTCAGATGAAAGGTGTGTTGTTGAGAGTAGCAATGCAAGCGTTTATTCAGAAACACGATATAGGACTTCAAAACACCAGATTTTTACCGCTGCCGCACATTGGCATGCCTATGATGCGTGGGGCGAGGAACGACGTCGTCGACCAATGAGAACGCCGATAGATTCGCGCTTTTCCTCCTGAGAACTCGCAACGCACCGAAACCCATCAGTCTCATCACGATCAGAGCCGCATTGCGAGGCAGACGCGGTAGAACTCCTGACGCCGTTCATGTATTAGTCTTCTTGACATGGATATAAGAGGGGTATGTGGGAGGCAATCTACGATAGTGTGATATCGCTCGATGCTCCGTCTCCGTTTTGGTCCATCTTGACGTCCTCCCCTCCTGCTAAGACCTTCGTTTGTACGTAGCCGTCTGGTGGTCCAACGCCGGGTGTCACTGCCGCTACGTTGCCGTTTTCGTCGACAAATTCGAAGTTGTAGCGCGAGAGCAAGTGGGGGATGGCTGAGAGCTGTGGTCCGTAGCGTGCTGTGTTGTCGTATAGTTCGAATAGAGGGACGGCCAGGAGCTTCATGTTCTTCGGGACGCTGAGCACTTCTACAATGGTGTTAGTAAGTAGCCTTTTGGTGCGAGCTTTTCGGAACGTACTGCTGCGGGGAAGCTGGATGAAGTAGAGCTTCTTACACTCCTTCGGTCTGGTAACATGTGCAGGGATGAATGGGTACATGAATGTCTCGAAGTTCGGCCGCCACCATTGTGCGAGTGTGTCGCCGACTTGCCACTCGTCATTGACTCCCTCGCCTGTGAATTGTGTCCCAACTGGTGCAAGGCGCTCGTTCAGCCTCGCCTTGAAGCCCTCGATCTCGTCGTCTTCGGCACGGAGGTAGTCACCAGGACTGTGGAGTATCAGCGGTTGCCCAGAAACTCAAAGCGCACCACATACAGCTTGAAAAAAGCATTCGCAATCTGCAACATGAGAATGTGAGGGTGGTTGTGCTCATGGCAGACCAGGATGCCCTCACACGTCCGGCGCATCCCATGTTCTTGGTAGTGTTCCTCCAACCGCTTTAGACGCGCCAAAACTGACGGATCTTCTTCTGGCTGACCATCTTTGGTGCCAAATGTGTAGTTGCTGAGAGGGTAAAGGCGAATGGTCTTGGGTTGGTTCGCATTGAAGTCCTTGGGTAGGATGGGGCTAGCAAGATATTAGTGATTATTAAGGTAAACATGTGGGGTAGAACTCACGGATAGGAGCTTTGTGAAGCTTGCTGTGTTATAGTCGACATCGCGTCTTGCTTGTAGCTGTAAGGTGTGAAAGTACACTGTCGCGACTGTCGCGCAAGCGGTCGCGGAGTCGCGACAGGGATCATTCGCGCTAGTACTCACGTGTGATGCACGGACTCCACTCTGGTTGATTGGTCCTAGAACATCCTTTGTCCGGTGGAGATATTCATCGACTCGAACGTGCATTCAGAGTCTATTATCGATTTCATACTCACAAAAAAGACTGGGACAACCTACTTTTAGCTGACGCGAGTATTATGGAAAAGACTGTGCTGATCACCGGTGGTGAGCTCGCTTCCCACTGTCCACCCATCACCGGCTGACTATGCAGTGAAGCCAGTGGTCTTCTCGGTCGACAGGTGCAGAAGCAATTCTTTCTGGATGGCTGGAGGTCTATCGGAACCGGACTTACTCGGATCAACCCTCCGGAAGTTATCAAACTCGATATCTTGGATCCGAAAGAGATCGAGCAAGTGCTGGACGAAGTGAAGCCAAACGTCGTTGTACACTGTGCAGCTAACCGTTTCCCGGACTCATGCACAGCAAATCCAGAGGCGGCCAAGAAGTTGAATGTGGATTCAAGTAGAGCTCTAGCAGAGGCGACAACAGCACGAGGAATCTTTCTTATCTACATATCGACTGACTATGTCTTTTCGGGTCGTCCTGGAGAAGCTCCTTACAAGACGACTTCGACACCCGCCCCGCCCAATACGTAAGTTCACCAATGATGTTAAATGTCAAGTCTCACTTGTTTTGTATATTTGATCTCTCTCAGAATCATCTGAAAACTTCCTAAAAGGATAAGTTGCTAGTTCGTTGTCAGGTTAGATCTTGATGTTTTTGGGTAACCCACTAATCAGACATATACTCCAGATACGGCCAGACTAAACTTGATGGAGAGAGGGCTGTCCTTGATGTAGCCAGCAAAGCAAGTGCCAGGAACAAAGTCGTCGTATTACGAGTCCCAATCCTGTATGGGTCGTGCAACGAGCCGAAGGAAAGTGCAGTCAATATGCTCATGTCACAGCTTTGGGCGGCTCAGAAAGAAGGACAGCCAAAGATCAAGGTCGACGACTATGCACTTCGGTTTCCTACAAACACACATGATGTTGGCAGGGTCTGCCGCGATATCTCACAATTGTACCTTGACTCTGCAAACGAGTAAGTCACTTTCAGGTTTTGGGTTGAGTAATTTTCTATTATTTACCACCCCCATCTTTCAAATAATCTCCCAACTCATAGAGTTTTGACGACGGCTGATGTAAAAGTCGCAACTCCTTCCCACGTCTGCTAACCATGTCCTGTAGAAGTCGTGATCTACCAACCCTCCTCCAATTTAGTTCCGAAGACCAAATGACAAAATGGCAGATTTGCCAGACTTTTGCCGACATCATGTGTCTTCCGCTCGATGGGATGGAGCCCTCTAGACCGGAGGAAGAGCCTAAAGACGGAACCGTTCGGCCCTTCGATTGTCACCTTGACACTAGCGCGTTGAGGGAACTGGGGATTGACGTGAGAACTACCGATTTCAAAACCTGGTGGTGAGTATCCTTCAACTCATACAGTTAGTCCAGTGTACTTATGCAACCTGTAGGAGACGCGAACTTGGTGCGTTCAAGTGATTGTGATATTAGGAAGGCGAAACGATTGTCGCACGCGGCGGACTCGGTCCGACAGATCTGAAATATAACGATGCCACTAAATGTCAAACGCAGCTCCTTCCAAGCAAACTTAGTAGAACCTTGACGGATGTGTTACGTTCAGAAACCGAATTGCGCACCGTGCAGCCTGAACTCTCGATATGGACCCTGTCGTGCAAATCGGGCAGGACGTGGCAACACTACCATCTCTCTACAGCGCTGGATTGGGCGCGACAACAAATAGTACTATTTCTAGCCTCTGTCCGTACTACATGAATCGTGACTTCTTCTTGGGAGTGGAGTTTGTCGCTAAACGTATGGACGAGAGGCTGCTCCATGCGGCGCGGTTCGGCGCGTAGCTGCATAGGCGGCGGTTACTCTCCGCCAACACCTCGTTAAGTACATGCGCGTTGTACCATCATGCTGTGCAAGCCGGGCACACTTCGACCATCTACCGTTTTTTCTTACTGTTTTTGTCGTTTTCTTTTTTGGACTAATCACATTCGTTGATCGAATTTTTTTGAAGAATGGCTCACAACGCGCCGGCCGCGCCCTCAACCAGCGAGGGAGTATCCAAGGGCAATTCAAGATTATCCATATTCGCACTGAACGAAAACAATACCGGTATTTTACTTTCTTGACACTATCGGTAACAATCAAACTAATTATCCCATAGCTTCTAAACAATGGAAACCACCAGCGCTTCGAACTCCAGTCCTTGTTATCGCCATCCTCATATGCTGGTCATTAATTGCCGTGCTTCAAATATTTCTCACAAAGAGTTTGCGAGATGGAGGTATCATATTTGCACCAAGGGTCAGCGACCTACCCTTAAGCCAATCATTTGTATATCTGTACTTCCCCACTATCGTGGCCGTGCTGTTTAGCATTTACTGGGCATGGATCGATTTGGAGACAAAAAGGATGGAGCCATTTTATCAGCTGAGTAAAGAGAATGGGGCTCTGGGGCGAGACTCTCTTCTATTACAATATCCTTTCGACTTTCTCCCTCTCGTTCCGATCAAAGCGCTCAGAGATCGGTGAGTAGAGACACTCGAATAACAATTCTTTGAGTTGGCCGCATGCTGATTAGTGACAGGCACTGGCCTGTGTTCTGGGCATCTTTCGCTGTCCTCCTTGTTACTTGGGGCATAGTCCCTACGCAGGCTGGTATATTCTCTACGAAAATAATCACACGGACCACTACCTTGCCTTTCGCTCGCTCGACATCATTTGTTCCTGCTAGCAAACAAACCTCCACCTTGCCACTTACGTATGCGCAATCAACTTATGCCATTGCGACCCTAAATGAAACACTTACTCAGTACATGGCCCGTAACTACACACTCGCACCATTCCAACCTGCCTCAAAGGGGTTGAATGATATGCCATCTTATGGAAACTGGACCGCGCCAACAACTATGTATAGCGTACAGTTGTATTGTCAGGTAGCAAGTCAAGGCTCAAGCTTATACGGTGGTTTTTACGCCAATAGCACTAATGGCTGTGCTTTCAGCATGGCCCTTACCGGGAATCTGACGAAAGGTACGTTATGGTCAAGATTTATGTAAATTTCTGCTGTGCTCAAGTGGCAGTCATCATTAAGTTAAGATTGCCAAAACGGCAGCTGAGCCATGTGATTTTTCCTATGACTCGGTCGACTTCCATTGATGATTGACTAACAGACTCTTCAAATTAGGTGCCAACAACGCAAATGACCCGGAAGTTCTTGAGAATAAAGAATATACCGCTATGTATGTTGGTTATTGGTTAGTCACACGCTCGTCGGAATTGAAGCCTGGATTGAACTGATCTCTTCGACACAGGAACACCCTGGGCTTTGCAGACTACTCGTTGGATTACGCTTGTCCGGCTGAGAGTAATCACACTTTCTACGCAGCGTTCCAGCGTAACAAGGCCAGAGTCGAAGACCCACCTAACAACGTCACAGCCATATTCTGCTGGCCCACATACTACCAGCAGCGCGTCAACGCGACGGTCAGTGCGGTTGGCCTAAATGTCCTGGATGTTAACCCTGTCGGCGAAAAGCAGCCGCTCCAAGACGGTTTGTTCAACACGACTTGGTTCGAGTCACTTATGAGTAGTGGCTCACTCTCAAGCGAAGTTAGGGGCGACGTGTTACCGAGCAAAGCTACTCCGAAGTACTTAGAGACTATTGCGGGGACCAATTTGAGCTTGAGCACTGGCCCTCAGGGCGGTGGTATTGTCCAACCTATGGTCGGCATGGCGGTCGCTGTTGGTAACCGGCCATTGGCCGATTACCTTGACTGGCAGGTGCTCAGTAAGTCATATGCGGATGCCTACAGACTGATGTTCGCTCGTGCGATGCGAGAAATCTTGGACGAGAACTATGCCACGGTCGAAAACGTTACCGGCCAGGTCCAAGCCACGACCGAAGCAGTTGTTCTCGAACCTCTCTTCGTTTATATTGTTGAAGGTCTTTTGGGGGTTGTGTCGCTCGCCATTATGGCACTTATATATCTCTCACTAACAAGAACCAAGAACCTGCGTTCTAGCCCAAGCACTATCGCCAGTATCATGGGCCTGGTTGCTGACAACCAACCACTGCTATCTGATTTTCAGGACTTGGATTGTTGTACGACGGATGGAATGAAAGCTGTTCTAAGTCACAAAAGATATAAGCTTGTCGATGACGGCTCAAGAACTGGGTCAGTTTCCATATGTACCAGATGATGCAAATTCAGACATACTGACATTCCTTTGCAGCATCATCGAGTTAGATCAAGCACCCGACAGTGATAATGAGTCCCAGGTGCCAACGATTCTGAGCCAGCGTCGAGACACTCTTTCCGATATTGCGAAGCCCGTGAGACCTGTGGAGTTCAGCTTATGGGTGGCATTCCCCGTTGTAAGTCTGTTCATTGGGCTGGCTGTGCTTCTTGTCACGGTGTTTGTCAAGGCTCGGTTACAGGGTATGTAAAGCGTGCATGTGGAAAGAGTTCTGCGCCACAGTTACTGACACGGTAGTAGGACTCCCGCTTCCTTCTTCAAGTTCAATTGTGGAAAACATTATCGAAAACTACATTCCGACGGTCATAGCCACGCTTATCGAGCCCATTTGGGTATTGATTAACCGTCTGCTCTGTATGCTGCAGCCCATTGAGGAGCTCCGGGATTGCAATGCACGAGCTAAGAAGTCAATCGATTGTGACTATAGCTCTCTTCCTCCGCAGCTAGTCTTGTTTAAAGCACTGCGGTCGAGACATTTTGTCCTCGCTGCCGTGTGTACCATGGCCTTATTCGCAAACCTGCTCGCAGTTGCCTTTGCAGGTCTGTTCCAACAAGAAACGATTGATATGCGATACGCCACAGAGCTATATCTACCTTACCAGCTAAAGTTCGTCTCAATTAATGGGGATGTTGGACCAATAGCAGGCTCGGATTTCGGTTCCACTGAGTCTTCCGGTGCCTACCAGGGTGGTACTGGAGAAGATCAGTTCCTAATTGCGGAGTCTAACTACACCCAAGGAACGCCACTGCCAGCATGGACCGATGACAAGATGTTCTACATGCCATTTTTCACAGAGGGAACCAATGCTACAAATGGCAGTAACGTTGAGGCACAAACTCAGGCCTTTGGTGCAGAACTGGACTGCATTGAATTAGATGTAGGCACGAACTTCGAAGCCGCTTTGTTCGTTGAAGATGGTGGGGCACTCCCTAGTTTACGCCCATCCATCAATATCACCATCTCTAAGGATTCGAAAAACGTTCGATGCACCAATCATGCGTTTTTGGAGTTGCGCCAAGGCCCAATCCGGGAGACAGCAACATGTGTAACAGGTCCGAGTGCAGCAGAACTCACTATTTCCTTAGAGCCCCGAACGAATGCAACACAGGAAGAACGAGAAGCATGCATGGAATCTTTCGTTCTAGGCTGGATTCGTGATCCTCAACGCTCGTGCCCAGGAGACAAAGATATGAAATTTGACAAGCAGAACTCAATATGGATCCAATGCCGGCCACGTTGGATTACAGGAAATTCAACTATCCTTGTCAATGATGATGGACGATTGCAACGAAAAGCAGAAAATTCCGTGTTGGATGACAAGACGAAGGAGAACATATCACACGTATTCAGCAATGACCCCGTCAACTTGGCCGGTCAGTCAAATCGATACATGTTCAAAGGAGACAGTCCGGGCTGGCACAACGACAGTTTTGCCGATGATTTCATGAACTATTTCATCATCCGCAGTGGAAATAACAGTCTCGAAAGCAATCGCTTAGTCAACCCAAAGCAAGGCGTGCCAACATTCGGCGAAATCATAGATCCACTGAATAAAGCGTATTCAAACCTGTTTGCCATATGGTTGGGTACGAACAAAAACAAGCTGTTCGTAGCCTACGACAAGGAGAAATCGCCCGTGGAGAAAAGTTGGCGCATCGAGTCAGAACGACGCCTATTTGTCTCAACGCCTATGTTCGCCATCTCCGAGGGCATCCTCTGCATCTACGCAATCGTCGCTATCATAGTGTATATGCGGCGACCGGGCCAATATCTGCCGCGGCTTCCGACCTCGATAGCATCTATCATAGCATTATTCGCCGCCAGCACTGCTATTCAAGATATGAGAGATACCTCATACCTCGACAAGAAAGGGCGTGCCCGACATTTAGAGGATCTGGATTCGCGCTATGGATACGGAAGTTTTATTGGTTGGGGAGATGGGCGAGTTCATATTGGTGTTGAGAAATCTCCCTTTGTTAGAGTTCGATCGAAAACTACTTGGCTGGAAAAGCAGGTATCTTCATTTCGCAAGGGTTCCGCGGGAGGGGTTTAGTCGACGCGCTACTAAGTCTTTTGGGCCATAGTCAAGTTATCCGGCGACGACAGACCCGGCTTTTCTGTTGTAGAAGGAAGGTTTCATCTCATAGAAAGCGATGGACGAATGAATACCAACTCTAGAAAGCAGACTAGTATGCGAAGCACTGTGGCTTGAATGAACAAGTGATCGTAGGCGGCTCGGGAAATGAAACCTGCCATCACCGAAACTCCAACAAGAGGCGGCCAGTGATATGACATGTGGAATGCTTCTCGGCTTCAAGACAAAAGTGGAAAGGAAATGAACATTGTGATGGTCTCCTTCATGACTCAACCACTATGTGGAAAGAATATAGAAGTCCAACACACGTGCTGGAAATGAAGGTGGTTCTGAGAGTACATGAAGAGGCTCGGAAGTGGATGAGATTAGAGGAGAGAAAACTATGTTTTTATGTCATACCTTGCTCTGGGATACGGTGGTTTGGCGTTTCAGGCCTATCTTTAAGCCATGAACTACAACAATAAATGCTCGACGTAGTAGTGTGGAAGTAACTCTATTTGTGGTATTAGGTTTAGTGTGATCTCGGGGTCCTGAATGTTCCCAGTGTTGTTACATCCTGTCGACGGATGTCGCTCAGGACATCGTTTGACACTTCAGCGATTCCATGTCTTACTTCGCGCCAGCCACTCTTTCATAGCTGACGACTTGCCGACGTGCGTCAGCGGACTTTTACGCCAGGAACAGCAAACAAGCATTCGAGGCCTGCATCTCCACAGGATCTGCTGTAAGGTGGAGAAGCGACCATCGGTCAGATGAGTGATTTATCAAACAGGGGAATTTTGCAAAGAGCGGCAGTTGCCGGCCAATCATTCACCAAAGTCGTCGTCTTTGACAACGCGGCGATTTGATCGCGGGCTGATCTGGGTCACCAACCAGCTGGGAGCCGCTAGCACGTCGACGACAGCCACAGCCTCTTGATGCTTGCATCCGTACCGCCTGTGCAACATCCACCTCTCACCGATATCGCGCTACCGTGCAGACAAAGCTGGCACTGCACAGCCACATTCGTGTCACTGCACTGCTTCCTACGCACATGGCGTAAATGACGATACGCAAATGGGAGAGAGAAACGTGGGTCATCAAAAGAAGGAGCTCCCAGAACAGACTTCATGCGTGGGTGGAGGGGTGCCCGGCCGACAGGACACATGCCTGACATCCACCGGGCTTGCGTATGTACCTATGGATTCCAACCTACCATATCTTCACCACGTCTGCCACCCTCGTCAGCAGAATCCCCACTTGCGCCTGTGTCACACTACAGCGGCAACACGGCCAACGTCACAAATAACATGGCGACGGCGTGAAATGGTTTGTCGGTCGACAGCGAGACGGTCTGCGCTGAGATGACGAGTCTGGCGAATAGGAGCGTGCGCAAGGACTGGTGCTAAGGTTTCAAGCTTGACGGAGGCGATCGCCACTCGACACCAACCCATTTTGGGCCTGGCTGTCGATAGGAGAGGCTCCTGGGCCCCTGCAGGGTCGCAGTAGACGGTCTGACTTAACGTCAAACACGCAGACGGCCGAGGACGACGAAGCCCCTCCGCTCTTTTGTTTCAAAAACAATTCCCACCCAAAGTTCCGTTAGCCAATCACTGCCTGATTGTGCCTATCCAGCCTGACAGTTGCACTACTTATCCCGTTTTCAAGTCCAAACACTAAGCCATGGTGGGCGATCAAGCCGGACCACCATGTATTCTGATCATGACCAGTCATGGGTTTTGGTGGTACCAGCTCCTGGTTCCTTGCAGTGGTCTGCATACCGCCACACATTGCTCAGGGAGTCGATAGAGTTATATATCTTGGTATCCCGCATATGGTTTGTTTCTCATCATACGCTCACCACAGCACACTTTCCAAGCTTTCTTCTTTATTCCTATTTCGCTTTTCAGTATTTTGCCTGTGGCAGATATCACACTCCTTCCAATCGCTGTGCATTGATACTATCTCGAAAACTTGCTGAATTTGATCGCAAATCTTCTTGGTATATCAATTTTCTTGGTAAGTTCTAAATTTCTGTCGTTTGAGACTGTGCGAGTAAAGGTTCGTCGTGGGGAACATGGCTCAATTTCCATGCAATGGCTGTCTCATGAACGTACTATCATATGGTTCATGCACAGGATCAGCGCATCTCATCTCCATGCAAATATCCAACCTCCTATTCACAAGTCAAGATGAGCATGATGCTAACTTTGAGCAAGACCAGCACGACCCAGCAGTTTTCAGATACCCACAATCGTTCTATCGTTTAGCCGGTCTAACGATATCCCAAACACCTGATACCCAAATCCACCACACTTTCTCAACAACCAAGATGTTTTCCCAAGCTGCTGCTCTCCTGGCGTTCATTGCCACTGCTTCCGCACACATGACCATCTTAAATCCTGTTCCATTCGGCAACTCCACACTCAACAGCTCCCCGTTAGAGCTCGCCGACTTTCCCTGCAAGCAACGCTCTGGCGTCTACGATATCACCGAGATGAACCAATGGAACGCGGGAGAGACTCAGACGATAAGCTTCAGGGGATCTGCTGTCCACGGCGGTGGCTCATGCCAATTCTCCATTACTACGGATGCAGAGCCAACCTTGCAGTCCCAGTGGAAAGTCATTGAGAGCGTTATTGGTGGCTGCCCTTCAAACGTCTCTGGAAATCTGCCCACGAACGAAGACGGACGTCTCGCAGCAACCTTCCCGGTCACTATGCCTTCAACCATTCCTGACGGTCGGTACACTTTTGCTTGGACTTGGCTCAACAAGGTCGGTAACCGAGAATTTTACATGAACTGCGCACCAATCCAGGTTGGAAGCTCTGATTCTGCATCTACTGCCAGCGCTGCTTCTGCTCTCTCAGCATTTCCAGATATGTTTGTTGCCAACATTCCCGCCACCTCATGCAGCACCAGCGAGAACCAAGACTTCAACTACCCCAATCCTGGTCAGAACGTTATCGAGGGCGTTGGTGCTGCTCTTGGTGATACTCTTACAGGCGCTGGATGCACTGCAATGACCGCGATGGGTGCTGGAAGTGGTGAGATTGGCACTCCTTCTCAAGGTAGTTCCTCGCAGGCTCAGTCCAGCGATGCGTCTGTCGCCACATCTGCGGCTGTTGCCTCATCCGCGCCTATTGCTTCATCCGCGCCTGATGCTTCATCTGCTGCTGTTGCTTCATCTGCGCCTGCCATGTCGGCCGTCCAATCGAACCCCGGCGTTTATGCCCCTGGTGCTGCTTCCTCCGCGCCCGCAACTCAACCCTCTTCCACGGCCGCTGCTCCTTCGGCTGTGTCCTCGGAAGCTCCATCATATCCCGTTGCTTCTTCTGCTCCTGCAACACAACCCTCCACCACCGCTGCCGCTGCTCAGCCTGTTGCTACTGAACAGCCAACATCCGATGGGGACTGCACGCCTTGCACTGATGACGGCGCTGTCGTCTGCATCGGCTCCAGCCAATTCGGTCTTTGCAACCGTGGCTGCGTTGTTGCTCAGGACCTTGCTGCTGGTATGTCTTGCACCAACGGCGTCGTTGTTGGCAGCGCTCGTAAGCGCAACGTCAACTTCCCCCGCGCCCATCTTCACCGTCGCCACGGCTCGCGCTTCTTCTAGATGCAACATCCCGTTGTGTTTGAGAAGTGCTTTGTTAAATATTGGGTTTGGTCGCGTTGGTATAACGCATCATTTGGAGTTGGGGGACGTATTGTATACCTGCGCATCGTCACGCATTTGGGATGGTCGGAAGAGTCGGGCCACGACTCGCAAGGGGTTCTCTTTTTCATGTTTCGTCTTTGGTTTTGCATGGGCGCCATCTGGGTGCTGCTTGGATTTTCTTTTTTCTTTCTCTCGTTCGTGACTGAGCCTTGATCGGTTCAGCATGTCCTGTTTTTTGTGAGGGAAAGCTCTTCGTGAGCTGAATAGTGTACATCCTGAAGTAAGAGTATACTGAAAATCAAACATTCATTGAATATAATGTTCACTTTGAGGATTGTTGAGACTGATGAGCTTTGATTCGATGGCTGTGCTGTAACGCCAATTCATGCTTGTACTATGTGACCCAAAGGTAAGCAATCGTCGGGCATCGCATGTAGTTGTCCATCCTCGACCTCTTGTGATCGTATCTGTCTGATAGAAACGAATTAAAGTCATCAGTCCATTGACTGTGCTGACCCCTTGTGATAACAGTTCGGCACAACATTATCGATTACTATGTTGCACTACCCCTCAAAAAGAAATCTAAATGAACGTTTCCGTCCCTCAAGTGGGATTGTGTTCAAATCTGAACCATTACAACAATATACTTTTCAACCCCTCACTGGGTTCAATTTTACACAGATTCCAAAAGTGCCTCTGCATATGACTAGAAGCGCGGCACATGTTTGTTGCAGCGTGTGACTCCGATATTGAGCTGAAGTCATACTCTCTACAATCTCATGATAAGAGCTTATTGGGGTCGTTTTCGAAAATAAAGTCAAGATGATGACCAAGAGGATCCCAGTTGCGGCTGCAGAAAACGTTACAATCAGCCCTATGGGGCTAAGGTTCGTATATTGAACCGATTCGCTGTTGTATTGGAAGATTGTCGATGCAAGCTTGGCATATTCACCATTGTGTCGTCCTTTTGCATGCTACTCTAGGCTGTGACGATGATAATGGTGGGAACAAAGTACTAACAATCGTGACGTGATAGTTTCCACCCCGATCCTTCTTGTATAGGTCATTGATACAATCATATCGAGCTCTAAGTGAGTGTGCGCAGAGTTGAATTTGTGGTAAAGGCTCAGAGAGCTTCCCCATGACGTTTCGTTGGCGGTTTCCTGTTCGGGCTAGTGTGGTCGGAGGGGAATGCCATACCAGCTTCACACACCCCATTCTCAGCCCTAAGCTCTCACCGCCAGCGCACAGTGAGCACGGGACAAAACAAGTGTCTCCTCCTCTCAAACGAAGGCGAGATATTATTTTGGGGCATCAGCAAGCACAGACTAGCCTGGGCACCATCCCATACCGTTACGCCGCCGCCACTCGCCCCCCTCTTCCCTCGACCATCTTTCCGCAGCCAGAACTCCAGCTAGTTACGTATCCTGCCCAAGATGGACAACAACCAGCAAGACCTCGAGTCTGCGAACTACATCGACAATGCAATGCGCGCCGTGCAGGAGAAGAAGCCGCTGCCTGAAATCGACTTTAGCCTGCACACCATGGAAGACGGCACACAAGTGAGCACTTTGGACCGCGTGTGCAAAGGTACGCTAGCCATACGCCCTCTCTCGTATCTTGCGATTGTTAGATGTATTCCTGCGACTACAGACCCAGAGAACTGTCCCGCTAACTCCGCTGCGACTGTCAGACGTTCAGGCACCCGCCTTCCTCCCACCGACCGACGACCAATTCTTTTCGCCCCAAGACCGGTCAAAGCCCAATATTCAATTCCTGAAGCAGCATTTCTACCGCGAAGGCCGCTTGACTGAGCAGCAGGCGCTATGGATCCTAAAGAAGGGCTCAGAGGTTCTCAGGGCGGAGCCCAACCTTCTGGAGATGGACGCACCGATCACAGTGTGCGGAGATGTACACGGACAGTACTACGACCTCATGAAGCTGTTCGAGGTCGGCGGCGACCCTGCAGAGACAAGATACCTGTTCCTGGGCGACTATGTTGATCGAGGTTACTTCAGCATAGAGGTGAGACGCCCGCAGACTGAGTCGCACGCAAATGCTGATTGTAACAGTGTGTCTTGTACCTATGGTCCTTGAAGATCTGGTACCCAAACACGCTCTGGCTGCTCCGCGGGAACCACGAATGCCGTCACTTGACTGACTATTTCACGTTCAAACTCGAATGCAAGCACAAGTACTCAGAGGCAGTTTATGAGGCCTGCATGGACTCGTTCTGCGCACTACCTTTGGCGGCGGTCATGAACAAACAGTTTTTGTGCATACACGGTGGATTGAGCCCTGAGCTCCACACACTAGACGATCTGAAGAGCGTATGTGAATATGGACACATTCGTGAGAGTGGTGCTGACTGCCCTAGATCGACCGTTTCCGCGAACCACCTACACATGGCCTGATGTGCGACATCCTGTGGGCCGACCCGCTTGAGGAGTTCGGACAAGAGAAGACCAACGATTTCTTCATTCACAACCACGTCCGCGGATGCTCGTACTTCTTCTCGTACCCCGCTGCATGCGCCTTCCTCGAGAAGAATAACCTGCTTTCAATCATCCGTGCTCACGAAGCCCAAGATGCCGGTTACCGAATGTATAGGAAGACTCGGACCACTGGATTCCCAAGTGTCATGACCATATTTAGTGCACCGAACTATCTTGACGTGTACAACAATAAGGCAGCTGTTTTGAAATACGAGAACAACGTCATGAACATTCGACAATTTAGTACGTATGCCAATGAATATAACCCTACTCCAACTAACCGACATAGACTGCACACCGCATCCTTACTGGTTGCCCAACTTCATGGATGTCTTCACCTGGTCTCTGCCCTTTGTTGGCGAAAAGAGTATGTTGCCCCGCTTGTATGCGCGTACCGTCATAGCCTAACTCTGTTAGTCACCGACATGCTTATCGCCATTCTCAATACCTGCTCCAAGGAAGAACTCGAGGAAGAGACCCCTAGCTCTTTGGCATCTGCACCTTCATCGCCACCGCTCTCCAGCCTGGATCCAGATTCGACAGAGTTCAAGCGACGTGCCATCAAGAACAAGATTCTGGCCATTGGTCGTCTCTCTCGCGTATTCCAAGTGCTACGTGAAGAGTCTGAACGGGTTACTGAACTGAAAACAGCATCTGGAGGTCGGCTCCCAGCGGGCACGCTCATGCTCGGTGCAGAGGGAATCAAGCAAGCGATCCACACGTTCGAAGATGCCCGTAAAGTTGATCTACAAAATGAGCGACTCCCGCCAAGTCACGAAGAGGTACGGAAGTCCCAGGAGGTCAGTCGAGAGCAGGCTCTCGAGAAGGCAACCAAAGAGGCAGACAACGATAAGGGACTGGCCAACGTCGCAAGGAGAATCAGCATGTGAGTAGCTTCTACATCCCTCTTACTAAGTGTGGTTATTGACGTGCGCAGGTCATCTGGATCCAGCAGCCGCAGCAAAAGGAGCTAGAAGCCCCTGATGCGTTCGAGATCATGGAGTGACGGTGAAAGTCAAATAAAGAAGTCAAACAACGTGTAGGGTTTTGGTTTCATGGGGTGAACGAATTGTGATGTGATCAGTATACCAGGCAAGCGTGTGCAGGCAGGGAGCCAGTAGGTGTGGCCTTACGACGAGCGGTACTAATTTGCTGGCCAAGTGCCGTGCCATGACTGAGCCGAGTTCTCATTGAATGAAATACCATTCCTAAGATGCACTCCGTTTCTTGTATACAGTGAGATGGATGAGGTAACTTAACCACGTGACGGCGGGCCGGGCCGAAGGTGATTCCGCAACATGAACTTTGGCAAGCCAGATGTCCATGGCAATGCACATCTCTCAGCCCGATGCCTCCATGGGTGGCCTCTGTGTCGCGATCAACGACTCTCCTCGCGGGACGAGTAACTGAACGCCTTCCGGTCGCCTTACGCTGTCGTCATGACGGCAAACCACGCTTCCCAAACCTCCGCGCCCGCTCCGCATCCACACAGGTCTCGCCCACAGCGATAAATCTGCGCCCCAACATCCCCTCCAGGAACCAGGAGCTGCACGATGCGCTCTCGGCGCTAAGCGGGGCTGCGGAGACTCATGTAAATATCAGCAGGCTGCAATTGGCGCTGCGGGGGCTGGAGGCGCAGGATGCCGTCACACGGGTCGCAGTGCTTGGATTGAACAGCCAAGTGAGCGCGCAGCGCCTTGCGCGACTGCTTCTGGCAGACCCGCTGGGTGCCGAGGAGTGGTGGGAGAAGGAATTGGACAAGCCTAGTAGCGGGGATGCGGGGGCCGTGCTATTGAAGTGAGCGCACACCAATTAGATACGTAAAAGTGAGCAGTAGCTGACGACCATGGTCAGGTTTGGAGAGGATTCCGACGCATATCCGCCCTCACCGTTGTACAAGGTCCTTTCCGTACCCTCGAGAACCCTGCGAACGCATAATTTGGAGGTGCTAGTGTCAACCCTAAACGTCAATGTTGCGAACATCGTCGGATCTTCGTCAGCAGAAAGCTCCAAGGAGTCGGTGCTGGTTCCGAAGCTGCAGGCCACTGCAACGAGAGGTCTGCCTGTGCCGTACCCGGTGCACAAGACGCTGTTACTAGGTGAAGGCCTTGACAGCGCAGTGGCTTTCGGAAGGTTCTCATCAGACAGCGCCGAAGATTTGGATGATGTGGTCAAGATGGCAATCGAGCTCCCAGCATCACTCAAAGAGCCCAACCCAGACATGGAGACTGCCACCTCAGCCATTAATGTCGAGCTCGGTACAGAAGCACTCGCTAGCTTCCGCGAATCGATACAGAACTCGGTCGCCTACGAACGAGGATGGTTCAGGAGTGGGCTAGCAGGACTGTCCAAGTGGTTCGCCCATGATATCCAAACCTCAGATCCCATCAAGCCTGCGATGAAGACGCTGATCTCTTCCATCGCCGACGACGTGGAAGCAAACATACTGAAAGAAGATACTGCACAACTACAAAAGCTTGCTTCTCCGCCTACAGAGATATCAGCGTCAATCATCGGCCATCTGGAGACTTGGGCCGAAAAGTCGCATACGGAACTGCGCGACCAGCTCGACGTAGCCTTCTCTGCACAAAACTGGCACAAACTGTCTTGGTGGAAACTCTTCTGGCGCGTCGACGATGTGACAATGCTAACCTCCGAGATCCTTGAGAGGAGATGGCTCGTCTCTGCAGAGAAGAACAGCATCTACCTTGCAGGCCGCATGAACCAAGCCGATTACCCAGAGGATCTGCAAGGTTCAGTCGTCAACACCGTTCCAGAAACCACCACATGGGAGACAGCGCCCACGATCGAGAACCCCCGCACAGATCTGAGCACTGAGGTGCGAAATCCACAACCTTGGCCTGAGGCTATATCCATGACGCGCACGGAGTTGATCGACACGACGATTCCACCTCTACAAGCTCTTGCTCAGCGCCTCGTCCTTGCCACGTTCTCAACAACATCTATCTCCTCCGCTCTATCGGCGCTCCTCTACGCTACGTCGTCGTTCACCCTCTTCGAAGCGAGTGCCGTCGCAGCCGTCGGTCTCACATTCTCCCTGCGACATATGCAGAGAACATGGGAGGGTGCGCGGGAGTCGTGGCAAGGAACCGTGAGAGAAGAAGGTAGGCTACAGTTGAAGAGCACGGAGGATCTGGTCAGGACGATTGTTCGGCACAAGGAGAATGAGATGCTGGGTCGTGGGGAAAGCGAGAGTGTGAAGGATCGGAGGGCGGCGAGGGAGGCTGTGAGCAAAGTTAGGGAGGCGCTGAAGAAAATGAATGATGGTTTGTAAGGATAGGTTATGGTAGCTGTATGATATTCTATGATGTCTTTGTGTTCGATGGCTTCTTTTTGGTCTTGTCTCGTGATGAGGTTCTTTCGTTTGTTCTGATTCTTCATTCAGTGCGAGGTTTAAGCAGGGGTTTCTACTTTTGCTGTTGCGAGTACTGGTGCTATTATCCCACTCTATTCCAGACTCTATGCAGAACTGTTGCCTGTGACACGCATACTTTGTCTCCTCCTTACCGAACGACACTCAACTTAGATAAGTACGCAATAGCCATATCCAAGCAAGACGCTGTTTTACTCGTCGTCGTACGTCTTCTTCTGTAATGGCTCCTCACTGTACTCGCTTGAAGCCATCCAGTTCTCGTTTTATTGTCTTATTCCACAGATGTTTCCACAACTTGCCATCCTCCATACATACGTTCTACAAACAGATCTCAACAGCTAATACAAATTTAGGTTCGAGTTGCGGTTGTTTCCAACATCCAGTGCGAGTAAGTCACAATGATGGAAACCTGCTAAAACCTCCGTCGGATACTACAACGTAGCGTATGTCATTTGTGCTAGGTCGATCTTGGTTCCAATTGTAAAGAGGATGTCTCTGCACCGATTGTTCCGAGTTGTCTGCTTGTTACTACTAAACTGGCGATGTCAAGTCTACGCATTCTGTCATGTAAGTTGGCGGGCACTATTTGGTGAAACCATCATTTCATTTAGTATACCGGTACCTGGCACTGAGGCACTGAGTCATTTGAATTGGTTATACAGCAAGCATTCTTTTGTTTTGTAGAAGAAAAATGCGGTTTGATAATCTCGTTTCGATTCATAGTAACAAGAGCAGGGCAATAACGTCACTATGTTTGATTATTGAACCTTTCTAATCCAAGTACATCTAACAAAGCACCTCTTGTTGCGTGGACTTGAGAGTATTCTTGAAGCGTAATAGTAACTCCGAGTATCATGTATCACTCTGCTGGGTAAAACACCTCACGATTCCAGCGAACTGTGCCCACCTAAGAAGCTTACACTGTCAGGCTTGCGCATCTCTAAATTCTGATACCCCCACCAAGGAAGTTTATTGTGTCGATGATGCTTTTCAATTCTCTGTAAGCATTGAAGCTTGTATCCTTCTAATCAAGTGGTGGGCACGGCGAATTCGCAGAAATGAAATGTGTTCTTGGAAGATGTGGTCAATATTCTCTATAGTAGAGAGAAGAGGGCACTATTCGATGTAATGAATCTTCATTCAGCGTAGGGATGTTTTTTGTTGGAGCTTGGAGATTGTAGAACAGCTTCTCTGGCCCACCATGAGCTTGTCCTGAATTGCTGTGCCACATCCTGGATCAGAAAGGTTCGGCGTTTAATGTTAGAACACAGAAAGTGGAATATCAAGACTAATGATGTGGTTAAGCTGGCGTTGTATTTAAAAGAATCAGTATCAACTCTAACACACTGAACCAAAAAAAAGAGCCCGCACCAACAAGGCTACCATCTTTAGCGCTATATAATTCTAATACCATGGAATGTCTTACATAAGATGTATCGTAGAGAATCACATATTGTTTTTTCAAGGGTAGCAAGAATCACACAATTCTTTCTGTCATTGCTATGCAAAACAGAGTTGAAGTTGTTCAAGTTCCCACGTTCTGGTTATTTGGTATGAGCTCTTTTTCGGTTCAGCTTGTCTGGAAATGTAAGGTTATGATGTATGCTTATGGATGACCACATCCTGTCCTCTGAAGCGGTGTATATAATTCAAGTTCCAGCACCAAACATCACCACACGAAGTCAAAAATCGACTATGATGAACATCGCCGCTCTAGAGATATGTGTGTCTTGACCCTAAACAGCATAAATAGGCGTGCGTAAGCGTGCAAGCCCGCGTAGCACAAAGAGTACGATCTTATATTTCATGTACCCACTAAACATGTGATTTTATCAAGCATGCAAGAATGAGATTGCTCGATTGTTGCAACAACTCTACGTTTTTCTTTTTTTCTCTCGAAAACGTAAACAAATTGTCGTATTGGAATCGTTTAAGCACGGTTGGAATGCAACTGGCTTACATCTGGACTTTTATGCTATTTATGAACTTGGGTCGTTTGCAGCTATGCCATTTTCAGTACCTATGCAATTCAGGAATGTAACACTCTCGCGGTAGCGCGAAACCAGGAACTAAGCTTGTCGTTTCAACAAGCAATGCCCTACTGCAGCGACCACAGCACATTACTGAAAAATCTGGGAAAGGAGTCGTAGACTTCCAAGACGCACGTAAAGCCTTTGCACATCTAAGAATTTACTAAAACTAAATAGTATTCTGCTAGTTCCGTGTCATATTAATCGGACCCGATCACTACACTATTTCCGGGTTTCGCGCTACCGCGAGCGAGAATGTAATACTAAGAAATCACGGAATGTGGTAATGCTAAGCCACTCGGTCGTTAAAGTTTCCCCAATCGGCTGCCTAGCCACCCGACAGATCGACTCTTGTGGCGCGCATGAGCCCGTGTTTTTCCAAGGCTCTAGGCCCGGCCCTTGTAGAGACGGATTCCATGCTTTGTACCAAATACATCTCTTCGGAGTTGCAGCCATGGGTTGAAAAAGCACATTGGCACATGTCACTATCTGCGGTAGATCGAAACCCCCAATTCGTTCCGTTCTTTAGAATGGAGGACAAGCCATGATGCCAATACTAGGCTTCTCGGCAACCCAAATGACAAATTAAGCGATCTTCAAATATTGATCATGGCAACGCGTATGTGCACATGTCTTCAGCAATCTGAGGAGGTTACGTAAAGGTAGCTCCATGCAATGCGGTCCCGCCAAATAGAACGTGCTCGGGGGTGGACGGGTCTGTCCCGCAATGTTGCAGGAGATTTACGTCGGTTGGAAGCATTGAGGCGTGGTTGTAGCCATGTCAGCACTTGTCAGCACTTGTCGAGGAAGCGTGTGAATGATGTCAAGTCGAGGTTGTACAGGCCAAATCGGCCCTCATAACCCCCGCTCTCGTTCTCGGATCCTCCGATCGTCGTATGCTTGATGCCATGAGGCACAAACATGCAGTTGGCTGACCGGAAGTGGCCTCCGTCGTTTGTGGGGCCTCGGAAGATTACATTCTGACAAGGCTGTCGCTGGTGAGTGGCGACGGGGGTTGGGATTACCAGGGCACAGCCCATCCACACAACTAGGGATGAGTGCAAGCCAGTTGTTGACGCCTTGCTAGTCGCAAGCCATGCAAAGCTCCGCGAATAGATGGAAAGACGAACAGAGACGACGGCTGAGCGTACTGGAGCCCTTACGCAAGTCGAAATCTCCGTGTAACGTTGATGTCGATGTCAATTTTCGACCATGCAGGGTAGGCATGCAAGTTGCAATGCCGAACCCTGGCCCCCAAGCTTGAATTGCCGAAGCAACGTCACTAGACCTATTCAAGCAGTATTTGAGCTCGCGACCATGGTTCCTAACCTTGCCAAAACCCAGGCCCATGCACTTGCCTCGTCTCGACGGATCCAAATCGCGGAACTCGGAAGCTCTTTTTCCAAACGGTAAAGCAACCGTTAGACTACCCGTCCCCTGCAAAAGCAAATTGCACAAGCACAAGCACAAGTACAAGCACAAGCATAAGCACAAGCACAAACATAAGCACACACAGTGATGATCACCGGCAAAATAAACGTTGACGCTTCAGTGCGAACACGAATCCGAGCAGCCACTTCAGCCGCCCCACATGTTCACACATTGAATTTGAAGCCGCGGAGTGAGAGAGAGCGTTGTAACTTGACCATCGCTATGGTCGATCACCTATGTCGACTGCGTTGTAGTGCCAACTTTTACCGAATCATTCTCCAAGGCTTGTCGATGCAGGGAAGGGCCGACTCAACAAGCAGTGATGGTATGAGCGGTGAGGTTTGGTGGCTAGATGGCTGGTATTGGTAGGGCAAGTGTCGGAACGAAGACGAGACTGGGGAAAATCTCGGAACGAATCGAAGGTTTGGGAAAGCGTCGGGAAGTGGGGGAGAGGGGGAACACGAGCAAAGCTGTGCGACGCCCCCATTTAAGCTGAAGTACTACCGAGGACGACCGAAGTCACAAAAAGAAATTATAGAAAACGATGATAGATTTACAAGAATTATGTTGGAAGGAACCAGGCGCTATCGGTCCATCGCAGGCCATGTTGCAATTCTCGGGAAGACAAGATACGAATGACAGGACAGACAGGGATTGACACCACCCGCAGCACCTGCAACACGTAAAACGCACAGCACTTGATATTGCTCACTTAATGGCGGTCAGTGTTTTCCCTGCGTCTATCTCGTCTAGAGCTAATCCTTCCCATTGTGAGATAATATCGTCCATCCTAGCATTCTCCACATCTAGCGACGGTTTTCGGGTATCCACAACGTACGAACTGCTGACAAGCGAAGCTGCATTTTTCGTCCACTCTTCACTCAAGTATGAATTCAGGATACTTTGCAGCTCAACGGGCAGCTGTATACCAAGCTTCTGACACTTTTGAGTCAAAAGTCGGAAAAGTAGTTGCGCGTAAAACATATAGCTCGCCAACGCGTCGAAGATGCGAACGCACGTCAGTAGACCTTGGTATAACTCGTCCTGTTCGGCTTGAGTTTGGCGTGAGTGGTCATAGAACAACTCTTCTAAACCACCAAAACTTGCGACAGTGAGGGGGTAAATGACCATTGGGATGGCGTTGTCCCAACCATGCCGTAGCTCGTGCAGAGCAAGAAGTCGCCGTATTTCCTTGAGTGAAGTAGATACGAGAGAGCGTGAGCGGTCACGGTAGGCTTCACCCTCGAGGAACGGTTGGAACAAATGGAAAACATGTATATGGTAGTGCATACTGTAACAGAGGTCAACAAAACATTGAGGTCAAATTGTGGATCACATACGCGCTCGTAAGGTTTTCCCGGCTTGGCACCTTGTCTGGGTTCAAACTTGACGGTCGAGAATCGAACCACACCTTCAAACGTTGGTAGATCCTTTCTATCTGTTCGGGCTTCATTTGTCTCTGTCTGTGGGACTCATGGCGACTCGAGAAGGCTTCGAGTGAGTCGAGAATGATAACGTGTCTAGCACACTCTGAACGAAAAAACGCTTTTTGGCCAAAACATTAGTTGAATTTTGTTTTGCTCTAGGCAAGGCAGAATACCTTCACTCTCAGGTTTGTCCCGATATGGAATTGTGACGGACGGTACAGTTCTGATAGGCACTGGAAATGAGTACACGAAAGACATTGATCTAAAAGCAATCAGCTCTAGCTTGTGCGATTGAGGACATAGATGGGACTTACAGTTGAAAGTTGAAAAGCGACCATGCAGTAACGTCTCGGACTTTATCCCATTTGGCTTGCGTAACGTGCGGTGGCTTCTGGCTGGCTTGCGACGGTTGGTGTTGGAAAAGACCAAGTTCGTGACCTATACGACAGGCTTCCAAAAGATATACGTAGCCGTCCTTGTCTCTGCAATACTTGGCAAACACTATATCTGTACCGAATTTTAGTCAATAGGGGTTCTTGGTATAATATCGAGAGTCGTAGCTTCTCAGACCAACGAAAGAATCTCACAGTGATCTTTGTGGACACAGCTAAGAGGTCAAACAAAACTTACAGAGAGCAATGGCAGAATGCAAATTGGTCAAACTGACCCTGCCTTCTTCGAGCTTCCATAGTCGCATGGCCTCCTCATAGAACACAATCGTAAAAGACTTTTTTGAAAACGGTTTGGCTCGGTCTCTTATAGCGGGGGAGTGGAGCTATCGCTACGTAAGCCAGTGATCGAGGATGGACGGAGCAACCAAAAAGTCCAGAGCGATGTGGAATCGTCGTGGACTTACACAAGCAGAAGCCAGCATCGCATTGACAAGCAGTTCGGAACAGAAATCGGTTCGTCCGCTTGCCATATCGTCAAGGAAAGAATCTCGTTCAAGATAGTGAAAATAGTCGTGCTCGCATGTTGTCCACCGCGTCAAGAGTTCAACCAAGAGAGTAACATCATTCGTCGCTTTAGTCCAATTTTGTACTGACCTCAATCGCCGATCAACTTTCGGACTTTCAGCTTCAGCAGAGGAAGACGGATTTATGATAGCCTCTATCGAAGTAGGATGAAAGGAGCTCTGGCTATCTGAGCTGAAGTTGGTCAAAAAAGCGCATGGAGGCGACCAGTGTCGACGTACCGAGCTGGCACACTCACGTCCGAAGTGAGTCTTCGTCGTTGAGTTGATGGTCCATCTGACCCCATGGAGAACATGCCAGGAAAGGAGAGAGTATCGGACCCTAGAGCACCGGGCGAGTCGAGTGCCAGACGTAGAGGTGGCAAAGTTACAGACCCGGGTTCGTAGTATGTAGAATGCAGTCTGTAAGAGGGCCGTTGAATGTGAAGGTCTCCATGGCGAACAAAGTCTGCTAGCTCTTGGATACGCTGAGATGGTGAAGCGTCTGGAGGGTTCGCTCGAATGCGCCTGAGGATTTCCTGAGCTTCATGCTCGGGACGCAAACGGAGAAAGTCGTAGAGTTGGCGCAGATTCAGCAGTTCACCCTGCATCTCTTCGTTCTTCCGTTTCATAGCCTGTGACGGCTTCTCGTTTGGGCCCAACTCATATACACATTCGGTGTCCTTCTGTGCACAGCAGGTACACACCGGACGGCTGCCATCGCACTTGGATTTTCGTTTCCTACATGCGACACAGGCACCCAGAGTTACCGTCCGTTTTGGCTTCTGAGTCAGTAGCGGTCTGCTTTGCGGTTGCAGTGGAGCCTCTTGATCCATGGGAGCGGGTTGGAGAGGGCGGAAGTTTGCCATTATGATATATCAGAAGGGGAAGAAAAGATCTTGCAGAGGTGTATTTGAGCCAAGACGTTGTGCGAGTCAACAGCATTGATATCGGCCTGTCGAAGGCAGCGGGACCATGGCACGGCATCAAGATGCAGAGTCGTGATGGGAAAGGAAACAAGAGTTTTCTGTGGGGAAGGCATGCCGGCGGGAGAAGGCGCACCAGATACAAGGCCCCCTGTTCGCTCGGATCTGTCTGGCGAGAATCTTCTGGCCCTTATTGGCAGGCTTTTGCCTCTCGGAGATTCCATTCATTGCCTATGATTGTGGCTCATCGACGTTTCAACAGAAGGAACGAGGTCGATGACGAGCACAGGGTTCGATCTCGTATAACAGGCTCCAGGGTCTAATACGAGCATGCCGATTTGAGTTGCTCCGCGGAATGTAGCGGCAGTGCTGAGCAGCTCGAGCAAGCTCGGGCAATTGATTCGCTGCGGCATCGTCTCCGTTGGCGCGGATTGGTAGCTCTACCGTGCGTCAAATCGGCCGGTGCCGGTTGGTGATGAAGCCACACTACCTACCAAGGCTCGCGTACTTGTATCCGGCTGCTGAGCACGGAGGAACACACAGATCAGGTACAACGTGCCTGGTCCCAGGTAACAGATGGCAAGTCATGGCCGGTTGCGCGCACTGTTTTAAGTTGGCCTGCATCAGAAGGCTCGGTCATGCGCCACATCGCCGGAAACATTGGTCTGCCTGGGCAGTGCTTGCAACGAGCATAGCTCTGCAAATTCATCGTGTGTGGATGGGTAAATGTCAGCATGCGAATTAGCAACTATAGCCGCGCGACCCTCTATCAAACTCCGTCCGTGATCCGAGTTTACGCTAAGTGTGTAGATGATTGATGCCTTGTGGCTAAGCAAGCAACATGCCAATGCTTCCTGTCAAATCATGATAGATGTAAGTATTCATGTGTGCAGTCTATTTGATGTAGTGCAATTTTTTTTGGCCGGTAACGTCTAAAGGTGACGTCTACAAAGTAATCAACAATGATGGGTATCAGCACGGAAGAGCGTGCCGATCGAATTGTATGTGTTCCAGGGGTCAAACTACCTCGTCCCTCGTCCACACCACTTTTCCCTGTTTGCCGCCATCTACATTTAGGATTTGACCGTGGACGTGGCTGCTGAAGTTGTGACTGGCCACAGCGAGAATGGACATTGCGACAGCTTTGACAGGAACTGGCTCACATAGCGCAGTCTTGAGCAAGTTAGCAAATATTCAGCAGCTGCTAGTGATGGTAGTGCCGATTTGGGCAAGGCTGGGTGTTGCATGACGGGAGAGGTGTCAAATACCGTGGCTTGAGCCTCGAAGTAGTACTGGTCTGGATTAGACTTGCACTCTTCAAACCATCTCTCCGTCTGTACCGGTCCCGGGGCAACAACATTGACACGAGCGCCTTGCCACTGCCTTGGTACTTCGGCTCTCAAGCTCATCAGCAGGCCACCTTGTACTGCACTCTTTCCCAGGCTGTACTCTGCGTTCTGCCGTTCCCCAAAATGACCACTCTCACTTCCGATGATGACCAAGTTTGGATGGTTCAGTGGCTTGCTGTCTCGTTTTGCCTGACGTAACCCACGAATCCATTCTCGTGCTGTCAACCATGTGCCTGCCACATTGACATCAAGTACACGGCGTAACTGGGCAAAGGACGCATCAGCGAACGACGATGGCTCCAGAACTGAGAGGTCAAGAGACGCTAGCGCTATACAGATCTCAACGGGCCCATAGATCTGGATTGCTGTTGCGAAGGCCTGTTGTATAGATTCCTCGCTGGCCACATCGCAGTGTATTGTGACGAGATTTGTTTGTGTAGCGTGTGCTTGAGCGTCGCTGGGATAGGCAATGTCGAGAGATGAAACTTTCGCTCCTGCCGCGATGAAATGATCAACAACAACGCGGCCGATTAATCCGGAACCACCTGTAACAAGAACGTGGGTGTTTTCAAAGCCCAGGTCAAATGATAAACGATCCATGTCCGCTTATCCAATAAATATTGATTGGAACGTAGGTCAAATCTCCGCAGAAAGAGAGAGGTGGAGGAATCTTGGGAGTCACATAGTCACATCCCGCAGCGCCTTGTTGGGATAGATGCTGGCTCAATCCGAGAGCAGCCTAACTCCGACAGGCGTCCAGCTGACCAACTGCGCCAAAACACTCGCGTAGATACTCCTCGTGGCGAATCACAAGCAAAATCAAAATGTGGGACATGTTGGTCGTTCAATCTGTACGTTATTGCACCAATGATACCTAGCCCATTGCTGAAGATGTGAGCAAAAGCCAAATGCAGTGAAAATATACTTCAGCGTCAAGCCACAAAAGGACCCATGCTTTCGGGACAAAATGACAAGCTAGTGCACACCTGTCAAAAGCACGCGAGCCCAACCTTGATTAGTCTGTCGGATTGTAAAGACGCCTCAATTACGGCCTGGTCTCCGATCCTCCAAGTCGAAGCCAAGCTGCGCTAGGTCTAAGTTCCAAACGCAAGATAGCGACGCCAGTGATACGTATACCTAAGTTTTCTTCCCAGTTGTTCTCGCAAGCCCCCTGATGAACTGGTTCTTGATTGCTTTTGTTCCCTTGAGCTCCTTGTTCTTGCTCTTATTCGTCTCTAGGTATGCCATATCCTGACCACCAGACAGTTCAGACAGGGTGCCTGCTGCTCTTCGCACGCCTGTTTTCTTCTTCTTGTTGCCTCTGTTGGATGCATAGTTCGAATCGAATGCATCTCCTTCGATCTTCTCGGCTCTTCCATCCTCGTCCTTGGCAAGGAGAACATCCATTAGCAGCTCCCGTCGGTCCTGAGGCGTGGAGAAAGATAAGGTACGCGAATTTTCCAACCCCTCCAGGCGGGTGATGACCTTGAATGCGTACCCTTGGTCAACAAGGAAGGCCTGGCGCTTCGAGGAGTAATACATCTCGTCTGTATCCTTTGAGACCAAGGAATAGAAGAATGCATTAAATCCCTCATCGTTTCGCCGCTTTGCCCGAAGAATGCGTCCTAGTCGTTGTGCTTCTTGACGACGTGAACCATAATGCGAAGAAATTTGAATCAAGCACGTTGCTTCCGGTAGATCCAGACTCGTATCACCAATCTTGGATAAGAATATAGTGTTGATTAAGGGGTTGTGTTGGAAGTTTTCCAAAATTTTCAGTCGCTCGCTCTGTGGAGTTGCGCCGTAGATGAATGCTTTCCCGAGCGTTCTGGAGTACTTCTCTAGTGCGTAGACATTGTCAGAAAACACAATAATCTTGTCTCCTCGCGATTCGTGGTATTCGATTAGATACTGGCAAGCCTGGAACTTCTTGGGGTTCATAATCGCAAGCAGGGCTCTTTTCTGTAACGAAGAGGGCTTTAGCCATTCTGTGTAGAATTCAGGCGTCATCTGACACCATACTTCCGCACACTGCACCCTAGCGATATGACCTTGTTCCGACAGCTCTTGCCAATTTGCTTCATAGAGTTTCGGCCCAATGAGAAAGTTAAGATCATCGATTTTGTCGTCCTCTCGGAGTAGTGTGGCGGTGAGGCCAAGCTTGGTGTGGGAGGCGATCTCGTAAGTGACTTTCTTGAAGATCTGGGCGGGTACAACGTGCACTTCGTCAGCTATCAGAAGCCCCCACTCGCGACTTCGAATGAAATTCATGACCTTTTCAGCGTCGTGAGATCGTTTTCGAGCATTACTGATCATGGAGTATGTACTGATGATGATACCCGCATTACGAGGAAAGCTAGTCTTGTTGTCCGATGTAAACACAGCGACATCCTCCGGATTGATGTTGGACCACTTGATGAATTCGGCTCTCCATTGAACAACGGACATTGCGCTGGTACACAGAACAATGCAAGATTTCTTGACACCACAAGCTGCGGTGATGCCAACCAAAGTCTTACCTGCGCCACAAGGAAGCACAATGATACCGGATCGTGCACGCGAATTGGAAAACATCTTGCTCAGAGCCTTCTCTTGGTAGTATCGAATTTGCGCATGAGGCTTAAGGTCGATCTCGAGATTTGCATTTACGTGATCGTTATTGAAATCGTATTCCTCTGTAAGCGGGAGGCCTATGTGTCGGCATCGCTTGACGACCTTTTCTCGATCTTCACTCTTAATCTGGAATGAATGGACCTGAGCGACGTCTTCATCACCGTCATCTTCTCTCAACGAGGCAATCATATCGCTTGGTGCTGGGTTCTCGGCGGGGGGTTGTTGTGCCATCTGGTTCTGGCCAGCGGCCATCTTGGTACCAGGGATGGCCATTTGGCCCATTTTGGGTGCGGCCTCTTTGATGAGGCCATCGGTAGTGTCTGCTCTACACGCGGCTACGGTTTCATCGCGTAGGAGCTTCTGAAGAAGAGCAGGATCTTCGCTCTCAATGTAAGAAAGCGTATTCTTCAATACAATTTTAGCCTTGCCGAATGCGTTGGTCGACTTCCCGACGAACTGGATGATGGTGTCAGATAAGACTGTCTTAGAATATCGGTCTAGCCTATCCACAATCTCTTTGCTTGAATGGCCAACGCTGACTGCGGCAAAGAGACTGTGTGTGGTCAACTGGTATTCATGGATCTTTGAGACACGCGACTGCGGTTCAGCGATGTTGATCAAGAAATCCTGAGCCTCGTCAAAGAGAGGATGAAATGATTCGAGGATGATACCTCCTGAATCATTGACCCAAAGAGGACGATTGTGATGATCAGGCTTCAGTGGCGCGTTCCATTGATCAGACTTCTTGAACAGGTTCGCGGCTGCGTCCTTGGTCTGATTGCCGCGTGCTTCTCTTCTCATGGTCTTCACGTCGAACTTTTTCTTCAGCTTGTCAAACGTCTCCTGGTCGCTCATGGGCCCGTCATCTTGCTCATCCCAGTTATCGTCGTCATCGGTATCGGCTGCTACCTGGGACGCTTTACGTTTGGGAGGCATGATGGTTAGTCAACGTCTGGGCGGTGTGCGAGAGCTTCCTTTATCATATACACCTGTGAGCGACGACTGGATGTGATGGGTAGAACTGGAGGACGTGGTGTGCTGGGGAAAAGTGCAGGTGTAGGTGGGTGGAAGTACAGGTGCAGGCGTGAGGGAAGAGGCGAAGGTAGACGTCGATGAGATAAGACGGTGCTTAGTAATGACGTAACGCTTGCACGTCCCCACAGACCCGTACCAAAGTGTACTGAGGAGTCTAGAAGTCAGCAAACCAGTACAGAGTGAGTGAGTCAGTGAGTGGCTAGTGGTAGGTGATAGCAGGCTGGAGCCGTCTTTGCGAGAGACGCGACGCTCAGAATCGCGAAAGCATGTGAGCTCGGTGCTTGTATTGCCGACGTCAACGCTTGTAGCCAGGGTTCGGCCCTTCAATACACACAATACACAGTACACCCATGAAGCAGTGACATGCATCCCAATGGGCGCGTCCGACTCAAAACTCACCTTCAAGCAGGGCATCTTCCGCCTGGCAGAGCCCACCCAGATCCCCGCCGATGATGCCTACTGGACAAGCGTAAGTGCTGCGCGCCATAGCCGTGTGGCCGTGCTAACACCTATGGCAGTTCTGGGAGCTGCCTGAATCCACTGAAGATGTCTTCTCGCTCTTCTCGCCCGCAGATATCCGCCGAACCCGCGACAACAACCTAGAAAACCTCGAGACGCTCGTCCTCGCCGTCAGCTCGCGTCTCTGCGTCCTCCGCAACCACCCCTCCTTCCCCGACCCCGAGCTAGCACCCGAGCGGGACGCCCTCAACTGCATACGCGTGCTCACGCGCCTGCTCCCGTTCATCTACGAGGCCGACCATCTGGAGGAATGGGAGGACAAGTTCTTCTGGGCTGCGCGGCGAAGGCGCAGTCGGCGGGGCCAGATTGTGCGGAGCGAGGTCATCTTTGACGAAGCCGACCCCGAGCAGACGCCCAACGCGAACGAGCCAGAATTCGAAAAGGCCAAGCCACTCGCCGAGGAGATCATCGACACGCTGGTCGACCTTCTCTTTTTCTCGGACTTCACTCTACCCAAAGTCCCCACCGGCAAGAACAAGGTCTCCTATGCCATATGGCAGAGTGGCGTGGGTTGCAACACGCCAGTAGCTTCGACCAAGGAGTTTGAAAGCAACAGGACCGAGATCTTGCGGCTGCTGCTGACTCTGGCAAGCAAGTCCATGTACATGTCCGCTGGTAAGCTTGTCAGTCTGGCGATGGACCCTTATAACCATGTACAGGTATACTCCCAGTGAAAGGTGTCAAGGCCATCACGTACATCGCAACCAGTCCCGAGAAGCAAGTCGTCTTGTCACTATTATGCTCTCTTCTCAACACAGTACGTATGCTATATGCTCCGGTGCCAGAATGCTAAATCGCGTAGACATTGAAGTACAACCCCGCCACATGGCGAGTGCCATACGACCATGTGGTCTTCCGAGACCAAAGGCAGATACTAGTCACATACTGCCTCCAACTACTTCTGGTACTGATACTGTATCCCATCCCTGAAGCTGGTAACGGGCCAGCACCAAAGAACTTTTTCCGTCATTTTCTTGGCCGATTACATCGACCTCAAGACTTCCAGTTCCTCGTCGATGGTATGACAAGAATTCTGAACCAGCCTGTAAGTAGATCTCATGACAGCGCATGTGCATCGATGATTAACGTGAGGCAGCTTCAAGCTAACACAGCATATTTGCCTGGAAGCCACAAGTCGTTGACATGGGCGCCCGAAATGATCATGCTTTTCTGGGAGGCCTTGCAATGCAATAAGCGTTTCCGCTCCTTCATCATCGACACAGACCGGGCACACGATTTCGTCGTCTTGGTATTGTATTATGCCATTGATCAGCGCAATGATCCCACGAAACAAGGGCTAGTGCGAATGTGCATTTTCGTACTCCAGACGTTGAGCGTTGAGCCACAGTTTGGTAAGAGTCTGAACAAGACGTTTGAGGGACAGGAATCGCTTCCACCAAGCATACGGATACCCAATTTTCACGGCACATATGCTGATTATCTCATCACTGTACGTGCCCCGTGCAATGAATTTGTCTCTGCTGACGTCTCCAGTCAATCTATACATTGCTTACTACAGGGAAAGGCAGACTAGATGCCATTTACCCTGCTCTACTCGCTATCTTGAACAATATTGCAGCATACGTGCAGAACCTTGGACGTGCATCTAGCTCCAAACTTCTTCAACTTTTCGCATCCATGTCGTCACCAAGTTTCTTGCTTGCGAACGAGAATAACCACACTCTGCTTCAATCGTTGCTGGAGGCTCTAAATGCTATGGTTGAGCACCAGTATCAACGTGAGTGCTTTACTGCAGCTATGACGTTGTGGGGTAACTGATGCGCTTAATAGATAACCCAAATCTGGTGTATGCAATTGTCCGTTCTCGCAAGAGATTCCAGGCGCTACGGGACTTCACGCTCGAGAGTGGCCAGGAAGAAATTGAGCGTCAGAGCCAACTGCGTAAGGACGGGGGTGGAGAGCTGCAGAGGACCGACTCTATCGACAGTCTGCGGAGTCCTACTATCTCCCGGACACCTACGCTGAGCAACGTCCCAGAAGAGGATAGCGCGTTTGCTATTGGCGATGACGATGACGATGATGGCGATGATAGCGACTCAGATGTAGACGAACCTCGCCAGCCAGACCCACCACGATCACCGTTGCACTCGCCGTCAAGCGCGTCAAGAAGCGCATCAATCGCATCATCTATTGATGAGTCTGTACCACTTCAATTGAGAGGCATGTCAGAAAAGGCACGAGGAAAAATGCCAGTTGGACAACCGGCGTTCTCTCGCCAGAACAGCATCAGCAGCCTCGCCAGCATGGCGGCGCCAGCTCTGGGCGCGAACGAGTTCTTCACGCCGTCTGTTACATGGGTAAGTAAGGTTCTTATATGGTCGACTATGCTGACATTACGCTCAGCTTGAGAGCTGGCTTTCCGAGTTGCCGCTTCACACGGCGCTCATGTTGATCTCAGAGCTCGTACCCAAGCTTGTCAACTCTGGAAATTCCAATGATACAGCAGCGGCATTGACAACAATACGTGAGACCGAGGTACGTGGTATCGAACCTTCACTTATCAGAGTGCATATGTTCGAATGGTCTCCATTATCACTTGGTTGGTACGAGTCACTGCTTTGGGGCTTCATCTTCGCTGGGGAAATGCTCGTAGCCAAGGGTACAGCAGGTGTCTGGAACAAGACGAGTATCAGGTTGTTCAAGGTGCAAGAAGGTGCTGCTCAGACACCGTCTCTTATGGCACCTCGTGGAGCGGTGGATGCGGTGGGAAGCAACTTGGTGCAACGCATTGGTAGTCTGAACTTGCGAGCAGCCGCCACACAGGCGACGCAGCGAGGTTCTGGCAGCGGTGCTGGGAGTGCTTCGGCGACGGTTAGAGATGTGTAGCGTTGTATTACAATACTGCTTGATGTGTGCGGCGAGAGGTGGCTATGCAGGAATGCAATATGATGTTTGTGTTGGATAGTACTGTGACTGGGTGATGTTAATGCGGTATGCTTGATCTTTAAATCGGATTGTAACTGTAAGGTTATATTATCATCATGGTTAGAGCACATGATAACTGTCCGACCATACCGCAGCCAAACGCAGGATGCTTGCCAAGACGGGTTGGGCTGGACAGGGTTGAGATGACAGGAGCTCGCCTCGCTTCCCACGAGCCAGCCCAGCCACAGCGGGCGCGGTGACGTTGGGCAACTTGGGCTAGCACGGTAGAAAACAACGCATGAAAAATTCACACACGCGACTTTGCCCTCTCTACGCACCCGCACCTGCCGTGTAAGCAGACTCTGCCTGCCCTTGACCGCTACAAAGCTCGCTCTTGCCTTCTCCCGTACGCGACCCTGCTCCAACTCGCCACGGCCGCGAAAGTGTAGACGCGACTCGTAGCAGACAGTTTGCTCAGCGCCCAACGGCCATTGCCCGCAGACACCGTCAAGCTGGCAGACCGACTCTTCACGCTCCACCACACTGCCTAGGCTGTGACAGCCCGCAGCCCGTTCTTCACCGCCCGTCTCCCCCATTCCATGCGTCAAGAGGATCTGGTTCGCTTTCTGTCCAAGCCCGCGAAGTGAGTGCTGCCCCGACTGCGCGCCGTACATGTATGCAGCAGTGCTGACCAGCGCAGGCCCAGATAACACGCGCCCTACCACGCACCCTCCCACCCACCTGAGCAGATCCCCTCGTCTGCTGGACCCGATACTTGCCCAGGGTATCGGACTCTAGTCGCGCGAGGACCGCCGATTGACAACATTTCCCGCCCCAAAGCCTCGTTCATCCCCCTCTCCGCCCGACCTCCCTAACGACCGCTGTCGTTCACCCGCATCACCCTCCCGCTGCTGCTGGCACGCGCCAGCCTCCCCACACCCCGCACGCCGTGGGCCTTCTCTTCTCGGGCAAGCACCGCATTGTTTGTTTGGGCGGCAGATAGTGCTTCACTGCTCAACCGCCAGAGACAACCCACCCAGCAACCACCTCTGCCACGACAACTTTTTGCGCTCGACCGCAACACGCCCAAGAGATGGTCGCTACAGACATTCCCAAGCACTACACTGCCTCTCCGTCGTCGCACATTGGCACCCCACATCTGACCATCAACAAGGAAGCTACCCTTGAGCTCGATTCTTCCAATGCCTTCGAGGGTAAATACGCGACACTCCCCCATAGCTGGCATGTCCCACTAACGCATGACAGGCCCCGAGAAGCTCCTAGAAGTATGGTTTAGCGCTTCTGCTACCAGCCTGCCTGGCCAGGCCGGTCCCCTCGGGCTCAAGAAGGTGTCCGCTGAGACTTGGAAGGAGATGCTCGATTTGGTCAACTGCAAGGTTCTCTCTGTAATCGAGTCCGAGCACGTTGATGCCTATCTTCTGTCCGAGTCCAGCTTCTTCGTCTTCCCCCACAAAGTTGTTCTCAAGACCTGCGGTACCACGACCCTGCTCTGGGGCCTCACTCGCCTCCTGGAAATTGCTGCTGTCGACGCCGGCTTCCCTTACGTGGCACCTCAGCCCTCCTCCGGCATTGCGCCGGCTGCCACACCGTATCGCGTCTTCTACAGCAGGAAGAACTTCCTCTACCCTGATCAGCAGCATGGACCTCACCGCAGCTGGCGAGACGAGGTTCGTTTCATGGATCAGCGATTCCAGGGTGGCAGTGCCTACATGATTGGCAAGATGAATGGAGAGCATTGGTACTTGTACATCACCGGCCCGGACACTACCTTGACACCACCTCCCAGCCCGGGTCGTGAGATTCACGAGACCGAGACCAAGTTTGTAAGCCACCCTCAGCGCTTGTTGCGTGAGCAGGCTACGGAGGAGGAGGAAGATGAGACCTTGGAGGTTCTCATGACTGACCTCGAGGAGAAGAATGCCCGCCAGTTCTACCTCGAGGACGCGAGTGCGGTCGCCGAAGGTCGTTATCTCCAGAAAGCTCGTGACGCTCGCAAAAACGCTATCCAAGCCCTTGGGTCTATTTCCGAGGAGAAGTGCGAGAGTCTTGGTGGATCTACTGTCCTAAACTCTGCGACAACCACGCACATTTCCGACGATAGCTTCGACGTCTTCGAACAGACTTCGTCTGATAACTCTGGTTTCAGCTCTGACGAAGAGCTCACATTCCCTGAGGAGCTAACTACCGAAGGACACTCTCTTGGCACCGTCGTCTCCGAAGCCTGTGGCTTGGCTGATGTCTATCCTACGTCCAAGTACCCCGATGCACGCATCGATGCCTATCTCTTTACGCCCTGTGGTTTCTCTGCCAACGGCGTTGTTCCTGCCCCTGGCGGCGCTCCCAACGGCTCCAAGAAGGGCTCCGACGCCACACACTACTTCACTGTTCACGTCACGCCAGAACCGCAGTGCTCTTATGCGTCCTTCGAGACTAACGTGCCTGCCCGTCAGACTGGAAGAGAGACGGCTGACATCGTTGAGCATGTAGTGGGGATTTTCAAGCCTGGGCGTTTCAGTGTCACGCTCTTCGAAGCCAAGCCTACAGATGAACTCCCAGCCAAGGGCGCCGCTGTCGAGAAGTGCAAGCGCATGGAGACTATTACAGGCTATAGGCGCGTGGATCGCATCGTGCATGATCTGGATGGGTATGATCTGGTGTTCCGATACTACGAGCGCAATGACTGGCAAGGAGGCAAGCCGAGGCTGGGAGAGGTATACTAGGAGTAGACTGTGGTTTGAGGTGGACAATTGTAATGGAATTTGTCAAGGGATGATGCAGGGCTCGCACCGAACAAATTTGTAGGTTTTGTATATTATTTCTCAAGAGTGCTTTCATCACGCTTTTCATTGGTGTTGTCCTTTGCTGCGTTACAGCCAGATGTTCCTACTTGAAGAATCTTGATTGTCGTTTCTAAATTATGCGTGCACATACGAACTGCTGTGATCACGACTCTCAACTGTTTTCCTTACATCATCACCATCTTCTCGGTCACGTACAGCGTCTTTTGAACTCTACATGATACAATAATTTCAGCTGATGCCTATTGTTCAAGAAAGGTCTACATATGCGCACCGACGAAATATATTTGATACATAGGTTTGTATAACAAGCCGTTAATCCTTGTATCAACCGCAGAATACCTTGATCTATCAGATATCCTCTGGCCCAGCAAGCCCCAGCGCCTGCCGCCTCGTGGGTGCATCTGCCTTGAAAAACGGCTTCTCAGCCAGCGCCGTCACTCTTGTGCCATGCCTAGGCTCGTTACCCTCATAATCCCAGCTCGCGTTATGGATCGTAATGCGGTTGTCCCACAATGCCGAACTTCCACTCGTCCATTTGAAGCGAACCTGAATATCGACGTTCTTCTCATACACATCGTACAGGTAGTTGAGGATCACGTCACTCTCAGCCTTGTCCAGTCCCACGATTCTATCCGTCATGGCCCTGTTGACCCACAATGCCTTCCAGCCTGTAGCAGGATGAACACGAACGAGCGGGTGCGTGCGTTCAACCCACTGTGGTCCAGCACTTGGGTCGTTGCGGTCTAGGTACGGGTGTGCACTGCGATAGACGGCCTGCTTGCCATCTATGATCTTACGGAAGTCAGGGGAAAGCTTCTCGTACGCAGCATATCCTGAAGCCCACAAGGTGTCACCGCCGATCTTGGGAATGGTGTCGTTGTGCAGATGGGTCACACTAACACAAATTTAGCTTTTCTTCAAAGTGATCTCATTGTTTCGGTCTCACCCTGCTGGACGATATTCATGCACAAGATCTGTGTGCCATCGGGATGCTCCACCAGTTTGCCTGAAACTGGCTGGACGTTCCAGAGCCTGCAGTGCAGGCCATATGACAGATGCTCCTTCAACACCAGGGACATGAGGAACTTGGGGCTGCAATTATAGTGAGTGATAGATCAGATGGTAGTCCGGGGAATGCTTACGTGGACCTCAATCTCTCCATACCATTCACCAAGTTTCTTCTGTTCTTGAGGTGATATGTCCTGATCACGGAAGAACACAACACTTCTCTCAGCGATCAAAAGACCGAGCTCGTCCTTTTGTTGGTCGGTAAGATCCTTGAGTTGGAGCCCAACAATCTCCGTGCCAATGTGTGCAGTGAGATGAATGACTTCTTTCGCGGCTCCGAATAAAGCTTTCTTCTCTGGGTCTGCTCGGGAACCAGGGTCTACGAAATCAACATCATAATTACGGATCTTGTATACGTCGTCGAGGTATAGGGGCCTCGCTGGTCTGTGGGGGTATCCATTGGAGAGGTCGATGCCAGCCTTCTCTAGCCTTCGCCTCGCTGGTTCTGGTAGACCGAGGGTATCCTTCTTTTGAGGGACGGTATCCTTTTCTTGGATATCTGTGTGGATGGGTAGTGCTACTGGAGCCATGGTGATCGAGGACAACGAATACACAGTAAGTGAAAGACTGTCTATGCTGTGTTCATAGCATACTGACCATCAGTCTTATACTTCTCCTCTCTCAATATATCTGACTCGCTTCACCATAATTATTGACGTGATATTGGGCGTGGAGCGGAGTATGCGTTCACGTAGCACCTCATCGGCTAGGGTAATCACATCATCGGCTAGGATGATTGCGCATATCCAGTCAACTTCCCCGACCTTATCATTCCGACAATTCTCCATGGCTCTAATACCCAGTGGCATGCAACTATTTCAGACGTTGAGTGATTGGAAATCCATCGGATTCCTCAATTCGGAAAACGACGTTGTGGAGAAGGGTACACGCAATACCCACAGCAGATGAGATGATTGTGCTCCCAAGCACTTGTGATCACGATATGTTACACTCGCATGAGAGATGCATCGAGTTACTGTCTTTGTGTTGGCAGTTTGCCCTCGTGTTGCTTCGAGTAAAGGTCGCTCCTGTTGTTGCTTCGTTGTTCAACATATCTTCTCTTTCACTCATATAGTTCTGGAGACCATCAGTAGTGTATATTAACTTCAATTCTACCCTATGGCTCCTCACACTCAGCGGGTTGCTGTCATCGGCGCTGGCATAAGCGGCGTAGTAGCTGCTGGCCACTTAAGAAAAGAGGGTATCGATGTCACAGTTTTTGAACGTTCCAACGCGGCAGGAGGTGTATGGTAAGATGTATAATGCCATTGATTCACATCGATGTTTCTAACCCTCCTGCAAGGTTATACGACGAAAGAAAGCCCTTAGAGCCGATATACCCTGCGGTCTCACCATCACAAGCTGGGCTGAGTTACACCAAAAGCGGTTTCAACGATTCAGAGACCGAAAAGCTGTTACATGCACCACCAGGGTATGGGAAACTTTTCTGTACGAGAGACTTTGTAGCCCATCAACTTACTCCATGAAGTCCATGTTACTCGGGGTTGAAAAACAATGTGGGCACGCGGCTACTGGAAACAACATTGAACCGGTTTCCCACCGACACTCCAGATTTTGTAACGCATGATGTACTGGAAGAATACATTCAAGATACTGCAGTAAGAGCAGGAGTTCATGACGTTACGAAGTACGATACCGAAGTCAGAAACGTGACGAAAAATGAAAGAGAATGGGTCGTAGAGACATCGACCCTTCGTATTGACCCGTCTGGAGGCATCTTCCAGGAGACTTGTTCTTCAGTAAGTTGATGTTTTGTGGACGAGGAATACTGACTTACGCGATCTAGGAGTTCGACGCCGTTGTTGTAGCATCTGGGCATTACCATTCGCCAAGACTGCCTGACATCCATGGCTTAGCAGAATGGAAACGTAGATGGCCTGACAGAATTCAACATTCGAAAAGTTACCGGAGACCAGAAGAGTTCCAGGGCAAGGTATGTAGGCATGATTTTCATCAGTTCTCCTAGCTATCTACCTTTTCATTACATTTTCGTCGTCATATCCTCAACACGAGTGTCACCATCACATAAGATGCAAAACCTCACTTTCTGTTTTTGAACCCATAGTCACTCGCGTCACTCGCCTAGCAGAATCCAAACATGAGCCCAAAACCTCTAATCATGTTACAGAACTTCTTGCTGATTGGAGGGGGTGTGTCTGCGACAGACATCGCTCGCGAGCTTGCTCCAACAGCCCAAACCATCTACCAGAGTTCTCGGAACGGTGCCTTCGATCTCTCCGCGAACCTACTGCCAGAGAACGGAATCCGAATTGCTGAGGTCATATCTTTCAACACAGGAAGCAGTGAAAGTAGTGAAGACAGTGACAGCAGTCAAGACAGCTCGAATAGCAAAATCAGCTCGTCACTGGCCACACAAGAACCTATCCCAGCTACCATAGCCCTCAGATCAGGGCAAACGCTCTGTGATATTCACCACGTGATACTTTGCACGGGCTATCACCCCACTCTGCCGTTCCTCCCGCATCTTCACTCCGACGAAACGGCCGTTGACAAGGCCAATGAAAGCCTTCTCGTCACAGACGGATCACAATTTCACAACCTGCACCAAGACATTTTCTACATCAAGGACCCCTCTCTTGCATTCGTTGGCGTACCGTTCTTCACTGCGACCTTCACGCTCTTCGAGTTTCAGGCTATGGTTGTGGCCAAGGTACTATCTGGAAGAGCAAAGCTTCCCAGCGAACAGGTCATGCGAGCAGAGTACGAGGAGAGAGTGAAGACTAAAGGGTATGGGAAAGCATTCCATAGCCTGAGGAATCAGGAAGAGGAGTATGTAAACGGCCTCTTAGATTGGGTGAACAAAGACCTTGACCTTGTTGGAGAACAGAGATTGGAGGGTTATACAGAACAGTGGAAAACCGCGAGAGAAGAACAGGTACAAAGGGTGAAAGCCTTGTATGCTGTTGAGTCGACACCAGGCAGAAAACTTGAAGTGACGTGCTGGTAGATGGTACAATCATTCAGGTCTGTGTATCTTTTCGAGATTTTCATGATTTGTGCTTTCCCATTACCTGCTTTGAAGTTGCGATTTCGTGATGAAGTTACGCCAATGGCATGCTTGAATGATCTTGTCGCCCGCCGCTACTAAAAATGACGTAGGCGTATTTGGCCGAGGCAAGACGGACCCTCCGTCACCTCCACCTCGAGGTAACTCAAAGAAGCTTAAGACGAAGCCGTGGTCGTCAACGTCAATTCGTCGAGGATATTCGGATAGGCCTTATCAATCTTAGCGGAATGTGATACTGGAAATCAACTCCACAGAGCCGAAAACGACCGAGTGAATAAATACTTGATCACGCCCAGTAACCGCACAATCAAACCCATCCAAAAGTTAATTATCAAGATGTCTTCGCCCAAGCTCGTGGTCCACCACCTCCAAGTCGGCCAGGGAGAACGTATCCCCTGGCTCCTTGAAGAGCTCGACATCCCATACGAGCTTAAGCTCTACCAGCGTGCTCCCCTCCTTTCTCCACCCGAGCTCAAAGCAAAGTACCCCATGGGCGCCTCTCCCATACTCGAAGACTTTACCGCCGATGCTGAAAACCCTGTAACCTTTGCTGAATCCGGAGCGATCACCGAGTACATCATCTACAAGTACGGCGGCGGAAGACTTGCTTTGAAGCCTGATCACAAGAACTACGCAGACTATCTTTACTGGTTCCACTTTTCCAACGCAACTTTGCTATCTGGCATGATGCGTCGCGCACTGGCCCGTGGCATGGTTGGCGAATCCGATATACGTTACAGGGGCAACGCACAACGAGTCGCAGCGGCCATGGATCATATCAACAATCGCCTTCTCTCGAACAAATGGCTTGCTGGCGAGGAGTTTACAGCCGCAGATATCATGACCGGATGTTGTTTCTCAACGTTGCGAAAATTCGAGCCGGTTGACTTGACTGAGTATGAGGGCATCTTGGAGTGGTTGAAGAGAATTGGGGAGAGGGAGGCCTACAGGCGTGCAATGCAGAAGGGAGACCCAGAGCTAGATATCGAGGAGGGTCTGAGTGCCAAGGGGCCGCCGATTTTCGAGGCGTTCGCCAAGGCTATGGCAGCGAAGCCGTGAGTAACTCAAGGCGTATTCAAGCAGGATGGTGCTGATGCGCCCAGGAAAGATGAGAAGTTGTAGAGGCGGCTTGTAGGTATGCTTGTCAGAAATAAACAACTGTCTTCAGCGGAAGTGGCACGTTCTGCCTTTACCACCTGTAACAAGTTCAGTTTGTCTTCACGCACGTTACTGACACGAAATCATGCGTTAAGAACATGGTCACAGGGTTCTTCTCAAAGTACATGGAGTAGTGTCATCTTTTCTCCTGAATATAGCGAGTTGGTTTCAGAGCTATTGATCAATCTCGATGAATATTAACTAAAGCCGCAAACCTGTTAGCACAAGAGATCATGTTACCGAGAGCCGCAGGCGAGAAGGGGCTTTGTGATCATCGAAAGGTGTTGCATGTGGACAGAAAAGAGTTGGAGACGGAACGGACCGGGACATGCTGCTCCATATCTTTGTCTTGGCGGGGATACTTTGCTACAACAACACGCCATCTCGCCTCCAACCTCACATGCACCTGATCGGTCACACCACTGCCATGGATACAGTGCGAGTCGAATCACCGTCACCACAGCCTCGCAATTGGCAATCCCCGGTACTGTAACGCGAGCGTGACGTTTAGAATGCGGGGTTACTGCCCCCGAACGGTAGGATGAAGTCACATAAAGCTTATTGACCCCTCACGAGAGCACGTCCACAGCTCGTCCCAGCCCAGCTATATACTGCTTGCAAATCCTTATTTACTGCTCAATTGCATCTCATTGATATATTCATCAACATTACATTATCAAATACAGTTTGTGAACATGGCAGCGAAATACTCTCGCCGACCGAGCTACCTTGAAGCTCCCCTGTCCCCCTCGGCTGTCCCTGACTTGGCACTCCTGCCGCAGCCCCTTCCCGCAGAGACACTACCATGCGGTCAGCTCGTCTCCAAAGGGTCGAAGCTCACTCCCACGACGCTCGAAGACCGTGACTACGACGACGTCGGTACACGTTGGTACAAGGATGTCATCTTCTTCAACTCGGACAACGGCCACTTCATCGAGAGCTTTGGTGGAACACATCTTCTGCAGAAGCCTCTTGGGAAAGGCATGGAGGCTGGCACCATCGAAGCGGAGGAGCAGCGCGTGAGGCTGCTCAAAGATGCGGATGCAGCGCTGCAGAAGGTGTGGCAGGATGAGGAGGCTAAGAAGTGGATCCAGGAGCAGGGTGAGGCTGGCTTTGTCGTCGCTTCTCGCCAGGTTTCCAACGCGAGCTACAAGCGTGCTCGGCTTGTCGATGTTGGAAATGGCAACTGGGAGGTCATGCGCGAGGTTGGAGGAGAAGACAAGTCGGGCAAGAGACGGGATTCAGGGCTTGAGTTTGTGAACACCAACAGCAAGTGGGATGTAGTAGGTGTGGTCGTGAGGAAGATTGTTGTCGAGGGCAACGATGCGAAGCTGGGTGAGGAGCTGAGTGTAGAGTCCTGGAACTGAACGTACGACCAAAATATACACGTTCGCGAATCCGTGTAGGATGTCTGGGATATATGAAGAGAAGAAGTTGGGGAATTTATCGCCATGGGCTCACACATAAAGCATCACAATCAAAATATAAGAAATGTATTTCAATAGTTTTATATTCTATTCTATCCGCTACGTCTTCACATCATCAGGTATTATCTCATTGTCGACGTGTTTCTCGCGTTACTAATGCATATTTTTACACCTATTCCTGAAAATGCATCGACTGCACTAAAGTAGGCGATTAGTTACAGCCATACCACTCGTTGGTTTGAATGCTCGTATTCACTTTTTGAAGTTCATGTGCAATCCTCATTCAAGATGTAACATAGGTGATACAGGCACAGAATCTGAAGTATGTAATCTAATCGTTTCGTTCATATCAAAAAGTGCGTTTATCTACCCATACACACAGTGCTCGCTAGATGTCGACTCGAGTCCAGTGTGCTCGGCAACATAAGACCCATAGGAAGAAGCTATACCAGTAGCCCAAGACTGCGACGCCCATGCGCCCAACATATTGCCCATATGTCTCATACCCCTACAGAACCTAGAAGACTCAGAGAGCCTTGTCAGAAAGAAGAGAAGAAGAAAAAAATGCTGAATACGCATGTCAAACTTTTCGACAATATCCTCCACCCATACCCTCCGAATATCCTTCCTCAAGATCTCAGTTCTTTCACAGTTTTGCCTTGTCCTTGACCATTCTCTTCACAGGATGCAGTAGTATCCCTGGCATGCACATCCTCTGCTCCTCTAAGTTCCCGTCGAAGCCCGGTCCACCGTCGATGTGGTCATCCTCGCCCCACATCTGTTTAGCAATGGGCCAGTTGAGCCATCTTCTGTACAGGTTGCGCGGGAACCTGCTTGCATAATACCACGACCAACCCTGGAAGTTGTACTCGCGATCGTGGTTGTACGGCGAATCGGCTTCCTCCGTCCACGCTCCCTGTCGACTTTCAACGGCGCCACCAGTATACGGATCAACGGTTGATGCAGTATCGAAAATTGCTTCCGAATATGCAGCAGGCCAATGGCGGTCGTTGAAGATGGGATGTGGTGCATACACGGCTTTGAGCCCGTGCTGGAGAGCTACAGTCGAGGGCCACATTTCAGCTTGCATGCTGCGTCCCACAAGATTCTCCTCGTGCATAGCCTGCAACATTCTCTTGCTGAAGCGCACAACAGTATTGATGAAAACCCGGCGATCGATCTGCTCGAAGTCTTCGTGCGTGAACGAGTCTGCGTGGCCGTCTTCTGGGGTGAAGATTGGTCGAATGCCAGGGAGATAGTTCCAGATCTTGTCCTTGTAGGACCAAGTTGTATTCCGAGGATCCCACATTGGTAGGAGTGTAATGAAGTCCGCTGGCTCATTGACACCCCACTCGAAGTCGTCATCCTCAAAGCTCGTCGGTGGTGTTGGGCCAAGCGGTTTCTGTGGAGGATCCGCTCGTACCCACGGTCGGGGACCCCATACTGGCGACGGAATGAGCGAATTTGCTGACGCATTGAGAACGTCCTTGTGCGTATTCTCGACGAACGATTGATAATCCCCATGTACACTCGGAATGTAATACCGCTTGTTTCGTTCCCATAGTAGTTTCCTAGGTTGTTTGTCCGCAAACTCGCTAATCTTCTCAAAAAAGTGATAGTGGTGCCCAGTATACCTAGCATCTGTCTCCCAGTTCCAGACATAGTCGAATTCGGGATGCGTCAGACTAAACCACTGCAAGCACATAAACTGCTGCCAATAGACCTGCCAGTCCATAACTTTGGGGTACCATTCGGGAAAGATGGCTTCTGACCAGAGGATTGCGATGTCGCGGAGTTCCTCGGGAACATTTTCTTCTAGAATTTGGTCGTAGACTTTTTGGTTGTAGAAAATTGGAATGTTGGCGTCTTTGACATGTACGTAGAGGAATACCTGATATTCTCCTCCGGATTGAAGCGAGAGTTCTGAAACCATGGCGCGAATTGCTGTAATGTCGTTCTCCTCATAGGTGTAGCCAGTCCAGGCACGAATGAGAATGGCCGTACGATGGTGATACTTTTGCTCTTGCGGTTCTCTGTTTTCCAGATTACCTCTGCTCGTGTTTTCCGGGGTCGCAAAGGCGGATGATGCAACTGCGGGCGCTGGCAGCGCAGTGCTGGGAACCTTGACGATTGGTGTCCTCGCGCCGGGACGATAGCGTTCGCTATTGCGTGCAAGGCAATCGTCTTGAAGCTCTCCCCATCTTACTTGAGGCCAGTCGGGCACAGTTTCGGGAGCCATCCAATTCTTGACATCGTCGGGAAACTCATCGTCGCCATAGCCATAGGGACCGTATCGAGAATACCGATCGAAACAAACATCATCGTCCAGGCCAACAACATCATAACCACCAGCATACACAGGAGGAAAGTCGGTAGGAACACCCCGGTACACCTGCACCTCGTCGTCTGTGCTCTCATTGAGTGCCACACCTCTCGGGCCTATGCAAGGGTTGTATTCGCCCTTCCACTTCTTCTTCCACTCAGGGTTATTATACTTCGGAAATGGTTTATAGGCTATCGGGTCTGATGCGATGGAGTCATTGAGCTTATCATGCCCGGCTTCGTAGATGCGAAAGTCCCTGTAACGTCTTAGTCACGTCCGTGCCATAAATGCTTAGGTTACTACTCACATGTCAAATTGCTCCCACCGATTTGGATCGTACTCCATGTTGATATAATCCGAGAAAGGTGGCCAATGTCCATTCCAGCTCGGACGGCTCCATTTCAGCATCTTCTTCAAGTACTCTCTGACATTTGTCGGTCGCGGGGTCGGCGGAATAAATGAAGCCGTTCTCGAAGGTGCAGTCACCCATGGTGGATGAGGCTTGGTGTTTGGAACAGGCAGTATTACCGGATTGGAGCCCGCTCCTCCAGCCGCCAGCTCGACATCAATGGCGATTGGTGTTGCGACAGGCACTGTCTCATGCAACAAATCTGCGACCTGTTCTGGGAGAGATTTGTCATCATCCTGAGGTGGTATCGGTTCCTGGTCTAGCTTGTTTGTTCCAGAGTTGAATAGCGAAATGCGTTCGTACACTTTCTCGTTTGCCCACGGGCTCTGTTGCAACACGGCAACAATGAAAATAAATGCTACGCAAGAAAGAATCGCAAATCTGCGGGGTGACCGGACGAACATTGTGAAGCGCGTATTGGTGTTGTTTATATGTAAACTCGTAGCTTGAGGCGTGCTTACTAACGTGTTGTGGTATGGAGTAGGATGACGGCGCGTAGTCGTGGGATTTACCGATAAAGAAATCGTTGCATCGCTTGCAGTGAATGAACGTGCTAGCTAGTGTTTAGGAAGCGTATTTCGCGGGGTTGTAGGGGCCTTGGAGGCCGTATGGAGAGTGAATGGAGGTGGGTCTGGAGTGAGGTCTGCCTCGGAGTCGCGCGAATCGTCGTGATCAAAGGGAAGGAGCGATCGCACTGCAATACAAGGAAGGCCAGACTCGACTCGACTCGACTTGGTTCAACTCAACTCGACGTGACTGCTGCAGCACAGCGCGCGGTCGGACAAGGTAGAGCAGAGGAGGGTGAACCGTTGCAACGAAGCAGACACGGATCAAAGCAGACAGAAAAGAGAAGAGATGAGAAAAGCGGAGGGACAAACAGAGTCAATGCACAACCCCAGCTATAGCGTTATCGCTCCAAACAGCACCTCAAATCACGGAACTTTTCTCATCTCGGGCGATTATGTCTCTTCTGATACCTCTCCACTCATCTCCACAAGGCACCCCGGACAACAATGACGTTGCACACAGCTCGCGCCTGCCAGTCATGGTAGGTAATTTTACGATCATCAGCGAATGTTTCATCTCGAGGATCTGCTACGTGTTTCGCAAACCTACCCAGCGATAAATGACTCGCCCTTGCACATGTCACACACCAGGGGCAAAGATTGACTACCGAGCCGTCGACTGTACCTTGTGCAAAACCACCAAAGATAACGATGGATGCACACCAGGAAACACAGTCAGACATTGATGAAAAGGACGTCAGGGCTGAAGGATGCGTGGGAGGGCGAGATGAAGTCAAACCAGCTAATTAAACGACTGCCAAGCTCGGTTTAGGACCGAAATCCTCCCGTCCACATCGGTCCGCGCATGCAAGGGCCTCACGATCTGACAGCAACAACACTCAACCAATCATAGCTTTTGCAGTTCTCACGTCACAACCGGCGCTGTGCAACATGGTTGAAGGTTACGCTTATCTGGCATGGCGCATTGCATTGCGTTCAGTGTGTGCATGCTGCAGGGTCAAACTCGGTATTTTCCGATCGAGATCAGACGTGATTGATAGACGTTGAGTTCAAAATGAGGCTGACGCGTTCACTTCTGATCCCAACTCCTTTTGTCGAGGGCAGCCCGCAAACCCCACAGAAGGTAGTCCCACACAAAACTTGGAGCAGCACCAATTAACACCATGTTCCTGTGCATCCTTACTTCCACTTCTGCACAACCACACCCCCGCGCTTGAATTCTGCCATATCGCCCAGCACCTGTGCCTTGTCTGTCAGCTCCTTTGAAGGGAAAGTCGTCATGAGAGCATAGTCGCGCTCATTGCTAGCAGGGCTTGACCTGTTCACGAAGTTGTAGACGTCGCCGACGGTGTGTGAAGTGTTGAAGCGCGACTGTAGTCTTGTACCATCACCGAGTCGGATCTGGAGAGTAACTGTGGGAGCGGAAGAATCGACATCAACCGTTGGTTGTGCAGAACCGGTCGAAGTGGATGCGGTTGTACTTGAGGTGGCAGCCGTTGCGGGGGCAGTTGAAGAAGTCGCACCAGGTGTTGGGCTACCCAAACGTTGGCCAGAACCTCCAAAGGCAACGTACTTTTTCTTTGGCTGTACGTAGTTCTCGTCCTTGTGTGCGTGTACCTCGACGTCCACCTCTTGTCCATTTTCGACATTGAGTATGTGCAGCGGGGCATGGCCTGTGTTGATCATTTCCAGCGTGCGCGCATTTGCGGGGTCGTCGTAGCGGAAGAGCGCCCCGTCGTCGACGGAGAAGCCGTCTCGCCAGAGGTGCAGCTCGCGATGAGCACGCGGGAGGGGCGCGGGGATGTTGGCGTTGGGGTCGGGGACGACACGAGAGGGAGCATCGTCGCCACCAAGCGTTGTACCTGAGCCGCGGAAGTGCGAGGTGTCCTGCTCCTCGTCACCGCCCGGTCGGGGAGCGTTCCTGGGCCGTGTTAGCTCGAGCAACCGACCATATCCCTGCTGCAGACTCACTGTCGCGCCCGCTTCAGGATGCTGTTGATTTGGTCTCGTGGGTTCGACTGATTGGGGTTCTGGACAGCGAGGCCAGACTTTTCGCCACCAGCAAAGAAGTCCTGGTCCTCGTCGTCATCATCGTCAGAGTCACGGTCCCCGTCGTCGTGGGCGTGCCCGTGTCCTTGGCCGCCACCCGCAGACTGCAGGTCCTTGATGGTCTTGGGACCCCGCTGCGGGGCCTGTCTCTGCGTGGCTGGCTGGCGTGATGATGAAGACGACGACGATGCAGTGGGCGGAACATAGGCACCTCCCAGCGTGCGTCCGCCACCAGGCACAGGCTGCTGGGGGGCGTCGGGCGTCGCGTCTGCGGTTTGGTCATCGCCGGCCATGTCGACGTCTTGTTCAGCTTCCTGCCCGGCGGACTCGTCGAAGAAGAGGGATGCGGCGAGGGTCAGGTCGCCGTTTGCAATGTCCAGGTAGCGTTGTGCCTGTTGCGCGGGTCAGTCGGAAGCTCAGTGATTCCACGACTTTCTCTCCACTTGCCTCAGCTGGAGCGAGGCCCGTCAGGCTCGCAAGCTGTGCAATCTGCTCGTCGCCCGAGTCTGGTGTGTTTGATGACATGGATAGCGGTGCTGTAGGGGGGCTTGGTCGAGTGGGAAGTGCAGCTGCGAGGAGCTTCGTGGTTGTCTGGTAGAGCTTCGTTGGTTGCGGTGGGGGGACCAAGTAGGCTGACGTCGATGGCCGTGCACCTTCCTTCACTTCACTCTACGCGTGCCACACGGCTGCGTGTTTGTGCGTGTTTGGCTGCCATTTGCCATTCGCTGTCTGGCGAGCTGCGCCTTTGACGTCGATTGACCACTGTAATTGCATGTACATGGCGCCCAGTTCCAGTCGCCAAACCCAAGCTGAAGTCAATCTCTGCCAAGCCTAGAATTGTGCTTCCGCAGAGCCTCCACCACTCCATCCCCACCGAGCTGCGACCTACCTCGGAAGCGGCCCAGCTCTCCACACGCGCGTCTAGAGTAGTATCGTGCGCGTCTCGCTCTCTCGAGCCACTTACTCCACTGCCAACACCCATCCGAACAGTCTTCGTCGAACCTCCGGGACGCGCCTTCCTCCGCATCACCTCCGCAAGCCATCTATCACCACCTCACACCCCACACCCATAATGGCATCTCCTCCCCGCGACGCCCTCGCCGACTCTGGCCTAACCATGCCCTCCGACAGCGAGACCTACTCTGCAACCCACGACCGCGATGTCTCTTCTTCACCACCTTCCTCGTCGTCGTCGCCCTTGATTTTGTACAAGCCCCCCACGCTATGGGGTCTGCTAAGAGGTGCGGCAATCAACCTGCTGCTGCCGTTTGTGAACGGGCTGATGCTGGGCTTTGGGGAGTTGGTTGCGAACGAAGCGGCGTACAGGCTGGGGTGGTCGGGAACAAAGGTATTCTCCACCTTTTCTCTCTATGTTTTATACCCCATGTAGCACCGACGTGAAATGCTAACGATACGGTCCAGATATTTCCTACCCATCGATCCGGCTCAGACTCCCGCCGCGTGGGGCCTGGCGTTGAGATGCGTGCTGATCCTGTAGAGCGGAGGCGAAGGAACGGACAGGAACTAGACATGTACACATCCATGGAGTAGAACGAAGACACAACATAAGGCACAAATGTACATACCACTATACTAGCGTCGAACGATCGCCTGGCCTTGGACACTACGGCGACTGCATCAGTTATGAACAAATCACTTAGCCAAAACTCCCAATACATGTCATGTCTTCCATTTCCTTATCTATACAGGAGCCATTGACCGTGCTCCGTTATACATACAATTGCCGACCCATCGTACATTCCCTCTAGTGCGTAGTACTCTATAATCTGTCCACACAGGACCGATCACGTCAAAACGCTATCATACAAACGAAGCCCACCACGATTTTATTTCCTGTTCTCGAACCTCCTGCGTCGCTCGATTTCATATTGCTCCGCATCTCTCTTCTTCTTCGCCTGCTTGGCCGTCATCTTTGGTCCTCCATAGCCAGATTTCCTCATAAACGAATCCATGCCCTCCTTGGTCCTGCGATACATGAAGGCGAGCCTGTAGTTTCTGCGGAACCAGTCAAGCCTTGGCCCCAACCCCGTGGGAGGCGTCTCAAAGTCGATGTCACGGTCGGGGTACTCTCCGTTAATCTGCACTGCAGGCTTGGATTGAAAATGCACCGGCACCGGAGTACCAGCCTTGATGTTGATGCCGCCGTTTCCAGATTTTGCCAAGTTGCCCTGCTTCTTCGATGGTGTGTTGGGGGCCTGGTAGCGGATTTTGCCGTCGCGGCCCTTGATGTCTTTGAGCTTGAGTTCTCCAGATACGACTTTGCTGTACACGGCGTTGCTCTCCTTGCTGGGAAGAGGGCGAATGCGAATCATGCGGCGGAAGCTGTTTTGACGCAACAGGGCGCCTGTGCAACCGCCCAAAACACCCGAAGTGACAAAGTAGAGCTGCAAAATAGCGGGCTGGAAAGCAGTGACGACACCGATGAACAGAGCAAGCAATTGCATGACCTTACCCCTCATGAGTCCGGTGGCATCGTTTGAAATACCTGCCTCACCACCAGTCTGCGCCAAGTTGAGTTAGCGTAGTCAATAAGGAGGGTGAGAGAGTGCTCGCACCTTGAAGACGGTGTACATGATGGCGGAGGTGGTAGCTGGCAGAATAAAGTATGGATCGCGGACAGTAAGATCAGCAAACCACAGGAAGCCGTCAACACTCAATCCCGGGACAGGCAGCTCGCCCATAGCCCTCAAGCACCTGAAAGCCGAGAAGCCGACCCAACCCTGTAGGATCATGAAGCCGGCGGTTGATGCCATACCGCCAATGTAGGGCTTCATAACCTGCGCCTGTTGCATCTTGTACATGTCTGCCTTTTGCTTGTCACCAGCAGCAAGAGCAGCTTCCATTTTCTTGTTGATAGGGTCGGTGATGGGCCTCAGGGCCGCCATGCCAGCCAGCTTGTCCGAGGCGAGGGCCTGGAAGGCAAAGGTACCGCAGCGGACAACAAGACCAGCGGCGATGATGGACCCAGCCCAGCCCCAGCCTGACGACAGATAGATGGTCTCGAGCAGCTTTTCGAATGTGGCCGTCATGCCCCAGCCGTAGTCCAAGCCCAGCTCCTTCAGATGCCCAGCATGGTCAACGAGGTGGGTGGGGTCCAAGGCGACGACGTCCTTGACGGGATCGAGGTCGAGGAGGTCGTCGATGGATCGCGGGTCGCTAGACGCAGTGGAGGCGCCTGGTACGCTGCCTGCCGCTGTGCTCTGCACGCTGTCGACCACAGCAGCCTTGTCGATGCCCGCAGGCGCAATCTCGGGCGTAGCTGACGTGACAGCGTCATGCTGCCTCAACGCGGGGCCTTGGGAGAACTCGGCTACTCGGACGGCCTCGACAGCGTCGGTGGGGGCGCCGGGCGTGCTCGACTGGCCCCAGCTCCACGGCGCATACCACGATGCATAGCGGACAGACGACGCTGTCAGCACGGCATGCGGTTTCCCTGTCGCGCCTGTCCGCCATTGTGCGTGCTGGAGCGGGCTTGTTCGGTATGGCGGGGCAGCGAGTGCGGCGGTTCGGGGAAGGGAAGAGAACTGTATGGCCGTGGGTCAGTTTGCGCTGCATTCAACCCGCACCATCACACTCGGGCACTGCGAGGCAACAGACGACGGGGCATGGAGACGTGAGCGCACCTTCCTCGACGCATTGCACCGCACAAGCGTCGATTGCCGCGCAGCTGAAGGGGCATACTGGACGGGCCGCAGCCCTCTACTCGGAAGCATGGTGAGGTGTCGTCCAAAGTCGTCGGCCGCCTGCATCTTTTTCGACTTCCGGCAACGGCTACACTTCGGCCGGCCGTTTAGTCCAAAAGCGCACACCCTCACTCGTCCCATCTGCGTACAAACCCAAGATTGAATTATACATTCGTCGACTCGACTATTACAATGCAACACGTACTTCCCATGCCTTTTAACTGGGTATATCGACCTTTGTCGCCGCGGCCCTAACCCCATAAACACCTACTAGAATGCAGCAACAAAATCCCCACGTCCACCTAAACTAAACATACACTCAGCCCCCCTACAATTGCAATGGGGAAGCCATGGCGTCTTCCTTACTCCATGCACGCAAAACAACAAAACAAATATACATGCCGAATACCAGCAGACGCAGACGCAATAACAGAAGAATAAACGTTAGACGGAGCGAAGCTGTGCCTGTGACCGTCGACCATCGAGAGCAACGTAGCTTCGAGATGCCGTGGGCTGTAGCTGACTCATACGAAACTTTGGCGCCTCATTGCTGCTCATCTCCGTTGGAAACTCCGACTCAATCGGACTGCTAGTCCATGTAGTCGCTTCTTTCAGTCACAGCCAGCGCCTCTTCTGCCTGGCCGCCAACCATCTCCATCGCCTCACCAAACATTTCCTGTCCGCTGCCTGAGCTTTTGAACAAATCCTGCATGATGGGACTGGTAAGGACGGGCGCATGGCTTTCGAACAGACCTGGGTCTAACGGCGCAATAGAGGAGCCGTGTCCAAAGCTGAGCGGGACGTCTGTAGCAAACGTTGGCGAATTGTTGAAAGTCGACGTCGGCGCAGAGTCAAAATAGTCGTTTTCTGGGAAGCCACGCCGAGGCTCGCCTGGTGGTGTGTGTGATGAATCATGGCTGGGTTGCAGCCCTGGAGGCCTTGTAGGATCCAGCGACTTCCGCTTGAAATGATGTGTCTTGGTCCTCAAATGCTGCGGTAATTCATCTGGGTTCGAAATGCCGAGCTGGGTCATAATCTTTTGCTGTTTCGTCGGCCGTGGCTTGCGCGTCGACAGAGAAACCTGCAAGATTGGCGGTGGCGTTGGAGCTACCGGGGCCCACTTATGGAGCTCCTGGCGGAAGAAGTTGATCTCGTTCGAGAGCAGGATCTCGGCACCCTCCAGTTTACGCAAGTAGAAGCGTTGTGTTGTGAGCTCATCGGGACTGGACATCAATGGGTTGATATACTGTACGACGTATTCGCGAAACCTGGTACCATGGGCGATGAGTGAATCCAATGTCTCCTCTTCCTCTGGCTGAAACGGTAGGTTTGGAATTTCATCCTGCCATATTTGAAGGTCTTCCAGCTTTGGTCGAGTGGCATCGCGGGGAATCTTCACGCGGTAGTCGCAGATAGGACATGTGTACTTGTCGTCTTCTTTGACTTTGCCACGCGCAATCTTCAAGCACTTGCCATGATACCTACGAGCGTTAGTCCACGTCATCATCCTTCAGCCGGAAAACATACCATTCGTGACAGAGTTCACACTCAATCATCATGCCTGCTTCAGGCTTGCGGCAGATGCAGAACACATCGCGACTCGACCCTGACCCATCCACATTTTCTTCGTCTGCTGGGCTCTGCTCGCGGGAGGCGGGCTCAACAGGCATCCGTGGCTGATCGGACAAGTCGAAACATGACCGATTTCGCTCATCGACCTGCTTCATATGCGCATGCAAAATATGGAGAGGCGCATTTGCCTTGCCAAAAAGCTTCTTGCCCCGACGCATCCAGTCCTCGTGTCGTCTCTGTTCCTTCTCCAGATCGAGCGTACCTGCCGGCTTGCTGTTCAATATGTTCAGTGACTCAATAGCCGTCTTGACTTCCATGTACTTTGGTCGATGGATAGGATCCGGGTTCCTGCTCCGCTCGTACAAAGACAGAATTTGCTCTTGCGCGTCCCGCTGTTTCTTCAAAATCGCGTCGACAGCAGCACGAGTTTCTGGTGTAACAGGCAAGCTAGTTGCCTGTTTTGAGAGGGCATCCAACTGCTGGTAGTGCACGTTTTCGACCGCCATCAGTTCTTTAGCCTTTGTCTCCCAAAACTCGCCTTGTTCCTTCTTGGCCTGCAAGTATTGGATCTCAGGATGGTTCTCAGGGATGCCAAACTCGACGCCTCGCGCAATGAGTTCGCTGACTTCCTGCAATGTAGTAGCTTGTTTGAACTTGAAATCATCAGATTCCCGCAGCCACTTGAGCTGTTGCACAACCTTCTCCAGTGATTCTAGCTCCGTGAGGTCGACATTGAAACCCTTGCCTTCTTCAAGAAGTTCATCCAGTCTGGCAATACTCTGTTGTGCTGGCCGGTCACGTAGCGCTGCGCGTGCCCTGTCCTGGAACTCGGCAATGCTTTGAGCGCGTTCCCGAAGCGCGCTGATTTCTGCACTGTCAAAGCCCAACTTGTTTGCTTTGCTAAGAAGTTCTTGAATTTTTTCCATGCTGCGATAGTCCCGCTCTTTTTCGTCAACTTCAGCTGCAGCGGCGGCGGCAGCTTTGCTTGCCGCACCCTTCCCTGTCCGGACTCGTTCGTTCTTGCGGCGAACCTGTTGTTTTCGAGTAGTGTAATTGATAGCATCTTCGGCAATTTCAGAACACTTCTCGACAAAGTCTCTCAGGTCGGACAATCCAGTGAGTTCCCAGTCGATCTTCTCGCCTTCGTTGAGGACCGTGCGTAAAGCTTTGAGTTGAGGCAGAGGACCTTCTGCAAGAAGATTTTCCAGTCTGGCTTCCCACGCCTCTGGTAAGCCTGCTTTGTCGACCGTTTTTTGAACAATTGCTGTAAGCGTCTCGTTGGGCGTTCGGTATACGAGCGTGTGTTCGCCTCGAGCTCCAGTGTATCGCTCATTTTCTAAGCTTCCCGGACAACATTCAAACCATCCAGCATGTTGCAAACACAGAACTTTCTTCGTGGTGCCGCAGTAGAAGCGAGACAGATAACCATATGCTTTGCAAAAACTGCAAATGAGCTCATCCTCGTGGATATCGGCATCGTCGATGATAAAATCTATCTCACACTGGGGCTCGGCTTCGCCTGAGCCATCAAGTCTGCAAGCATGTTCTCTAGCGGCTTTGTGCTTCTCCAAAAATGTGGCTCGAATGTGGAATTCCCTGTCGCGCATCCGCTCCAACGCTGGACCAAGCCACTTGGCCGTTTTGATTGTCGTGTCCTTTCGCGCCGCAGCCGCGAGGAGAAGTTCGTCGTGTGAAAAGCATGGTTGACGTCGATAGTCCTGAAGACGTTGAACGCCATGTTCGCCAAACGGTTCCCAGTCGCATGGCGCAAAGTTGACTGCCTCGTTGAAATTGAATCCATGGTTGAACCCAGCATGATAGGCCTGAGGAAATGTGATGACAAATTCACCCGCACGCTGATCCAGTGCATAAACGCTGACCCCGGCCTTCTTTAGTTGTTCAGGCGTCAACAGCGTCACCAGCTGGAACAAAAGATCCGGTTGTGTCTCAAAGAGCTCAGGGACTGCCTCGCGCATTGCTCGCTCAAACTTGTCTGCATCTTCCGCCGGTATGCCATACCAAGTCTTTGTTGCGCCGAAGTGCTGATAGTTGGACGAATATGTATAGTGATCTTCGGCGTGCCAGCAAAATGTAGAGAAAACCATACCAACGTATAACCAAGGTACAGTCATGCCGGAGATGTCCGATTTGATATGGCGGAAGAGCGAATCTGGGGCATAGGGGAGGATGTTCAAGTTCCAGGGGTCTGTCGCGTAGGGATCTCGTGGGTTGCGCTCGATAGTAGGAAATCCACTTCCATGTGTTGTTGTGTGGATATCGGCCCCGTACTCAACTTCGACCGTGTCTTGGAGATTCTCCACTAGTCGCCAGAACTCGCGTTCAATGTCATCTTCGGTCACCGATCTAGACGTATTAGTGACAGGATCGAAAGGCATCTTGTTGGCGAAATGGCTCTGCTTGAAATTCTGGGCCTTCTCCTGGAATTGCTTGAGCGAGTAAACGCCACCTTCCTCGAAACCAAATTCCCCTGTGCCTACAAGACAGCGCGGACAGTGCCAGTCATGCGCAGGAATTCCTTTGATTGGTGGGTCAAGACAGTAACCGTGATAGCCTGCATCGCAGCTATCGCAGAGCAGGATGTGGGACGGGTCATTCTCGGTTCCACAGGTCTCGCATCGCTAATCTGATCAGTATTCGTATCCAATGCAACAACTCCAATGTACTTACATCGCCTGGGCGCTCATCAGCTGCACGGACGCGCGGGTAGAAAGTCCGGCCTGGAGTCGACTGGCGAGGCTGGGTCATGTGCGAGCCGGCGACCGTGGGTGCTGCGTCTGTCATTTCGTCAGTCATGCTAGACTCCAAGGGTACTTGTGCACAAATTCAGTTACCTTTCTTCAGCCGTTTACTACGTCTGCCATCCGCTTCATCCATCTCGCCGTCTATACTACCCTCCTCGTCTTGCGACAATGATCGTTTCATCTGGTTCGCCGCGTGCCCATTCAGGAGTGGAGTCAGACCGAGTGCTGTCGGTCGCAGATCTGGGGTGTTGTGTTCTGAGAGCATAGGACTGCCTCCGCCTCGCATAGGTGTGGAGTTTCGCGAATCAACATTGTCTCGATGCAGGCCATTTGAACCATTGACAGCAGAGAAAGAACTTGGCGTCGTAAAATGTGCTGGAGGTGGGTGTGCATTGACTGCTGTGAAACCCCCCAGATTCACTGGCGTAAACGTAGGTCGAGGTAAGTCCGCAGTGGGCGTAGGCACAGAATCGCTATGCAGTGTCGCATTCAGAGCGGCGGAGGCCTGCATAGCAGGTGAATCAGCACCGTTTCTAACAGGCGTGCCCAATGTCGACATTTTCAAAGGCGAATGGGCAGGCGATGGAGTGAAGGGGCCACCATGCTCAAGTTCCAGCATTTGTTGCACGCCAGGTTTGGCTACGCGCAGATACAGCTCATACGGGTGGAGCCATTTCTGGTATGAGTTCTTGAGCGATGTAGACAGAGAAGACATTATCTTGCCACTGTAGCCGAGGTCGCGCCCGATTTCAGCCCATTTCTTCCCCTTGCAGACACGCTCGAAGCCGCCCCTTGATTCGACAGCTTTCTTGAGCTTGTAGAGATCCAGTGGGCGCTTGTCTACGCTGGGAAAGCGGGTAAGACTGGAGCCGTGTTGCTTGTGGAATTTGGCGAGCTGATCCAGATAGTTCAGATTGGCGCGTGTGCCTATGATGGGTTAGCCTGCGCGGAATGAGTAGACGAGGCAGCGCATAGTACATACCACCCTCGACTGAGTTTAACTCCTGCCGCCGTGTGCGAAAGTGGAAGCGCTGTCAACGGTCAATTGGACTGAGGCTACAAGACATGGACCAAGAAGCATGGAACGAATTTGTGACGTGGGGACGCGCTTCGTCTGACATGACTCACCTCGGTATCGACAGCAAAGGACGGATTCCAGGAATCGGGCGGAACTATCTTGACGATGCCGTACTTTTGCGCCTCTTCTCGGATGCTCTGAATGTACTGGACGGGGTCCTTGAACTGCTCGGTGGTGGGTCTATATGTCGGGGCTTCCTGCAGACCAAACATGCGATTTGGCTTTGGCGGCTGGTTGCTGGGAGCGCCGTATCCCCTGCGTTCGACCGTGGCAAGATCCAGCGCCTGCGCCCTGCGAGCGCTCAAAGGAATCGTACATGCGCCGTTGGTCTGCACGCCACCCACGGCCGACTTCGCAGCGCCGCCCATGCGAGGCTTGGACACTGCAGAGCCGGCGTCGGGCGTCGCGCGCTCGGCAGCGACTCGGAAGGTCGCCATGGTGCCACCTATTGGCGGCCCGCCCGGGGGCATCGAGTCGGCCATGTCACTGCCGCTGCTGCACCCAGCGCTGCTGCCAATTTTGCCTTGCTCGTGGTTTCGTGGTGCTGTTCAGCGGATTTGGCGCACTCCCTCGGTCGGTCTGGTGTGGCAATTCGTCGGTTGCGGGGGCTATCGAGGCGAGATATCTGCGGGCATGGAACCGGTGGTAGAGGGCGCGATTGTCTTTGGCCGGGTGGATATCGTCCAGGCACGTGCGCAGGCGCAACAACTGTGTGCTGACAATCAAATCACGCCCAGTGGCGACTGGCGTGGTCGAGAGAGAGTATTTGCAGCAGCGCTGGCCAACGTTCCGTGGTGTGTGAAGGAGATGGGCAAGTCCGAGGGAGAGTGCAAGGTCTCTCCCGCCGCTAGCGAGACTGAACCATAACCATGCTACCCATTGAAGAGAGAGCACCTGTCACAGCACGCCTCGCTCTCGCATGTACATGCAATTCTCAATCTTGTACAGGCTGTTGCATTGTCTCGATCATCTCGTGACTGCAGGCGCATTCTAGTAGGTATACGTCAGGCCTGCGCTCAAGCGCCATCGTTGCTGGTGATTAAACATACATCATGCCGATCCAGTTGCCGCAAGGCTGCAGGCAGACCACACCTCGCTTTGTGGCGTGAACATCGCTCTTGTTTTTCTCACCCACACTACCCTTCAGCCTCTCTACGTGTTCAACTGGCTTCATTTGGCTTAGTTGGGTACATACATAACCATTATCACTCTGCTGTTGCTTTCTATTTTCAATTTTTCATTAGATAACCCGAGTGCATCGAAAGTCGCCACGCAAGCTCAGTCCTCTGTCTGTTTCCAAGGCCTTGTGATTAGTGGTTGCCATCTTGATTGTCTGTTCAAATCTTCATAGCGAACTGTTTTGCTCCAATTTTAGAGTGCTTCGTGCCAGCTCTCGCATATCGCAGCAGGCCTGAAGTCGGGAGGAAGGCTGCATCGGGAGGCTCAAACATTGCCCAATCATCGTTAGCGCACCCCTGCAGCAGTTCGTTACTCCCGGCACCATTCACAACAACAACACGGAGCCCAGTTCCATGTTGACTATGTCCAAAATGGAAAGTAAGCCAATACCTGCATTCTACTGCTGCTATCTACTCCGCTCTAAAAAACGCAATGCCTTCTACATCGGTAGTACACCCAACCCAGCACGTCGTCTTGGTCAGCACAATGGCTCGAGCAAGGGTGGCGCAAAACGAACAGCAATGCAGGGAAAGCGGCCGTGGGAGATGACTTGCATCGTCACTGGCTTTCCATCGCACTTTGCTGCATTGCAATTTGAATGGGCGTGGCAAAACACGCACGCAACGAGGCACATTGAGCGAGAGGTCCGCGACGCAAGAGTCAAGGAGCTACAGAAGGGCAAGAAAGTGGCATCTGCATCACCGAACAGAAGGCGGAAGAGACCGCCTATGAGTATGGAAGCGAGGCTGAAGAATCTGCATCATCTACTGGGCGTTGGGAGTTTTAGCCGATGGCCACTGGACCTCAGGTTCTTCGCGAAAGACGTGTTTGCGCAATGGGAAAGGCACATTGCAAAGTTGCCAACCAAGCTGCGGAAGAGCGTAACAATCCATGTCACTCCCGCCGAACTCCCAAAACTAGCAGCGGACGTCTGGGCAGAAGTTGGAGTATTCCATATCCCAGAAATTATTCGGACCATCCCTGTCGCATACGAAGACTGCAAAGCGTATGTCGAAAAAGCAAAGAGAGAGTTGGAAGATGAGCAGACGCAGCTTTGTGGCGTGTGCAAGACAGAAGCAGACGCGAGTACTTCGCTCATTCTGATCTGTCCGATCGAATCGTGCCAGACAATCTCGCACCTGAGTTGTCTGTCTAAGAAGTTTCTCGCAGAAGAAGGAAATCAAGATGCCCTAGTTCCCATAGAAGGCAAATGCCCTGGATGTCGCAATCCCCTCAAGTGGGTGACCATTATGAAAGAACTCAGTCTACGAACCCACGGTCAAGCAGAGATCGAAGCCATGTTCAAACCCAAGCGAAAACGGAAGGGCGCGGACAATGTCTCGGAAACGGAAGCGGGGGAGACACTGGAACTGAGTGAAGATGACGAAGATCTTGACGAAACATGGATGCTAGATGTAGACGATGACGAAGAAAAGTCTTCCAAACCAACCCATACTTGATACCTCTTCACCAGTCCTCGACAAACCTCAACGGCAACTCCCTCCCAACAACCTGCTCCATACATAGATCGACCTCTTCGCGGACCTTGGCCTGTACCTCCTCCAAGCTCCCACCCGCATCGATCCTCACAAAGTCACCTCCCTCCTTCCTCTCCATCAGCGACTCAAACAACACGCGTACCCAGTCTTGCATTTCCTTCTTCTCGTACTTTTCAGTACCATATCCGCCTCTCATCGTTGCATCTTCGGCAGAGATGTCGAGGAAGATACACAGATCAGGACGTGGAAGACCAACATCGGGATGACGAGCCCACTCGAGACTCAAGCTGGGATTGTGCTTGGCGGCGGAATAGACGCAGCCAGAGTAATAGTAGCGGTCTATGATGACGGTGGTGCCGGCGGCAAGGTCAGCTTGAATAGATGGTCTGCGTGGGTTGGTCAACTCCAGAAACTTTAGAATATCAAAAACTTGCACACATTCTGGGGATTGCAAGGAAAGTGTATTAGTCGTTACACACAGGGCCATGCACTTACGCAGCTTCCCACCGATTCGCAGAGAACAAAAGATGAATGACATGATCCTCTTGCTCGCTATAACCAGCCAAATAGCTATTGATCATCTGACCTATCGGTGTTGTTCTGTCTATTCACAAATCTCGAAATCAGCACATCAGATTAAACGTAACCGCGCCAAACAGGAAACCTACCAGGGAACCGCATGTGTCTGACCTTCACGCCATCTTTCTGAAGATTCTCGACGAGCTTTTGACACTGCGTTGATTTTCCGGCGCGATCAAGTCCTTCGAACACTATGAGCTTGCCTCGTGTCATCTTGGGCGGATTTGGGAGTTGTAGTTGTGGTGTTTGAGGATGGCAGTGCAGCGTGATATCAGGATAGCAAGGATGACCGGGGTACCGGGAGGAGCGGACAAGCAGGGTGGGCTGAGCTAGGATTAGTGTCGTACTAAAGTGAACTTTGTGCATGTTAGGGTGATGTTTTTCTCGAGTCCAGAACACCGTTCCGTTTTACCTAGTAGTCATGATCTGGTTCTGTTACGCTATGCAAGTTTCTACAATGGAAGGAACTATGTCGTCAGGTAAATACCGGAATCAAATTGTTGGTGGTACAAGATTTTCAGCTTTTGTTGAGACTGGCGTGACCCTGATCCCTTATTGTACTCATCCACCAAAGTCGTCGTTATCAATTCCTGCACCAGCAGTGTTTGTTGAGTATTTCTCATCTATGCTCTACAAGTCATCATAATATTTCCCACCTCAAGACAACCACGCGCTTGAGCCATGTATCCAGATCCACAACCCTAAATGCATACACGCTCTATTGCCAACTAAACAACCCAACTTCTCAATGCTCGTGTCCGTGATGCACATGTGCAGAACCACTCCCAAAATCGATCTTCCACCCCCTTGTAATACCGACCTTGGGATCCCGGATCACCGCCCAGGCAGCCTTCTTCCCTTGGCTCGCATGATATTCCAACGGCACTGGTTTCCTCCTCTTGCTCTCCTTTGTACCCTCTTCCATGACAATAACTTCCTCCTTGTCCTTCCATGTGCTCGGCGCGCCGACAACAATGATCTTCTCCACACGCACCTTATCCATTGTCTTCAAATACGACTCGCATTTGACTGACCTGACTGCAGTCACAAGATTGGATGACGTCAGAGCATTGCGTTTGCCATCGAACGAGAAATGTCGATGGATGAAGGCGCCTTGTTCATAATCAAAGGTTTCACCGTCATCGAGGTAGATGGAACCAGAGGCATTACCATCGTTATCGAGGACGACTACGAGTGTGAAGGGGTCATATTTCATAAGACCTGATGACCGACGGGGACGGTCGCGGCGAGGAATGACGTGACCTCCTTGCATAAGAAGCGGGATCTTCTCGAGCGGTGCCTGAACGGTATGATGACCAGCACCTTTGTATGTGGTGTAATCGAAGTAGTCATAGTACGGCTGTTCGTCTGCGATATACACGGAGACACTATCAGCGCCCTCTTGGGTCACCGGCTTGGCCAAAAGACCAGTGGAACCAATGTAAAGCTGATCATCGACAGCGAAACCACGCTCATCCTCGGGATGAACATAGAAATTTGGTCGGATTATAGGAGCTCCGGTGGTAGAAGCTTCGTGGAAAGCGGTGTACCAGGCGGGGAGCAGCTGGTATCGCAGACGAAGAGCCTGGGTGATGATCTCGGTGTATGGGGAGCCAGCGAGGTAAGGCTCACGACGGCGTGTGTCAATATGAGCATGGCCTCGGAAGAAAGGGTAGTATATGCCGGCCTGATACCATCTAGTCAGGAGCTCCTTGCTCGGGTTGCCAAAGAAACCTCCAACATCCGCGCCGGCGAAAGGAAAGCCGGAGATACCTTGGTTCAGGACCATGGGGATGGAAGCTCCGAGGTGAGACCATTGAGATAGATTGTCACCAGTCCACATGGCGGCGCTGCGTTGACTGCCCGAGTAGAAAGAGCGAGTAAGCACAAAGGGACGACGAAGCTCGCCCTTCTTACGCTCGACCATGGCCTGGTAGGTTGCATTGTGAAAGGTCATGCCGTTCAGGTTGTGAACGTCGCGATGCTCCCAATTTTCGTAGTGCAAGTTGTCCTTGGGCATGGTCGTCTCAGGACCGTTGAACACAGAGGGCTCGTTCATATCGTTCCAGATGAAGGTGTTGTGCGCAGTGCCCTTGAAACTATCATACTTGAACAGACTCTTCCACCAGGTAATGGCGGCTGGGTTGAAGCAGTCGACCCACATAGAAGATCCAGGCCAGCACCAACCCTCAAACTGCTCTGCGTCCTTGTTCATGACAGCAAAGTCTTGTTTCTTGAGCTCATCGATGACATGATAGTCATTAGTGTTCTTGATATGTGGGTCAATAATAGTAACAAGTTTTCTCTTATGCTTGTCAAGCTGCTCGAGCATGTCGATGGGATCATCGAAGGTCAGGGGATCCCAGGTAAAGTATTTCTTCTCTTGCGTGTATTCGATATCAAGCCAGATGACATCAAATGGGATATTGAACTTGTCGAACTTTCGATCCACGTCTTTCACATCATCGTCACTAACGTAGTTCCATCGGCATTGATGGTAGGCAATAGCGAATGATTGTGGCATGGCAGTGTAGCCAGTAAGCTCTCCATACTGGCGGGTAAGATCTTGTGGAGTGGGCCCGAGGAAGACGAAGACGTCCAAGAGGCCGCTCTCCGAAACCCAATGGGTGTGGGTATCAGTATTGCTCTTCGAGCGAGCAAAAGGGTTTGCTGACTTTTTCGTCTTTGTGATGTCAATCCATGTCTCGGCAGCGTTTAGCCAGAAGACGCCGACGGTCGAGCCCTTGCGGTGGGCCTGCATGAGGGGAATGGCGCCATAGAGCGTCATTGGACTGTCCAGCTCGTACTCAAAGACATCGGCGTTGTACAGGCGGTAAGGTTCAGTGAAAGCATCGTCGCCGCCCCTACGATATGTTAGTCTTACGAAGTGGTCATTGAGATTGACATACACACCTCGTAGTCTTCAATGATAGCCTCGCGGCATGCTCCGGAATCCCGAACACATGCTCATAACCAGGAAACGAGATGTCGAGTCCGACCGCCTCAGGACCTTTGGGCTTAGTGTCTGTGTTACCACCAAACTTCTCCTCCCACCATGTACTCTCATCTTCCGTCTTCTCCTCTATTTTCTTCTCGCTATCCTTGCTCTCCTCCCCATCCTCCTTCTTCTCCTCCTGCTGCTTCTCGACTTTGGCTCGCCAATGCTCCATGTTCAAAAGACCTTGCTCGTTGAACTTCACGTGAGTCTCGCCGTCTTTCTGGAATTCAATGGCGAAAGGTTGGTGTCGGATAATGGCTTGTTGTTTGCCGCCCTTGCCATAGAAGACGTTGGTATGGCCCTGCTCAGCATCTGCGCCCAGTGCTGCGCCTGTCGAGGGCCGCAAGCCTCCGACGAGTGCCCATTTACCGGTCTCGTTATATCGTTCTTTCCTCGCTTTACTGCCATGTCGAAGTTCGATTTGGCCCTTCGCCCTCTTCTCCTCGTCTAGAGTGACTCGCGCGACGCCCGACTCGAGGAACGTGACGGTGAGGGGCAGCTGGACTTTGTCCCCATCTGCCAGTGTCTTGAGCACAACGCCGCTCAATTGGCCGTCTTTGAACGTGATTGATGCAGGATCGAGAGCGTATGGGGATACGGTAGAGCTCGCGATAACGTCGTCGGCGAATTGGCGATTGCGTTTGCAGAAGCCGGATTGATCACATGTCTTGAAGTTTTCATGTTTGACCGCAGCTATAGGTGCTTGTCAGACGCTTTGTTTGAGCATAGAGAGGATAGACTGAGCATGATAAGTGATTGGGGGTCTCGAAGCTAAGCAACTCACCAGCTGGAATAAAGACACAGCATAGCGCTGCTAACAGACAAACCGAGGTCGTCCACCGGGGAGCAGACTTGGGTTTGGACACAATCATGGTTGGAACATGAGCAGCAGAACAGCTCTCGCGAACAAGCTTCACAGGTACACGTTGTAGTTTCGCGGATGCTGAGCGTCACGTGACGTGTCGCTCAGGACGCGCCAAGCGCGCCACAACTTGACACGCCAACGAGAGTACCCCACCTAGAGTAGTGTCGAGATAAAATCCCATGTCTGATTCCACTAGCCACGACCCTCCTATCTTCAAGTTACTCGGTCACAAAGACAGATCCCACCTACGCCGTAACATCGAAGCCCAAGAAACCGCCAACATGACCACCGAACAGACGTACGTTGAGCACCGCGAGGGGTAGCAAGTGACGGTGGGCTAACGAGCTATGCACAGCTTCATTGCTATCAAGCCTGATGGTGTCCAGGTATGCTACTCTACTGTCTCCCATCTTCCTGCCACTGCTCTTCTGAGGGTGGTGGAGTGCAATGCGGGGTAAACACTACAACACGATGCTAACAATCCTTGCCAGCGCGGCCTCGTTGGACCCATTGTCTCTCGTTTCGAGAACCGTGGCTTCAAGCTTGCTGCCATCAAGCTCGTCAGTCCCTCCAAGGAGCACCTCGAGAAGCACTACGAGGACCTGAGCGACAAGCCCTTCTTCCCCGGACTAATTGCCTGTACGACCCCACGACCCCACAATCCCACTACACTACACAGATCCAATACTGACAACACCTAGACATGGGCTCTGGCCCCGTCTGCGCCATGGTCTGGGAGGGACGTGATGCCGTCAAGACCGGCCGCTCCATCCTCGGTGCTACCAACCCCCTCGCCTCTGCCCCCGGCACCATCCGTGGCGACTTCGCCCTCGATGTTGGCCGCAACGTGTGCCACGGCTCCGACAGCGTCGAGAACGCCAAGAAGGAGATTGCTCTCTGGTTCAAGGAGGGCGAGGTCCAGAGCTGGAAGATCGCTCAGTTCGACTGGGTCTATGAGAAGCCATAGATGCATCCTCCTAGTACAGTTGAGATTGGCGTAACGTCAGTCGACACTTGAGGGGTACAGATGGTCAATGAGGATACGAAATGACACGAAATGACATGATCGTCACGTAGAACACACAAAAATGAGACTATTATTGATCTCCAGACAACACAATGCTTATTCATGGTTGATGTGGTCTAACAACGCCATGCTCACTCTTATGGATGGTCTAAAGTCATGCAAATCGATAGACAGCACCCATTCACAAGGCCTATCGATACGCCGAAGCAAAGCAATAAGTTGGCTTGATTGCGGGAGGACATCTAAACCTAAGCTGTCTCACTCTCCACTCCTTGTTGGCTTTCCTCTTTCTTCCTGTCCGAGCCCGCTTTCACGGTGTTGACATACCATCCCCTCAACCGCTCTACTTCCTTCCACTCTCCCTCTCCCCGCTCCACTGCCGGCCCCTTGACCTCCTCTCTGGCCCTTGTCTCTCCAAAGGCACCCCTCTTCGCACCCCAAACAGGCTTTCCATACCGCCAGACACACCAACTACTCTCATCCGTACTGATCAACGTGGCACTCCTGTTCAAGCTCTTGACGCTAAAAGCACGCAGTAGTACGACATCGCCTTGCTCTGCAATTGGTAGCGCGGTCTGATACGCGCGAAAGATCTGAACCGTTGTTGTGGCGGGCCAGGTACTCAGATCCGTCATGTGAAGCGTGGTGTTCCAGTGTTGCGGGCCCTTTGCAGCTTTTGCAGCTGGGGTAGTGGCTGAGGTGACGAGGCCAAGGATATCAGGATTGGCGGAGGAATGGAATTGTGACGAGCGGTTCAGGAAGTAGACCAGATCTTTGAGTGGGGTGTAGTACGCGAGCGGGGTGGAGAGGCCGACAGAAGGATCTTCAGGGCGCGCGATGAGTGTCGCCTCGTCATCCGAGTTGGAGTTGTCGGTAGAGTGCAGGCTAGGGGAGGAGGCTACTTCAAGGGTTGCTTCGTCGTGGTGGGGTATTACTTTCGCCATGGGTGATTCGGTGGTTGATTGAGTCTCGATTACTGACTTAAAAGAAGGGAGACCCGAGGAGGTTGTCTGGGTGAGTTGTGGTGTCAGAAGTACAGAATGCTGCTTCTGCCTAGATTGTGATGGTGCCGTAGTTTGCTGCGTCGCTTGCGGCGTGATCAAACTGTGCCTGTCATGGAGCGATTGTTGTCTGGTAGATGGAACCTCAGATGCAATGACGGGCGGTGAACTGTGCGTAGACTCGTTTACATCGGTCGGCTGAGGAGGCGAGCTTCGGGGCTGATCACCTTCACCTTCACCAGGCAACTCAACATGAGATGTACCTTGCACGCGTGATTTTAGCCTTGGCGGTGTCACAAGCTCAAAATCCCGGTCGTCATGCATAGCGGACCCATCCCAATCATCAGACTGCTGAACAGTGGATATGGAATGCTCGGAGTGGAGGCTATCCTCCTCGGAGTCCTTCACATAGGACACGTTGGAGTATCGACCTTGCGAAGCACCTAACTCTTGGGATGGCTCGAGACTAGTCGCAAAAGTATCGCGCTCTTGAAATGGATCAAAATCGTAATATGAGTTTATGCCTCTTCGAGAGGCAGTTTTGCGAGCACTCCAGTGCGTAGGGGCAGCGGCAGGCACTTGTGGGCTTTGAGTAGATGACAGCAATCTTGACCGTGAGTGAGAATCTAATGGTGAGAGTTGTGAAGCATCTTGTGATAGGGAAATAGTCGAACGCCCCCGCGTTCTGGGTGGAGATATAGTTGTACGCGCATGGGAAGTCAAGGACATCCCAGCTCCGCTCGACCTCGTCGAGCGTTGAGATGTGGGTACATCGTCCCTGGGTGGGGACATCGAGGTTTTAGTCTTGGACCTTGTGTTTCTGGCGGGGCCAGTGGCAGGTACGGCAATGAGTTGTAATTTGCCAAGTTTATCTCCTTCCTGAGGAACGGCGATTAATAACTTGTCAGAATCTTGATCGTTCTGTGATGGTTGCCCATCTTGCTGGCTTATCTGATACAGAGAGTCTTCCTCAACTGATTCCATCTTAACACCTGGGAACATGTCTTCAATGTGTGACTCCTGTTGAGGCGAGTTTAATACCTCATCCTGTAGATTTGAGTCTTCCATCACGGCATCCGAGTAGTCTATGCCTAGCTGCGGCTCCCAGTCGTCTACCATAGTATACTGTTCCATTGAGGAATTGTTCTCATTGTCGAGTGCCTGGGAGGGGCTTGTGTAAGTAGCAAGTTCAGATTGCGAGGCGGTTGACGCCGGAACCTCTTGCATGTGGCCCACGGCTGCTAACTCACTATGATCGTTCGTATATCCCGGTACGACTACTTTAGTCACGGGATCCTGGCGCGGAACAGGAGTAGAAGAGTGACTTGCCGCCGTTCTGAGTTGTATATTTCCTTCCTTTGACTCTTCTTTATCAGTATCGATGTGTTGCGATCCAACCGTAATATCTTCCTCTTCGCCATCATCTTCGGACGGGGAACCTAGGTCGATAATCTCTGAAATGACTGCGGACTGCTGAGTGTTGACAAGTTCATCGTCGTTGTCCAGAATCTGAACGTTTTCGTCTTGCATCGATGTGTCGTGAAGGGAAAAGATTGACTTGGGCGTTGCTGGAACTGTATCAGGTGGGTTGTCGACGTTGTCGGCAATTTCCACATGCCGTTGTACATGCTCTTCAACTTCTATTTGCCCCTGCGGTTCCGGAGAAGACAGTTCCAATGGGCGAGAAAACCCAGCTCCATCCATGCCGAAAGTGAATCGCACAGGAGTAAAAGCCGACTCGTGCGTTGGGTGAAACGCGCCGGCTTTGGACGAGCTTATCGAGCTGTAGAAACTTGTTTCGATGATGTAGTCGGCGTCGTCTGTCGGATCTTCTTCTCCGGTATCTGGAAGTTCGGAGTGTTCAAGGTCATTAGTCGTGATGTGGTCGAGATACGATGTCACGGTGGAGTCGTGCTCTCCTGGGAACGGAGAGGGAAGCGGAAGAGTAGAAGAATCCAATGGCTTCAGAGTTGGACTTGAAGGCTCTTTGCCAAGGGGTGTTCGCATGCCTGAAGGAAAACTGGTCTCGAGGATCGAAAGTGGAGGAGGCATAGCAATCCGGAGAGCATCTTGGAAAGGCGCAGTATGTACGGGCTCTTCTGTTACTGAAAGCTGGGAATTTTCTGTCGTTGTCGCGGGCGCGGATACTGTAGCTTCTCTAGCTTCTGTAATAGCAATTGGACCATCTTGCTCAGTCGCACTTCCTACGTCTTCTTCGGCGTAGTCTTGGTCACTGACACTGGACGCAACATGATCGGCTTCGTCCTCGGTTGGTGGTGAAGGATTGTCTTTCGGCTCGAGAACATCGGCTTCTGTCAGACTGACACTAGCATCATAGTGTCCGTCTTGACGACGTTCTTCTTCTTCTACTTCGGTGTCAAGCTCTGTATCACCACCAAAGGCAAATTGTGCATCTGAAGGCAGGGTGTCGTCAGGTGCGACAGAGAGCGCGTCATAACTGGTGTCGCGCACAAAGCTGTCCTCGTCCGCAAGCAAGCCTGTGTCGGTGAGAGTGGTAGCTTGTTCCGCAGGTGAAGCATGTTTGGACAGTGCAGTCTGTGCCTTTCGTGCCTCCTCCTCCTCCTCTTCTTCTTCTTCATCTTCCTCCTCCTCCTCCTCAATGACTTGTCGCTCCAGTAGAGGCGGAGATATGGGCGTCTTGGGCAAGTGGGTTGAACGGCTGGGCGAAGGCTCGGCGGACTCGAGCTGGTCCTCCATGGTCACGTCTTCCTTGTCAGGCGACGGGGTCCTCGCCGAGTATGTCCATGCTGTCCAGTCTCGGTACGACTTCCTCCGGCGCTTCTTGTCGTGGCCAGCCTCAGGCCCGTCGGCAAACGGATCATGGGGGGCGTCGAAAACAGGGCTGTCGGAGAGTCGGGCGCGCTTGAGGAAAGCCGGGGATGACCACTGCTGGGCAGGGCTCGGGGCTGCTATGGCGTGGGGGCGGGCAGGAGACTGCGGCGCTGGTGTGGGCGCAGCATGGACGAGGTCGAGGCTGGCCAGCTCACGTCCACTGCGGAAGATACGGGCGGTGAGGATGCCGTGGTAGGAGAGGTCCCAGTCGATGGTCTTGCCCGGGGTGCTGGCAGTGGCGTCTTGCACAAACTGGGCGCCACCCAGGTCTAGCACCACCTCGTCTCCGATTCCGACGCCCGTCGCAGCAATGGCCTTTGCGCTGGACTCGTGGAAGCGCGCGCGGACCTGGCCCTTGTTGCGACGCAGGCGGAGTTCGGGCTCGGCGAGGAGGAGGGCGAATTGGCGCGTTGACGACGAGTAGGGCCAGATGAGGGTGACGACGGCCTTGAACTGCTTGCCTTCGGGCGCGGGCAGTGCGGGCGTGAGCGCTGCGATGCGGACCCGCTCGTGGTCGTCTGGGTGCTCCATGGTGGTGATTGCGCGCCGCGTGGGCTGGGTCGCGTTACGAGGTTGACATGATGGGTGCGTGGGCAACCGAGCAGCCGTCCAACTCGGAGCGCGTCGTGGGTGAATGCGAGCAGAGCTTGGCGGCGTCTGCTGTGAGTGAGACGCGACTTGTCCGCCCGCCAAGCTGATGCGGCTAGTCTGCCTCGGCCGCAGCTGCCTTCTTTGCTCCCATCGCACGCCAGACCGCGTCGTCGCAGCACGGAACACGGACCGAGGAATGCTTCTCTAGCAGAAGCGCCTCACTATGAAGCCTGACCCGCCCGTCCGAACATGGATAATTGGGGCGACCCTTGGGCTGACCACACCGACGCTTACGACGACTCTCCCACAAAGCCTGAGCTAGCATCGCTGCCCCCTGCCGCCTCCGCCGCCCCGCCTGCACTGCTCAATGTCTTTGTCGACGATGCCGGCTGGGGGAACAGCGAGGGCGATGCATTTGGTGCCTGGGCCACGTCGCCGGGAACAGTTGTTCGTACTCCCATCGACACGGGAACATCTGCACCCGTATCCACTGCAACCGAAGACGCTCTCAGTAGTGTGTCGTGGGACAAGGTAGAACACCGCGAGGGAGAGAAGCCCACCACATTGGAGCATGGAGAGACGGTGAGCCTGGGCACGTCCACATCGAGTCCCGCGACACTGCAGCAATGGACCAGTCCTGAACAGCCTCTCCACAGTACGCCATGGGACACGATACAAGATGGAGAAGGGGAGACGGTAGAATGTGAGGAGGAGTACACAACAGAACATCGACATGGGGATGCGGCAGAGTATGGAGGGGGAGACTCAGGAGAAGGCGATGGCAAGGACACGGTAGAACAAGAAGAGAGGAACACGGCAAAATGCGACGAGGACAAGGGCCCAGATGATGCCATCTCAGGCACATCCGACGCTGTGACTACCAAACAACCCCACGACGCCTCCCCACCTGTTCGATCTCAACCCGACGATGACTTATCGACACGCGCCTCCACCTCTCCATCCGAGACAAGCCACAACGACGCGCCTGCCGAGTCGTCAAGAACCTCGTTTGAAGAGGAAGGCGCTGGGAAAGTCACTGTGCCACATCAGGAACACCACGAGACAGAGCCCAACGCTGGACCTGACAAGACCATCGATGAGCCCCGGTCTGTGGACTCTGACCGTGCCCCCGACCTGCCCACAACCACCACCGGCCAAGATACTACTCAAGATGCTGCCGCTTCTCGAGTGTTCTCTCCCGACATGGCCTTGGTGGCTGACCTGTTTCCGTCTCCGAGCACTGCGGAAGACCTGCATGACGCGCCAGAGGATCCAATATACTCAACAACAGCACGGAAGGCTTGGTACAGATTGACTCGCAAGCAGACGATGAGAGAGCACAATGCCGGATACGACCAAGACAACTACATCCGCGTCACCTGGGCAAATTCTCATGTCAGGTTGGAAGCTAACAAGATTGTCGGTCGATGGGCGCGTGAAGATCGCATCTCTGGCACTGGAGCAGGCGCGAGAGCCTCCTTTTATTGGGACACAACCGCTCCAGTCGATCTGGCTACAACGAGGACCCACGTTCGGAACAAGACATCAACTCCTACCTCGAATCCAATTGCGCCTGCGAGACACAGTCTACCGCCACTACCGACGAACGCATCCGTTGCTTTCGACTGGAGCTCTCCATCAGCACAAGCTGATCCTTGGCAGCATCATATCCCTGCTCTACCATCCACATCTTCGCCTTCAATCTTGAAACACGCTGCCATCACCAACGCTCAAAAGCATGGGAGTCGCTCCATGTCGGCAGATCTAACACCATACAAACATGGACAAGCAACACACATCTCAAACTCAAGCCCGCCGCCTGTCTCCTTTCCCACCATGGACTCAAGAGATCCGTGGGCCAATCTTGGCAGCCTCGATACCAAAATCTCCAGAGAAGAATCTGCGAGCGCTCAGGTCGATGATGATGACGATTGGGGCGAAATGATACAGAGCCCAGCAGTGTCCGTTCCACCTCAGTCATTTGGGGCCTTTCCTGACACGGCGTATGCTTCTCCCATCGTTCCACTTGGGAACATCATATCGCCAACATCAGGTTCTTCTCAGAGGAATAGTTTTGTATCACCCAGCATTGAGCACAGTCCGATTGGATCCAGCACCTTGGAATTAGCAAAAGATTTGGCAGTCTCAACGCCAGAGACTAATATACTCGAGCTATCAAGCCCGTTGCCCTCAGAAACAAAACCAGGCGCAAGAGAACAGAACACCCCCGAGGAGAGCGGTAACTTAGATGAGTTCTTCGCCTGGAAACCAGCAGTCCCCATATCTGTATCAGAAACGACAAAAGATGACCACTCCTCAAAGTCTGCCTCCACTACCTCACTTGCAGCTCCATCTTCTACAAACCCACCAGTCGACTCCTGGGCCGACGCCGACTTTTCAATCTTCGAATCAAGTGTTCCGTCTCAGCCACCCGCATCTCAACAGCACGCTTCCGATTCATTTTCCATCCTCACAAATCCAGCGGCAGAAGAGCCAGCACAGCCTGTTTCACACTCATCGCCAAACATTTTGACGTCGACGCCGCCACTTACTGGGATAACGAACTCGGCGACTAGAAGGAAAGCAGACGAGGATCAGATCGTCAAGGACATTGTGGGTGGATTGCCAGATTTGATGTATATGTTGTTATGATAACGTCAGAACGCTTTTCTTGATCTCGTTGCGTGCATAGCGTGTATTTCTATAGCGTCTTTCTGTTACTGCACAGGCTAGATGGTGGAGCAGTTCTTCGGGCATATGTAAATTACACTTTTGTACAGTTTTGCGGTTGTAGACGTATGGTCTGTGTAGCATACAAATATCATTCATAGGCTAGGGTATGATGTACTGCCATAGGCTCATTGATCACGGTTTAATAACTACACGATAAGTGTTTGCCCCGTCAATGACACTATGCGGCAAGTCAAGGGGTGCTGAAGAGTTGGGCCTGAGACATGAATCTTGGAGAAGGGGGAAGAAGATTTCTGGAAGGAATGACAACATATTTGTGAGAAGATTTCGATTTAAGCTCTTTTACCCATTCAAGATCATCTACAATAGGTATAACAAACATTCCATGTACCATATCCATAACCTCATCTAAAGGGAATTCGTTACCTCAAACACAAACATCTAACTACATACTTCCTTTGCTCTCCTATTTGGAAAACATCACCTCATTACAAGTGCCTACCGTCATATCTACCAATCCCCGTGTCCGCATTTTTGGTGAATTCAGAACAAACAATTGATCGACAATGTGCTGTTGTGAATATGCAGGCATGGCGACTTACCAAACAATCATGACCCGATGGGAAAAATGAAAAACGAAAAAAGAACAACAACTCATGCGACAAGAAAAGGCAAGAGGGGGAATCATGCGTACCAAATAAAAAACATAAAACAAACATGAAAATCCCATTAGGAAGACAACAATGAAACGCCTCGCTAATGCAATACAGACCACCGCGGATGTCGAAGAACTTGGCAACACAAAGTGCCTCAGGGTATAACAGGAAACCAAGAACTGCAGCACCGCTAACAAGGTCGTGGACTAAACTCGCGATGGGATGTTTTCTAGCTCACTGCGTTGGCGCAAGTACTTCGCGGCCAGATGGTCACCACCCCGCATAGACTGCTCCATCCAATGTTGTGCGACACACATGGTCATTGGATCACTGCGCGCAGGGTCCTGCGAAGCCCTCCTCTCGCGGTTGAGAAGCTCCGTCTTGAACACGTCACTTGGCTTTGTGAGCGGCAAGACAGCGCGGTGGAGAAGTTCGGGTGAAGTGAGATAGAAGATTGCAAGCTCACGCTCCGCGACGGAATCGCCTTCTTTGGCTGTGATGAGAAGCATGCGGGCGGCATCCTCCATGGTGTAACGAGATACCGGATCATCCATTGGCATATTCGCAGCAGTACTTGTGCCTGACTTCTCCGTCGCCCCGCCGTTGTTTTGTGGGACTACGGCGTCACGCTTCAGATTTTGTGTGATCACCTCTTCGACAAGTTCGACCATGATCCGGCAGACATCCTGCTTGAGGCCCAGTGCAGCGAGACCAACATCCCAGAATGCTTTTCCACGTGCGGTCTTGTCGAGCATCTGCGCAGGAACAAACGTAGCGATGTACTGAAGATCTCTGAAGAGTGTCTTGGGTCGAATATCGGCATCCCGGAAGAGACCTTGCATAACCTCCACAATCATATCTGTGCTTGGTGGACCGACAGGGGATCGAGCGCCGCTACGGTTGGGGACTGGCGAAGCATTGTGGACACGATCTTGATTCATGCTATGAGAGCGTCGCTCCTCACAGTTGGCGATGGCCTCTTCCAGGTTCTGTGCACGCGAGGTATGCGTCGCTGGCTCACGCGAACTGAGCTCAGGAATAGCACCAAGAGTTGGTGACTGAGGAACAGTGGGCAGCGTATCTCGACGGTTGTTGTAAGATTTTCCAGATCGGGAAGAAAGAGACGCAATGATGAGAAGCTCGAGCTCGTATAGAGCGTGCAGTTTGGAGTACGGATTAGGATGTGTAGCAAACTTGCTGAGAAGACGTCGAAAGGCCACGTTGTATGGGAACTCGAGCAAGCCGGCCTTCTTTGCTGTAGACATACCGGCTGATCGCGACGTAGCATCGCTGGACGCTGAGGAATGCTCGCCTGCAGAGTGGTGAGCGTCGGAAGCCGCAGCATGCTGATACGTCGCGATGGGGGGTGCGACTTGGCTCCTCTCGGTGCGACCAAGAGCCTCGAGTGGATTTCGTTGGTCAGAGTGGGTCATCCGGCGCATGTCTTTCATGCTCTTCTTCTTCGCCATTTGCTTTTTCCGCTTACGCTCTTCTTCGTCTCTGCGTTCGATACAGTCCTCGAGCAAATCACCACCAAACCAAGAGTCTGTCTCGCTTCCACTCGAGAACAACATGGTGCCGAGGTCACTCAGCAGCAGACCTGTAAGTGTTTGCTTCAAGTCAAGCAGGAAGCGACGCTTGTCTTCGTTCACGCTTGCTGATTGCTTTAGCATGACGGTACCCTTTGATGATGATGCAGTGCGAGGACGAATGCTAGTAGCACTCATCGGCGATTGAACTTGAGGCTGGAAAGGCGACCAGAATGTAGTGGCCGAATCAATAGTCAATACGGGGGAAGTTCCTCCGAAGAGATCGTGCACCGTTTGATCGAAGCTTTGCTGAGGCTCATTACGGTTGGCAGCGGATCGCAAACTGCTGTGGCTCGGACGTTGAGCGAAGTCAAGGTTGCGTGATCCAGATCGGCCATGCGTTTCGTATTCCTCGTCACCCGCGATAGACAGTGTGCCAACGCCAGTGAGGAAGAGATCGCCTTTCTGCCGCCCGCTCTCGAGTATCTCTCTGTCCCGTTTGTACAGATCGCCCGCCCATAGAACAGGAGTCTCAATGATGTTCTCACCAACGAGTTTGTTGACACATTTATCAACCTCGAGACAGAAACGATGAATTCTCTCTTCGCCCTTGCAAAAGTTCTCAACGCCATATTGGTTGAGCCACTTCAAAGTGATCTCGGATTGTTCATCTGAGAGCTTGTTAGGCCCACCGAAGTCCTGAGAAGCAGCCATGATGTCGACTAGCATGGCTTCATTCTTGAGCAGAAAGTTGTTCGAGGATGATTTCGAATAGTTTCGAGATCGAGGACCTTGAATAGGCTTGCCGTCTAGCGTCCTGGTTGGTTGACCCATGATCTTGAGAGCCAGCGCGACGCTCCTTGCCTCCTCATAAGGCGCAGAGGTGCGGACATCAGTAACGTACCACATCTTGTCTCGCATGTTCTTGAATCCCATCATCATCTCTTCGATCATGGCATCGGATCTCTCTTGAGACTGCTTAAGCCATACGAACCACGCTTCGAATTCCTCGATAGCGTTTGCTGCTTTGCTAAGCAAGTCGCGGGGTCCGCGTGAAAAGTAATTGAGGAGAGCAGCATATCCGTTCCGCACAAGGGTAGGCGAATTGAGCCTTCGAAGGCTCTGCAATGTCTTGTAGTACATATGCGCATTGACGAAATCTGAGCGTGCTTGACATTGAAACATGGCGGTTTCAAGCATAGTAGCAAGAACCGAGTTGTTCTCTGACTTTTCTGAAATCTGAGGATTGCTGTTGCTTCTCGGAAATTGCGGAGAACGATGCCGTGTGGGAACGTGTCGATGGCTAGCAATCAGGTTGCTAAGCTGGCTCTGGCTCTGGCTTTGACCCTGGGGTTGGTTGTACGGATTGCGCGACCCGAGGTTTTCAACCGTCTGCCGTCCTGTGCCTCTGCCTCGAGCGCTCCTTCGGGTCGTCATGCGGTTGCTGAAGTTCTTGGATTCGCTATCGGGTGCAAGCTCTTTGGGAATCTCATATTCCTCGACAAGCTTTGCGATGGCTTCCTTCAGTTGATGGTAATCACTTTCAAGATCAATCCTGTCGCCAGGACCCTCGTCGTCACTACTATCACTCTCAGGTGAATCATCGTCATGCTCATCTTCGTCGTCAAAGTCCTTGCGCATGCGTGGCTTCAGTTGTTTTCCATCTGCGGAGATGTACAGCACGGCCCATCGCTCGGCGCAAGGGTGGCATGAACCAGATGTAGCGTCAAGGCCCAGAGTGCGAGTCATTTCGGAGCATGCCATTCTCAGACGTTTTCCATACACCTCTGTAGGTGCGACCTTGGCCTCAAGATGGTTCTCTACAAGAGATGGGTTGTGACGATCAAGAGACTTGACGATGCCATCCAGGAGGGGCTCACGGGAAGCAGTGTCGCTTGTCATTGAGGACGCACTGGCACTGAGTATGGAGCTTGCATCGCCCGCTGTGGCAGACGTACTACGAAACTGCATAGACATGGCAGATACCGAGGACGCTGACGATGCTAGGCCAGCCCGGCGTTGGTTGTCCTTGTCAAGATGGCTAGATGAGGGTCGACGCTCGGGGAACAGCGTCTCGACCAGAGTGATGATGTCAGATGGAGAGAGCACAATGAAGGGCTGCACTTCCACAGTCTCTCGTGGAGAGGTGATGGCCTTTGCAGGCAAGAGAATCGGCTTCGTATGAGTCTTCGTGTGCTTGAACCTGGCCAGGATGTTCTCGATGTGAGTGCGGATCTCAGGAAGAACAGGTACTTGCTGACGCCTAGCACACGTGTTAGCTGCGTAAGGGAGCGGGGACTAACAATAGAGTCTCACCAATTGTAGGTCATATCCAGGACATGTTTTTGCGCTCGAATCGCAATTTCTTTGAGGATCTTTTGGCGGGCGTGTTCGCTGATATGGTGACCGATCATGATACCGTGGGTCTGTAGCAAGTTAGCAAATTATCGTAGGGCGTGTTGGACGAGACTTGCCTCTGGATGAATGATCGCGTTCAGCAGAAAGGTGGAGAACAGCCAGCGGGAAACAAAGAAATTCTGTGACGCTTTTCGGGGACCCTTCTCTTCCTCAAGTTTTCGGAGGATAGCGTTGCCAATCTCTAGCACGCCTTCTGGGATGCCTCCAGCGCTGGGCTCGTCATCGACGACCTCGAAAAGGCGTTTGACGGCCTTGTCAAAGAACTCATCAGCTGCAATAGTGTCCTTTGTGTTTCGGGCTATGGGCTGACTGCCTTGCCGTGCAGACTGCTCCTCGGCTTTTTCGAGCAGAAATTGGCCGTCTTGCAGAGACTGCATCAGATACAGCTCCAGATGGGCCTTTCCTGGCCATTCTCGCATGCCGGCCCAGACATCGAGAACCGTTTTGATGAACTTCTCAGACCCTGGTTTCAAGTCCTTGATAAGGCGAGTGCAGGTTGTGGCCCACACATCAGTGCGGCGAAGATCCTCGGCAGAGTCGGGGCCGGACGAGTTAGCGAAGATGGTGTAGATGAGGGCCGCCAGAGGGTCGTGTCGCTGGAACGACAAGAGACGCTCAATGGGGCTTGGGCCTTGCTGATTGGGCTTCTGGGGGCCGGCGTTCTTGCCACGGGCTATTACCGAGTCGATGGGGTCCAAGGCCTGGCGGAACGAGGAGAGGGTGGCGAGCTCCTGCGGGGAAAGAATGGAGACGCGAGTAGCCAGGAAATCAGGATTGGTGCGGACCTCGGAGATGAACTCCAAGAGGTCGTTCAGCGTCTGGGAGGGCACTTCGTTGAGGAAGGACGAGAAGGTGAGGGGCTTGTCGCTCTTGCTGCTCTTGGACTTGCCAAACTCCAGGTCTGGCTCGAGTAGGGCGTACTGGTGGGTTGCGTCGCACGAGTTGCGGACGTCGTGGAGGGCGTTGTACAGCGAGGCAAACGCCTTCTTGTCGTCGGACCTGAAGCTGTCGACCAGGGTGCGGTAGGCGAGCTCTCCGCAGTGCACCAGGCGCGCGGACAGAGCGCTCGAGACCAGCCAGCGGTGCAGGCGGACGCGCGAGTGGGCCTTGCGCTGCTCCTGGTAGCGCAGCTGGCGGTTCAGGTGGGCAAACTCCGCGAGCGACGTGGCGGAGGTGGCGATGGTGGCCGAGGGCAGGTACGAGTCCGAGTACGAGGAGAGGTCGGCGGGCAGCAGTCGGGGCAGGCGGCCGGCGGGGGCAGACATGGACGAGGGCGGGATCTGAGGGCGCAGCCTCTCGACCGGGCCGTCGTGAGCGCGACTCCCCATCATGGCTGGCGGCGGCTGCTTGGAGGGAGGTGAGGGCGACCTGGGCGGAGCCTCTGCAGGCGGGTCGGTGGTGTGCGAGGGCGTGAGGCTCCTGGACGACGACACATGGGGAGCGGCGGAAGATAGGGCTGGTGGACGGTTAGTATTAGTTTGCGTGACAGCTCATCGTACAGAGCAGCGCATGTCGATCCGGGCCGAGCCTGCTGCTCCAGAAGGGACGCGCTGCGACGGGGCCACACGTACGAGGAGGGGCCATGGCCGTGGCCTGTGCCTGTGCCTGTGCCTGTGTCGGTGTCGAAGTCGGTGTCGGTGTCAGTGTCAGTGTCAGTGCCTGAGCGGCGGGCGAGGCCGAGTGTTGGGTGCGTCGCATCGCGGTGCTGTCGCCATGAGGGCGGGCCCCGTCTGAGGGCTCCTGATGCGCGCTCCCCATCTCCAGATGCAGCGCTGGTGCTTGGGAGACGGCCGGCTGCTTTGGGCGCGACTCCTCCCAGCCCGGCGTCGACGCGGTGCGCTGGCAACGCAGCCTCTGGCCTGTTTCGCTATCGATACGGCGCCAGGCCCTCTGATTTGCCCGCTCGAGTCACGTCTCAACGGGCGCTGACCAAGATCCGGGACGCGAGACGCCTGCCTGCTGCAGCTGCAAGAGCAGACGATGCCATGGCTGCAACGTGTTGCTCTCCGCTGGTGGCCGCTGCAGACCGCCTGCCTGCCCGTCTGTCTGTTCTGCTCGCGTCCTGTCCTGTCCAGTCCAGTCCTGTGCTGTCCTGGCTGGCTGGCAGCACCGCCCGCACCACCAGCACATCCCGTGCCACGCGAGACGAACCACGACGCCCAGCCCTCCGTCTTCGCATGCCCAACCCTCAAACACAACCCAACGCAGCAGACGCTCCCTCTCGCAGTCTCCGCCAGTCGTCGGTGCAGATGCGTCTGGTCGGCAAGTGATTGACAGCAGTGTCTGCATATGCGATATGCGCGGAGCTGCCAACACATCAAGCGCAGTGCAGGGGCGATCCAGTCCAGTCCGCTGAGAAACACCTGTCCGCCTGCAACACTCGACTGGCTCGTCCCCACTTCCTCTCAGCCTGCAGATGCTCGCCACGGCTTGGGACCTTTCGTAGGCACCCGCGCTACCACCTACCTGCCCATCCTCAAGCGTCTTTGGCAGCAGGCGAAATACGGAACAGCACATGCACCTGTCGCCCCGCCCCCCACGAGTTGCACGTTTCAGACCGCTAGTTCCTCAATCCTCATCCCTACTACTATACGAGCATGACATGTCTGACGGGCGTCGACACAGCTATCGTGCGTATAGGCCTACAATGCCGTGACAAACTACATCGCGAAACCCCAAATGTGCACTAGAGCCTACTCTCCCCCGAGCTCATCGACTCCCTGAGCAAAGGCGCAACCCGCTTCCGACTGTGCTGTACCTGCCGTTGCCACCAGACCCGCATCCACTGCCCTTTGCCATGGTTCCCATTCACCACGTCGCCTGACTCATGCCACTCCTCAAGTCCCAGCTCGTCCCTTGAAGTTGACACGAATGCCTTCGCAGCTGCTACTGCCCCGTCGTTAAACGCCCAAAGAAGAAGCTCCCGTTGAAATTCCCCACCCGACGACGTCGATGTAGTCATCACACTGTACAAGTCCAGCTCGCGCTCACTCGCAAACAACTCCAATTCGTCCAAGAAAGCAGCATAAGGAGGCTGCGTGTTGGTTTCAGAACCCGCCTTCGCCTGCAGAAACTCAATAGGTTTAACCACTGAGCTAATACCGAGCTTCTGCCCGCCTTGATCCCATTGTTTATAGTCCTTTCGGAGTATGTCTCGTAGTGCCAACGCGCCAATATTTCTCTTCGCTGTATCGATTTCGTTGTAGAAGCTGGCTCGATCAAAGCTTGCTGATAGCTGAGAACAAGCCATGATCTTAGCCTCGAGGTACTCGACAGCTCTGACGTCGTGCTCGGTCGTTTTGCTTTGGTCTTGGAGATTCGCTGTATCGATCAGAATACTCGCCAATCCCAGTTGGGCGACACTTGCATCCCAGCGCTTGACAACGGTATCGTCGTCGGAGAAATTGTCTCCTTGGGCGTGCGTAGCGCCTGCGGACGACGCAGACCCGCTCAGCATGTCCCATGCTGCTCGACAGTAATTCGTGGTCAGACTAGTGCAGCTACCACTCTTTTCAATAATGCGGGGCTCGTTGTCTGCTTCTTTGGGTACCGTCCCTTCATCGTCATGGTGGTCAATGACGCCTCTCACGCGGTCTGAGTAGATTTTGCCTAGCTGACCTTGAAGCGTGTTGTGGTCGACAAGGATCCAAGCCGTGTTCTCCGGACGAAGTTTGGATTGTATATCAGATGTAGCTGGAAGATCATCAAGTGTTATCAAATGTTCAGGCTCTACATTGGCATGCTGGAACACGGCCAGGAATTCAGGTCGTAGTTGAATGTCAGAGGCTGGAATATTCGTTATTGGCACGTAGAGCGGCGTAAAAGCATTTTTTGGCGGTGACATTGATCGAACATATGCGTATAGGACTGCACATGCCATAGAATCAAGGTCTGACTGTTCATTAATATCCGACAATTCAAGTTCGTGTACTTTCTCTCACCAGCAGATTCATTGCCAATGACGAAAGTGATCTTCTGGTTGGAACCAACAGCAGCGCGCAAAGCGCCTCTGGCCTGAGTAAGAAAGCCACGCAGCGAGGTCCTCGAGACTGCCATATTTGTTCCAGGCGGTGAGCAACACAGAGAAAGTTGACTGGCTGTAGATGGGGATGCAGCACATGTCATCGCGCCTGGATATCAATGGATGGAGTGCTCGGACCACAACACGTGCACATACAAGCATCTGCTTCTACTTCTTGAGAACTGACAGCTGTGACATATGAGTAGGGCGGAAAACATCTGTGAAACTTATCGTACTCAATGAGACGCAGGATATGTTTGATCATAGCTATCGTAACATTCAAACTGAGCATACAAACATCATAACGATGACGATCAGGCGAAATATAAATGGATGCATATACATCTCATGTAGTACTCTTAATCACCTATCTCTTGGTTGCGAATACTATTTCTAGAGTTTGAGAAAGCAATCGCCCAACGCTAGTTCGTAACAATGCAAGGCTCAACTCAACTCAACGCTACCAGCTGGCACACCCCTCATACTCCGCAACCGGCGAGCGAGGAACTGCATAATCGGCAGCATTTCGTCTCGACTACTCGGCATGCCATCACCAACCTTTTTCCACTCTTTGATCTCGATGAACTCGAATGCATCCTTGAGTTTCGAAATTGCGCTGTCGGTAACCGCCGATTGTCTTGATGCCTTACAAACAAGCACAGGCGTTTTTCTTTTCCCTTCTAAAGCCTTCAAGGGCAGTGACAGAGACAACGTGCCGCCAATACTGATAACTCCACCGAGTTCATCACTGCCAATCTCTGCAGCGGCTTGCAGCGCGACCATCGCACCTTGGGCAAAGCCGAAGATTATGATCTCGCGTGCCTTATAGCCACACTTGTTTATGAGTCCCTCGCGGATGATTTTGTCAAGCAACAGGCGCGTTGCCGCCTTGAAACCAGTGTCTACGTCCATGTCGCCGGTATTTTGATCGAAGATGAGGTCGTCACCCCAGTGGAAGCCGCCAAGATCGAATGGCAGAGGAGTCGGGGCTTGCAGAGCAATGCATGCTGCCTCTGGAAGATTCAATTGCTGTCCCAGTTTGGTGAAGGATGCATTGGTATCTCCTAGACCATGGAGGAGAATCAGGACGTTGGTTGGCGGCTGCGAAGCGGGTGCTGTGCATGTGAGCGGACGTGAGTTACAATCTTATTAGGAGCATACGGGGTGTGATGCTGAGATTGGCGGACGTGGGGAAGTCGCTCTTTGTGGGAAGATGACCTGGCATGGCTGTTGAGCGCGGGGACGCTGGGACGCGTACGTTGAGGAGAATAGTTGGTTCTGACGTCTGTAGTGGGGCCATAGTTGCGATCACGGAAGATCGTATCGCGAGCCTACGAAACGTCTGTCTCCATGTCAATGCGGAACTTGATATGGTGAGATATGAACATGCTCTTCACAGTGTATAGGATGGGTTATCTAATTAATCATTATTGCTCATTCACAACGGTACATGCGCGTCCTTCGTGTTCAGCCAACATATGGCTGTAGCCACACTGTCAAAGGAGTTAAGGAGTCGGAAATAAGCTAAGTTAAGCTTCGAAACGAAAGCTTGGTTTACTTGGCCTCTTCGTAATGCTAGACGGAATGCGGTCCGCGTCTAACGTACAACACATGCGCTAAGACTCGATTCGAGGCAATTAGACGTTTCTTGTTGCGAGAAGCCCACAAAACCACCCACCGGTGGCATCATACGCCCCCCAAGCTACGTAAGGGCAGGGGCCAGTACCATAGCTGAGCCCCGGATGGCTGACTGGCTAGAAGCAACAAGGGGCATTGCGGGCATGCTTGAGTTGATTAGTCCATGGCAGAAGATGCAGTGGAGCTTGGTTAGGAATGACGAAAGATATGGTCCAGAGCGGGCGGGGAAGCTTTAACATCGTATAAAGCCGCGTTCAGGTCCTCCACCGAATGCAATCATCCCATCTTCACAAAACGCAACCTATACACACTCAAAACGTCACCTTTTTTATAATCCCCTTACAACACATTCATCATGGGTTTCTTTGGTGAGTTACTTACATGAGCTTGGAGCTCCGCAAATTACTGTAGTTCCGAAGACTGACTTGCTTGTGTATAGACAGGCACGAGGAGAACTACCAGCAGGTCTACGAGAACGACAACTTCGACGAGAACAAGGCCAGCCTCGGACATGAGGTGATTGCCGGTGGAGCTGCCTTTGCTGGCTTCAAGGCTTTCGAAGATCATCAACGCAGTGAAGGTTCGTTGCCAAGTCCAAGTCACGTGTGGACCCAAACTGACAACACCACCACCAGGCAAGCCCGTATCCCACGCCTTTGCTAAGGAGCTGCTCGCAGGCTTCGCAACCGCAGAAGTCGATAGGCTTGCCGAGACTAAGGGCGAGGACTGGTTTGACCGAGAGAAAGCTAAGAGGGACGCCAAAAGCCAGGCAGAACAAATGTACGACGAGCACTACGTAAACAACCAGGGTGCTGATCAGTACGATCCTAACCAATACGAACGCCCCCAACAATTCGAAAGGCGCGGATGGTGAGCGGTTATAGGCATAATATTGCTATAGGAAGACCATGATCCGGCACTTCAAGCCCTTGATCAATAGCCAATAGAAACGTGTCATAGCAGAGCATCTCACCAACATCAACCTTCAACGTGCATTGAGGTGGGGCTAAACGCCCCTGGATCTTGAGATAATGACTGACCAAGAAGATTAACATTTCAAGAAAACACCTAATGAATAGCTGACTGAAAACAAAAGATGCAAGAATGAATCCTTGACACACACGCAAACCCTGACCTCTGCAATCCCAATTCTTCGAATGATCTCCAGTCTTCGAACGATCTCCAGCCTTCGCATGATATCAAATGTTCGCATAAGTCCAAATGTTCGCATAATTCCAAATCTTCGCATAATTCCAAGACTCTGCCCAATTTCGGTCTTCCCATATCCTCAGTATTACCGTGTTCCCAGTGTTTGCATGTTCGCAATCTTCGCATGGTTGCAGTCTTCGCATGTTTGCAGTCTTCGCATGTTTGCACTCGTACAAACCCCAGTCTTCACCCACCCTTGGAAGTGCTTCATGCGAATGGAAGCTTGCGAGCGGCCTCCATCTTTGCACCAAAAACACTCCACTTAGCGTCAGTCTTGTCGAGTTGATACTGGATCTGGGTGTCGATAGCTTCATCCCACTTCCTCGCGTAAACTCCAATCCAGGTGCCGTTGCCGAAGCTGCTAGGATTGAGGATCCATGCAGTGAGCATGTGGAAGGTGACGCGGATGTAGTTGTTGCGACGGTACTCGTCGAACTTCGAACGATCATACTCGAACGGAGACGGATGAGGGTTAGTCCACTCAGCACATTCAGCTAGATGCACGCCATACTGCCCAAGCCAGCAGCCTAGATGATCTTCGGGGATGGTGAAGCCCAGAACAATCCTACGATGCAGAGCAACCACCGCCCAAAGGAAAACGGATTCGCCTAAAGCCTTGAACCTGGTCATCGGAAAACCAACACGCTGGCCGATTGACACAACGTCCATCCTGTGTTTAATCAGCAAATGCTTTCCACGATGATTAAATCTTTGTAAGTCACTTACTTTCCGCTGAATTCGACAAACCACGGATGCTTTCGGTTGACAGCAATTGGAGTCAATGAGAACCATAACACGTCTCGCTTGGTCTTGGTTGCCATGCTGGTCACCATGGGCAAGCATCCCAGGATGAGAGGCTGGTATTGTGCCTGCGGTCCAGTAGACCACCTTGCCAAAATTGGAGGTCGATTGTGAGTATCCCACGAGCGATTCCAATCGATGCCTTCTTTGCTCACTACCGGACTCACTATCACCAAGCTGAATTTCATGTTTATCTCGCGTAGTGTGAGAGCACAATCAGTCTCGCCATCGAAGACCATGGTGTCTCGATCGGCGGGATGATAAAGCGTGTGGTGTTGGGCTGGCCCGTGTTTCTTTGGGTTCTTTTTGAGAAGAGTGTGAAGTTGTCTGATGTCTGCTTCTTGAATAAGCTTGTTGTTGTTGCTTACCTTGTAGTAGCGGAGTGCATCAGTCAACGCGCCCTGCCAGCTGCTGAAGTAGTTCCACTTCCACTGGTTTGACTTGTACACAAGCGGTGGTTGGAAGAACCCGCGGCATGTTTGCCGGACGTCGTCAAACTCGTTCTCGATGATTGGATTGGGGTTCACCTGAAGACCAGCTGGAGACAAGGGATGGTTGAAAGAGAAGTTGGCGCCGGGTACTGACATATTCGTATATTTCTGTGTCTGTTGATTGACAGTCTTCTTTGTAGTCGGATCCTGCCAGCTCCTTCTGAAACGCTCAACGCGATAATTGGGAGGCGGTGGTCCATGATCACGGTAGGCTTGAGCGTGGTTGTCCACTGCAGTCCCTGCCAACACACTGCCTACTATCTGCGGATTCTCGGTCGGAATGTAGATTACCATGATATGGTGCTGAGGTGTGCCGATTTCCGAATGCACAAAAGGGTAACAGTGATGTTGTTCAGAGATTCGCTGGATCGTAGACCTGAGGAAGGGTTTGGAAGTGGAATCAGGAGTGAGGTATCTGCGAGTGAGATCAGCGATTGTATGGCAAATTCGAAGAGGTGTGAATTTGTCTTACCACTACTTGCTTTCACACGCCCAATGTTGCGCGTGGAAACTACAGCGGGGTAGTGCAACGACCTCCGCCGTGTAAGATTGAGAAGCGTTAGACGAGATTGGTGGCGGAGTGTCAGAAGGGAGGGCTAGAGACCGATCGAGATTGAGCGTCTTCAATGGCAGGCAAGAGATGGGGGTGTAGTGTTGAATATCAGAAAAGGAAGCCGACCAGAGAGTGTGGAGTTGAGAGGATATTCGGGCTATGAGAAGTAGAGGTGACCGCGTAGAATTGGTATTGAGGGAACTTTATATATGAGAGGCTGCCTACAAGAGCGTTTGCACTCTGTGTCGGCTGACTGCAAGTTCTCTCTCACCTTCCACGGATTGCTTGGTGTGGGCCCGTCTTCCGTGATCTATCACTTGTCAAACGCGTGAAAGCTATCGCATGTGATCACGCAATCGCTCCCAAATGGGCATTTTCTTTCGAATTCCAGGCCCTCTTACCTATCAAGTGCGCTCGGATTGGGTCATTCTGGCTTTGCGATGACAGAGCGCGTGTCTGCCTGAAGCTGCACTTTTACTACGTGACCACATTTTCACTGCCTTGGCATGCGATAGGGCTGCAATTCTATCCATATAAACCTGCTCGCCCTTCCCTTGAAGTTCCCTCAACGTTCTCAGATACCCCTCAAGGTTCAACTTCCTCTGATACCCCTCAAGATTCAACCTTCTTCATCGGCTTTGGCGGATACGAACAGATCCGTACTTCAGGTATTGCTCCAAAACCCTCTACCTTGGTAGCTTCAAGTAACTGACAACATCCGTGAGCACTATACAAGTGCGCCTGTAGCCGCCTCCATCTCCTCTCCACCCACCCAGTCTTGGTCTCCTCCCCGGTAGGTCTTTCTGTTCTACTCCACTTTGCCATACTTACTCACGTAGCAGCCCGCCGTTGTCGCCTGGCAAATACCACAAGATGCCGCATTTGCCTCCAGGAGCGTCGCGCAACCTGGTATCCGCCATTCCAACGAAACAGTGGATGGACTGGGCAGATGGAAAACCGATCGGCCCTGCCCCCCATACGATACGGCCGACTGAATACGGATGCATGATCAACCGAGACTTCATCGATGACAACGACAAAAACGATATCATTTCGTACAAGAAGGGCATGCAAGGCCATTTTCTTGAGGAGAGATTTAGCAACGTGAACACCAAAGTCGCAAAGATTTACATCAGGGGTGTGACTGATAGCAAGGAATACCCGAATCGATGGGTACCGCGCGCTTTTATCGACGTAGGCCAGCCATGGAAGGCCGATTTCAAAGATTGGAAGGTTGAAGCAAGTCTATTCACGACAATAGTTGATTCTCGCAGGTGGAAGACAGATCGGGAACCTGACAACAGTACTCTCGGAAAGACTGTGACGAAGCTTGTCGCCGCCTTTCGTGCACAGCCACCAGATTATCTTGGTATCAAGCTTTCGGACTTCATCGATCGGTACGGCGGTTCTGCTTCCGTCAGTCAAACTATCATCGACGGTATCAAGGCAGCAGGACTGTATAACATCTTGAACACGCCGAACTTCACGATGCAAGACCTTCTACGCCAATCGAAATGCAAAATTCCTAGCTCTTCGTCTTCGAAAAAAGCCGGAGTTTACGCCAGGTTCCACAAATCAGGCCCAAACGTCACTCACTGGAAGCCTAACACTACGTATGCCTACACTGGCTTCTCGAGAGACTTCGACGAGAGGTTCGACTCGCACCGAGCAAATAAGGCCTTGTATGGCGATCTGACTCGAAATTCCACACAGCTGTCCTCGGTCGCTCTGTGCGTGTTGGACTCAACTCTTGAACATGGATTTTTCTACCTCACTGAGCAGATATTTGTCTGCATATTGGAAACATACAGGGCCATCCTGTCAATCCCATCCTCCGGCAACGCGAACACCATCTCATTTACCTACGCCACTAAATACTTCTTGGACGTATCAAAAGAAGTATTTCGCATCACTGGCTGGTGTGGTGCTGTCAACCGACCATCCTTTGGGATATCTGAGGGCACGAATTACAGCTCACCACTGCTTGAGTACTCTAACATGTCTGACAAGACACTGTTCATCCGTACAGATGCTCAGGTGAGGGACGAATTAACTGGACGCTCAGTTCCCATGGCATTCTTTCGACGTACAAAGATGAATGTCGTCCCTCCCAGTGGCCGAGTTGTCGCCTTCAAGCATCGTGAACCCGAGATAGGAGGATACATCAGTTTCACTCATGAGCCTTGGACAGATGGAGCGGAGGGTCCCATTGCGGGTACGCCATACCAACTCGTCTTCGAAGTTTGCAAGGATGGAACGCCGCATCCCCAGTCATGGTCACGACTCCCTGAGGTTGGTCCATTCAAGAACTGGAACCAAGCACGATCTTGGGCCGTACGAATTGAGTGGGAAAACCCTAAGAATTCGGGAAAGTGGCAATTCACATATCTTCAGGCTGGGCACGTCTCAGGAGGAGGCCTTTTTGCTCTCGCAGATGAGAATGTCCCCGGATCTCTGAAAATATATGCGAAATCCATCCAGTTCCTCCAGTGGCTTTGCAACGCGCCGCCAGCCCATACTCACAACTGGATCAAGAAATACTCGGGAGCCGCCCGCGTGCTACAGGCCGAGTACGACATGATGAAGCAGACAGTCCGCTTCCAAGTGCCTACAGATCAAATCCCGATGATCAGTGGCGCGCGGAAACATGATGACGATATCAAAGCTGAGTTACGGGATCCAAAGCACAAACTCGAAAATGTGGACGGCGAGTTCGGCGCTTTTACGGGCAAGGCCTCTTTCGATAGAAAGAGAGAAAAGTGTGATTTGTGTGTTGTGGTATGGAGGCACAACAAACCACTCCGTAACGGCGCGTGTTTGCGAATCGGTAACAGCAGAGTCTGTGAAAACTGTCGTCATCTTGGTCGGCCGTGCTGCTCGTGGACTAGAGGCACCAAGAAAATGCTTCCGGACATGTCTCAGTTCAGTCCAGAAGAGATCGTAAAAGCGAACGCCATCTGCTCGGCATTGTTTCTGCAGCTCCCGACTAAGATTGCTGGTACACTACAGAACTTCGATAACAAGCTCAGGGCGCTGGACAGCTCTGATGATCTTGTGGACGATGGCGACGAGATTGAGGATGAAGTCGACGTGGAGGATGAGGATGAAGAGGAGATGTAGTTCAGTTTACCCAGCTTTCATCACATGTAAGTTTTCCTATTATTCTCACAGTTTCGCCGGCTCATCTTCTGACTTTCCCATAGCAGGTTTCTACGACAGCGAATGCTTTCTGTGAGACCTGATTCACATTATCAGATTTGCTTTTGGCTTTATTCCTTTTGTTTACATCATTCTTGGGATCAAGATCAACTGCGAAGTCCTCCAGAGTTCGGGCGAAGGCGGACAAGAGTGGGTCACTTGCAAGCAAAGGCGCCATTGAACTCTCGATTGAGTTATCTCTCTACTTTTCTTCCGTCAGATGTTTGGGATTGAGCGAGTACGGTACTACTCATCTCATTGATTTATGCCTTTTCTTCTGGCACGTTATTTCCCTACAGCTATAACATTTTATGATTAGAGTTTCAGGATAGGATAGAATTGGTGTCTTGAGTTAGATTTCGACCGGATTTTCATTTAACACATGGGAAAGGCATACCAAATTTGATCACTGAATGTATTTGACCAAAAATAACAGTCCAAAATATTTAAGCAGAGTCCTCATCCTCCATCTCCTCGTCCTCTCCCTCCTTCTTCTCCTCTTCCTCGTCGTCATCATCGTCGTCCTCGTCATCCTCACTATCCACGACTACGAATCGCGACTACGTACTTGGTTAGCATATCTTGTTCGTTGGACAATAAAACTATTATGCAGTGAGCACCAGATCCCAAGTACGATCCGTTAAGCAACATGATGACCGTGATAACGATTCATGTTGGGCATGAAGTAACTGACACATGCTACCCCTAGCGGGTAATGGCATATACGTTGAGAACGTTGACTGATGACTCGGGTGTTGGAAATCTCCAGATCCAGAATTGGATATGATCATCAAATTCGAACACGAAATTTACTTACTCGACGTTTTTTTGGCGGCATTTTGCCGCGGCGGCCGCGTTTCTGCGGGCGAGGAGCCCGAGGCGTCGCCTGCCTGACGGCACCTACATCAAAATTGTCAGCAAGTATTACGCCTAAGTCTTGGTGTCCGATCAGCTCATATCAGCCGTGTGCGCATACAAGCAACGCTTATGGTTGGGATTGGTGTAATGCTTCAACTGCCTCTTGACGCCGTATTGGATGAGATGTGCTCAAACATCTAGCTATCACTTACCTTCTCCTTCTTCTCCTTCTCCTTCTTCTTCTCCTTCTTCGGCGGCGGCGGCGGCGGCGACCTCGTCGACTGGCGGCGCGCCAGCAGTGTCTTCGACGGCGGCTATATGCTGTTGGTCATTGCTTCACTTGCGGTGCACCGAGTATCGACACTCAACGTACGATCTTGATGGTGAACAACTTCTACACAGCAATCTCACATTAGCATAAGCACTCTTCCAAACGTTTGAAGGTGTATTGCGGCCGGTGGACTCGAAGCTCTCTCGGTCGTCAGTGAACACTACCTCCCACATGCTATGCTACCAATGGGCTAGATTCTCGGCCCAGCATAGCCGTGTGTATAGTGCAGCTGGAAATTGTATAACGCTGGATTGGGAAGGGAATCTGTGTAAGGTAGACAGCTAGAGACTCACTCCACGACATGTTGTCAGGCTCGGGCGTGAGCCCACTGCGCCACGCCGGGGCGGTGACTTCGACGCCGGAGCGCACGACACTGGTAAAGTAACTACATCACGTTAAATACGCTTTTCGTGTACATTGGACAGCATCACTCACCTCATTTTGTTTGTTACAGAAATGAGGCGAGGAAGATGCATGGCGATATTTGAAACCGCCCACACGTGGCGCGCTACTTCAGACGGAAGGCACCATGGAGGAAGGCACGACGAGGCGACCTCGATATGCGGCACAAGACGCACAACCCTCGTCGATACATCAACTCTCTGATGCAAAGATGCATGGATATACTGGGGCCGGTGCCCCAGATCGTTCACATTCTCACAGTGTGGGTAGCTGTTGTCTGGTCAGCGTGTGCATCTATAGTATAACAGCATAGCTCGATGATCAAGGCGCGACGCTTGACTGTCCACTCACTCACCAACAGCAGAAGCGGATACCGCTGTTCTACACCTCATACCTACATCTTAGTAGCCTATGTTGCTGGAAACCCACATCACTGACGCCTATCTTGTTCCTTCACCCATGTTGTTGCACAACCAATATGCCACGGCACCAGTGGTAGGCTCGATATTGCGCGCACGCCTGTTCACTGATCCATTCGATTCCCACGGCAATCCTCTTGAGTGCCAGCTTCTCGCATATTTCCATCTCTTTCAGAGCACTTCCGGTACCACTCACCTCAGAACGGAAGGGACAGCACTATATAGCATCGAGTTCGCCCCAATTTTAGACCTCTACTGCAGGATTAAGGAAAAGTGACTTCGTAGGCGAGATACCTGTACTCAAAGACCAATTGGTTTATCAAAGCAACTGTTCTATCAAGAAGTAACTCTCGGTTGGTTATAAAAGGAAAAAGTAAGATGTGTTCTTTGTAATTCCTACAATCCATGCTGATGAAAATACACCAAGGTACATGCCAGGCATATCGCGCTGGGAATTGAGGCATACAAGTCTTACACTAGTCTCAGATGTAGTTGTCAGGCTGTTGCAAAGGGTTCGTTGCACCTTAGGTCCTAGTATTTCGAATCATCAAGAAGCAGATAGAGCAAGACTTCGATCTGAATACTTGGCTTTTACACACCATGCCACGGTCTGATGAATCTTGAACGTATGATCGAGTGTGCATGAGATATGAGGTGCCAGTGACGTGGTGCTGTATAACAGGGAGGGACGTTACGCTGGGCATAGCTAGGTGACAGGGGTTAAGCGAGTCAGTCTTTGAATCTTGTGCTTGGCCATATCCCCTAACCAGCCCGCCGCACCGCAAGAGTCGTGTTGCGTCTCGAGGTGGCCCTACGAAAAGGCCGTTTCCGTCCGCCAGCATGAAGTTTGCGAAGTAGCAGACCCCGCGTCCCGTCGTCGCCTGACCGTGTGCTGACTCAGCCAGGGAACTCGAACGCGACCAGATCCCCGAGTGGCGGGCCAAATACCTCGACTACAAGGGCGGCAAGAAGAAGCTCAAGGCCATCGACCGCGCCCTCCGCAACGTGAGCCAGACGCCGCGACTGCGACGCCACGGCACCAACATCCTGCCGTCGCCCTTTGACGCCGCGCCCAAGTATGCCTTCCTCAACCGCGACAACCTGGGGCGCGACACGACGAGCATGGCACGGGACCCGGACGACCTGAGGGCCCTCGCCATCACCAACAGCCGCAATAGCGCCCACGAGAGATCCAACGGCAGCCGTGCTGCGCGCACGCCCGAGGAGGAGCCCTTGACGCGGGCAGCTACGCGCACAGGCTACGGCAGCATCACGGGCGGACGGCCGCCGTCGCTGCAGCTGCCCGGCGCGGCGCTGGACCCCGACGACGCCTCCCCACGCAAGCAGAAGCAGCGGACGGTGCAGCTGCCCGAGTCGGCGCTCGAGACGGACAATGCCTTCGAGGTGGGCAAGACGAGGTCGCCGCAGAAGCCGCATGCCTCGCTGCCTGCCCGGTACAAGAGCATCTTCAGCCCTAAGCGCATGAACTCGATGCCCGGCCCGACGGTCGAGTCGAACCCCCGGCCCTCGATCAGGCGCATCTTCTCCATGGGCAACAAGTCCCCGCCGCCCAGCCCTGGTGACGTGCCTCTCGAAGCCTACCGGGAACTCGATTTCCGCCAAGCCGAGTTCTTCGGCTTCCTCGACCTCGAGCTGGAGAAGGTCGAGTCCTTCTACAAGGAAAAAGAAACCGAAGCGACGCACCGTCTCGACGTCCTGCGTGACCAGCTGCACATCATGCGCGACCGCCGTCTCGACGAGCTCATCAGACGACAGACCGCGAAGATGAAGGCCAAGTCAGTCAAGAAACATGTTGTCCATGGCCAGCAACTGCACGGCCACACACACAGTCCGGGCGACGAAACGCCTCGAGACAACAAAGCGAACGGCGACGCCCTGAGCGCTTCGTGGCTGACTCCACTAGACGCTGCATTGGAGGCCATCAGCGCTGGCAAATATGGCAACAGCACCAAGAACATGACACAGCTCGCCTCTCCATCTGGCCTCCAGCCCAATCAGCACCCCGATGACCGCCGCGATTACGTTCGTCGTCCTGATCTGCCCGATGTCCCCTACCAGGCGGCTAAGAGGAAGCTCAAGGTTGCCTTGCAAGAGTACTACCGCGGACTTGAGCTCCTCAAATCATATGCATTGCTAAACCGAACCGCTTTCCGCAAGATCAACAAGAAGTATGACAAAACTGTCAATGCCCGGCCCTCTATGCGGTATATGTCCGAAAAGGTCAATCAAGCATGGTTTGTCAACAGCGACGTTATTGAGGGACACATCCGCCAGGCCGAGGATTTGTACGCAAGATACTTCGAACGGGGTAACCACAAAGTCGCCGTAGGAAAACTCCGCATCAAGGTCGCGCGAGCTGGTGACTACACTGACAACACATTCCGAAACGGACTGTTGTTGTCTGCTGGTACTATTCTTGGTCTACAGGGTCTGATCAAGGCTACCAGTATAGCCGATCTGCGTAATACAGACAACAGCATCCTCTCTATGAAGACGAGCTATCTCTTGCAGGTCAGTGCAACGACCAACATTACGCCCTGTTTCAAGCTAATTGTATCTAGATATACGCTGGATATTTTCTGATCAATTTCCTACTTCTCCTGTTCTGCTTGGCGTGTCGGGTGTGGCACGAGGCCAAGATCAACTACGTCTTCATCTTCGAATACGATACCCGCCATTATCTGGACTGGAGGCAGCTTGCCGAGGTGAGTGCACAAGCGCCAAGCCCATCGTTCACCTATTTACAACTTACAGCTTCCATGTTGGTATCTCTTCTTTCTTGGTCTATGCATGATGATCAACTTCCACCAAGTTGGGGGTGATACCCTCTACATATACTACCCTGTCATTCTTCTGGGCATATCCGTCATCGTCCTATTTAATCCGTTCAAGATCTTTTACTATAGAAGTCGAATGTGGCTTTTGTATTCTCTGGTATGTCTTATCACTTGATCATTCGCCGCTCTGCTAATCCCTCCAGTGGCGCTTGCTATTAGCGGGGTTGTATCCAGTCGAGTGGCGTGATTTCTACATGGGCGATATGTTCTGTTCCCTTACGTATAGCATGGGTGTGAGTTATATCCAATCTCATTCAACATCTGGAAGCTGACTTCGCGCAGAATATCGCGCTGTTTTCCTGCTTATATGCGCAAGGCTGGAGCAACCCCGGTCAATGCAACTCCTCGCATTCGCGCGTTCTAGGTTTCGTGGCTGCTCTTCCTGGCGTATGGCGCGCTTTGCAGTGCATTCGGCGCTATTGGGACACGGGCAACAAGTTTCCTCATCTTCTCAACTGTGGCAAATACATCGCCACCATTCTGTTCTACATGACTTTGAGCATCTACCGTCTTGACAAGACCCCGCCGAAGCGAGCGGCATTCATCACTTTTGCCATCGTAAACAGTGTTTACACCAGCTTCTGGGATATATACTACGACTGGAGTCTTGGGGACCCGCGTGCCAAACACCCCTTTCTTCGCAAAGAGCTGGGATACAAAAAGATTTGGATGTACTACTTGGCCATATTTGTCGATCCTATCTTACGTTTCAATTGGATTCCATACGCCGTAGTACCGCTCCAGCTGCAACATTCGGCTGTCACATCTTTTTGTGTGTCGATCAGCGAAATATGCAGGAGAGGAATGTGGTCACTTTTCCGGGTGGAAAACGAACACTGCACTAACGTGGGTCGGTTCCGAGCTAGTAGAGACGTACCGCTTCCATATCACGTTCCTTCCAGCCCCGAAGTCGTGGGTACAACCAAGCGCAATCGCACAGCCGACGAGGAGCAGTCCGTTCAGACGCCTGCAGCCTCGGCGCTCGGCGCGCATGCCAATTATGGCTCTACAACAAGTGCGGACGTTGACCGCGTCAATTCCCCTGCACGACAGCGACGCGGCTACCAGAATGGAGTTCGGCCGTCGCCTCTACAACGCGTTTTTACTCATGTCGGGGATATTCTTCGCGTCGCTCACGCGCAAGATTTTGAGCGCAAGCGCAAACCTGAGCTTGGTCGTGACCCGAGAGATGCCAAGGATGAGGAAGAAGAATCGGACGAAGAATCCGATAATGAAGAGGCTCAAGCAAGCGGAACGGCTAGCCGAGGTGCAGACAGTGAGGAGGAGGTTGCAGATGATGAGGAAGAGAGCGCGTTGAGTAGAATCAGGGAGGACCTTGCAGTAGGAAGAGCCAGTATAGCAATCGACCAGGAAAACGAGTAATCCCGTCAGGTAATCTATTGCTGACAACTGTCATTTGTTGCGCATATCGCAAAGATCACTTTCATAGCTTTCTGCCAAGTGCCAACTTTGTGATCCTTACTTGTTCTAAGCTCCAACTCTGCAGAGTTCTTGCCCATTCGCTTCAGTGTCTCTTGTGCAGGATAGTGCTTACACACAGTCTACTGTTAAGCGGTAATAACCATAAAAGATTTTCGTTCTTCCATGCGTTTTGCAGACGACGCAATTTCTCTCTTGGCAAGCGACGTCAGCTGGCCAGCGTACCCAATACCTGCTCAAAGTACACGCGCAACTTCTTATCATGTTTTTATTACGACGAATTTCCGTAACTTACTAGTGTTAATGTTAATGGTATTCCTAGTCACAATCTGGAGGAGGAATGTTCAGTGTTGCCCCATAAATTGCACCACGCAAATGCCAAAAAACAGGTCATCATCTCTTGAGGTGTCATTTACCTTATGCTAGTAGTGTAGAGATTCTTGATGTCCGCTTCTCAGATCTCGGAGAAGTCTCAAAGCCGGAAGTAAACTGGGCGTCTTTCTAATGACAAACACTCAATAAAGGTATCGCAAGAAAATGTACTCTTTGAATAGGTCAGGTGAACACTTGAGCTTCACGATTCTTTGTATGTAATAACCACGCTGTTGCATGATTTTGCTGTGATCTGCATCTGACTTACACACTTGGCAAAGAACCTGGGTAGGCGTGCTCTTTACAGTTTATTTATGTGGTCGAAGATCATGGGCAAGCGTATCCTGTTTATTGCTGAAGTCGTTCGAATTCCACTGGGTTGACACTTACGAACAACGGTCAGATAGGCTCGCGGCCAGGTTTTCAAACAGATATCATAGATCGGCATAGGGTATTGGAAATTTGACATTGTGCTCCAGGTGCTGGCTATTAACTAGAGCATTTTATGATAATATTGGACGCGTTTAAAAAAGTGACAAATCTTCTGGACGATTAACGTAAGGTCATACAATATCAGAGTGATTTTGAAACGCTTCTTAAGCCGATCAAGAAGAAGCATGTTGGTCGGACGGCACGAAACGAGCTAGGACGTCGAACTGCGAATCCTAGGTAGAAGATGAACCGAAGGATGGTATGATATTACTGCATCAAGCCAGTTATGGAGTGGGTAATCAAGGAGTATTCCTTTGGTTGTTAAGCTGACGTACATTTTATCCTGGTTGTAATCGTATTCTGTCCTGGTGCTCATCAATTCCAGGGTTCTTAGGCTTTTAAATCCGTTACTTGGTTATGGACAGTTACACAATTGTTGATAAACAATGCTTCGTCCCTCTTGTTACCTTTAGACTATGGTCAACTGCTTGGTTATTGAAGGCGCTTCTATAACTCTCATCTTACTATACTCAGTGGCTTACGTCTATTTGAAAAGTGTCTCAGGCCAAAAGGGAATCCTATTTCTATATATAATTGACCGGGGACTATTAATTTAAACTAGATCAACGACATGAGTCATCTTCTTTACCTCTGTCAGGTCTGACTTTTCGTCTGAGGCGGTTTCATATTGCTCCGTCAGTCTATACGGTTGATGTCCATCAGGAGACCAAAGCCCGGCGTCGTTCAATCGACTCCTTCGACGGGTCTCCATAGCCTGATCCAAGCTTGTGTCACCCCGATCATCTTCGCAATCACAACCCCTGGGCGATTGCTTACATTTCAGGCTTCGAATGTCTTGTGTTATATAGGCTTCCTTGATGTCCACGTTTTTGATCAGGTCAACGAGCAGGTGCTGGAGGACACGCATGGGAGCGTCGGAATAGGGCTGCTCCTCCAGCCGTCCTTCCAGCATGTTGTCGATCCATTCGCAAAAATATCCCATCGGCTGTTTGAATTGGTCTGCCCACTCTTTGCGAAATTCGTTGAACCCTTTGACTTCAATCCCAAATCCCCCGTCTAGGGCATCATTTAGATCGCCTCTCTTCAAGATCATTCGCTCGCATACCAAGACACGAGCAGCAGGCCAAACCCCAACGTTCCATCCAGCAGGATCGCGACGTCGGTCTAGCTCCTCGTCTATCATATACATCTGTTTCCGCAGCTTCTTCAACTTCGTGTTCTCGGTGAACGACAGATATCCCGTCTGCGTGCGGAGTATGTGCGTAAAAACTAGATACTGCGCAAGGAGGTAGCACGTGTAGATCTTCAAGTCGTCAAGCCCATCAACCTTGGAGAGGTGCTGTCGGCTAATAGGATATTCAACCAGTTCGTAGAGTCGCTGCTGCAAATCGTATGCCGCGACGAGAATCGGCTGGGAGTATTTTTCCGTCAGATCGGCTACGGTTTGGCTATGTTCAGCTTGAAGTTCCAGTCTTTTGACTTTCCGATCGGCGCGCAAGCTGAAGGCAAGGCTGACGAGCGTGCCAAGCAAGCCGATTGCAGCTACCACGATGGGAATAATGAGGTCGGTGTTGGCCATGGTCGGTCAGTTTGATAGGCGTATTAGATATTAGGATGATAATCTCGATTATCTCGAGTACTTTGTGCCAGCTTATCGATCTGTAGGAAAGGTTGTTGCTGAAAGAAAAGTCCGTATTAAGTCAAATAGAAGATGAATATACCTCCCTAGAAGGGAAGTACTAAATTTATACTAATGGTAAAGCAATGCAGGGACATTAGTGCAACCAAAGTAGCTCACCGCCCGCGCGAATTAGATTTGCATCCAAGCACCACGATGGGACAGTCGACATGGCCAAGCCCGCCTCGACCCTGAAATGGAACGAGCTGAAGATCAAAACGAATTGATCTTCTGAATCAAGCTCAGGGATACTACGGAAACTTTGCGACAGCGAGGCTGAATTACTTGAAGTAGGGCCTGCCTACATGCTACAACTGGTGAGGCCGCTCGATTGGCAGATTTAAGCAAACATCGAGGACACGCAACGTATTTCCATATAGTCGTAGCCTACCACTTTGCTAATCGAGGTGTGTCAGGACTTTCACAAATGACAGAAGCAGGATATTGAGTTAAGCATGGGTGAATTTTGAGGGGGCCACGGCCACTACTCCACAAACTAGGCGAGAATCAGAAAGAGCGCAGCGGGTCGAGAAGGCACCAGTACTAGCGAAGACTACATATCAGCTGGGAGGCTTACCCGCAGTGGCTAAGAGCAGAACCTTGGCGAGACAGCCGAGCCCGTGATCGCCATATAGCCCATTCGAGACTGGGGTTCAGCTTGCCACAATCCACGATAGTTCAGCTTGCCACAATCTACAATAGTTCAGCTTGCTAAAATCTACATTAGTTTAGCTTGCTACAATTTACAATAGTTCAGCTTGCTACAATCTACAATAGTTTAGTTTACTACTATCTATAATACTGTAAAAGTCTGTAACTCTGCAATAGACGATTTGCTAGAACAATATATACCTAGAAAGCTATAAACACAAATCTAAAAATAAGTATACAAACTAAAAAAAATAAATAATAACTCTAATAGACTTCTATTTAAACTACGCTAGTAAATAGGCTTAGAGTACCTAATAATAGGTTAGGGTTAGGTTAGAGCTGCACAGACTCTAGGTTAGAGTTAGGTTAGAGTAGTTAAAGCTTAAGGTTATAGTTAGGTAGAGGTAGTCTAAGCTTTAGGTTAGGGTTAGGTTAGAGTAGACTGTACGTTAGGTTAGGTTAGGGTTAGGTTACACAGACTAAGACAGGGGTATAGCTAATTAGGTATATAATAATAGACTATAGTAAAGTTCTCTAATTAGTAGAGCCTACCTAACTACTACCTAAGGTCTGTATAACCCTAACTCTACTCTAACCTAATATTAGTATAAAAAACTTAGGTTAGGTTTAGGGTAGAGTAGACTGTGTATTAGGTATAGGTTAGGTTAGGGTTAAGTTATGCTTATATAAGACCTAACCTCTACCTAACCCTAACCTATTTACTAGCGTAATTTAAAGGAGGTAGTTAAAGTTAAAATTAGAAGATATATTCTATCTAAATTTAAATACTAAGAAATACTATATTTTTTACCTAAAGAAAAAAGACTATAAAGTATTAAAAAGATATAATTAGTTAAATAGATTCTATTTTAGTTTTCTTTTCTTATATAGTACAGTAATATAAATAAAGATAAGAAGAAAGAGGGTATAACTTTAAAGTTAAATAAACTTTATTTAAGAGAAATTATAATAATAAGGAGTTATATATAAAAAGTAAAAAAGTAATTAAATAATAATATAGTAAAAAATAGATTTCTTAACAGGTAGCTTAGAAGTTATTATTCTTACTAAAGATTATTTAAATAAGTCTAAGAGCACTATAAATAGGTATTTATTAAGGTATTAAAGTAGTTCTAAAAGTATAAGCCTTATAGATTTATAGGTACTATTTTATATTAAGTTAAAAAGTATACTTTTACTTCTAGTATAAGTAGATAGAAGAAATATAATAAAAATTTAATATAGTAGCTAAGTATTAAAACTAATACTAAGCTACTTCTTATATAGTTAATATTAGTTAAGGTATATTTTATAAACTAGAATACTAATCCTATTAATCTTAGCTAAAAAGAAATCGTTATAGTGCTATATTTTAAGAACTTTTAAAATAAAGAACTTAACTAGAGATTATATATAAAAGTTTATAATTAAGTTATTTTTAATTAATATTTATAAAATTATATTTAGTAAAGAATACTAATTTTTTAGAATAAATCTAACACTAGCCTAAGCTATAAGCGTAGATTATTACTAGTAAGCTAAGATTTAAGCTTTAGCTAATTTATATAAAGATACTCCTAAAGATTATAGATATTTTATTTTACTATAAATACTAAAAGACTATTCTTTCTAATAGCTTATTCTAAAATATATTTGGATTAAAACTTAAAATATCTTATTAAAAATGTTTTTTAGTAGCTAAAGAGTTAAGATAAGTTAAATTAAATACAGCTTGTATTTATCTTAAGTATATAGACTACCTAATTTATAAATTTTCAAAATCTAAATGTATAGTTTAAGTTTATTACTATTTTTGAAATAGTATTAACTACCTTAATAACCCTTTAAGCTTTACTATAAGCTTAAAAAGAAGCCTCCTATAAGTATTATATTTAAAAACTAAAGTCTTATAATTACTAGAAATTAGCTTAGAAGTATTTATTAGTATAGAATAAAATAAATAGTAAATAGAAGCCTCTAGGTTTTATAGTAGAGCGATTAAAGTAAATAAAATACTAAATATTAATTAATATAATTAGATCTATCTATAAACTAATTCTATATAGTAAAGAGTTCTTTAATCTTTATTTTGTTTTAAAGTATATTAATTAGAGTTATATATCTTAGGACTACCTTAGTAAATATCTTGATTAGGCTTTTCTTTTATATAGTAATTTAAGTTACTATGTTATAATATATTATAGTAGATAGTTTAATATTATATTTAGAATAAGCTATTATCCTAATTATTTTTCTTTTTATAGTATTAAAGTATATAGAGCCTTACTTGAGTTTAATAAATTAAGCTCTAATATTAATAAGCTTTACTTAAAAGCTTTAAGAAAAACTACTAAGAGTAGATAATAGCTTAAGCTCTAGCCTCTAATTACTCTTTGTCTTTTAAATATACTGTATAGACTATATAGGCTATATAAAGAAAGGTAATAGTAATAATAATAGTACTACTAGGGTATAGTCTTAAAGCTAGCTAGAGAATTATTTAGGTAGCTATAATAATAGTATTAGTAAAGCTATAGCTTTGTACTTTATAAAGGTTACTATTATAACTAAGATAGTAAAGAGGAAATATAATCTATACTTATTTCATAAAGTACTTGTTTTTTTTATATAGAACCTTTTATTATTATTCTAGTTTATTAATCTCTTTAGATTATAATAAAAGTATATATAAGTTATCTATAGTTATTCTTTTTATTTGTATAACTATTAGCTTACTATAAGACGCAGCGTAGAAACTCTTAGGCTGTACTAATTATTTTAGGGTTTTAGTATATTAATACTTATTATATAAGTTAATAGACACAATATAGTAAGATTACAGTATAGTGATTTAGTATATAAGCTAATATCTAGCCCCTTTATATACAGTAGATATTAGTAAGAGTATATAATAATAGTTTTAAAAAGTAAATTAACTATCTCTTAGTAATATTTTACTTAATATACTAATATAGACGTATATTTTAGAGACTAGGTAGCTATTAGTTAAAGTTTAGTTAATTTATAAACCTTAGTTTAAATTATAAATTATAGCTAAGTTATAAAAACTCTTTAATTAACTAGTAATTTTAAAACATAATAGGTAGCTTTAAAGAGGGTTTAGGTAATAATAGTTTATATAAGTAAGCTAGTATATAAAGATTTATTATACCTTAAAGCCTTTTAACTTATTTTTTATTTTATCTTAAATTTTATTTTACTATAACTAAGATTATATATTTATAGTATAATACTATTACTAAAGCTTAGATATTTAAGTACTATACTTTATAGTACTTTATTAAGGTATAGATTACTATATATAATTCTAAATACTATAATAGTACTTTAGATATCTATAGTAAGATTTCTAAGGACTAAACTAGATAGTAGAAAAAGATAGAGGGTATTACTTAGTATAATAGTAATATATTTTATAAAAAGAATCTAGATATTTAGCAGTACTTTAAGGTTAATAAAAGGCTTAAGGTAAAGCTTTATAAAGTTAAAGTTTAGCTTCTTCTTATATAAGTCTATAAGGCTAATAGGGTTTTTTTTAATACCTAGCTTTTTTAACTTAACTAGCTTACTACTAAGTAGTATAATAATATTACTTTTACCCTAAATAAGAGCTGCTTTAAGTAAGCTTTTAAAGATATTAAGTTTTATAATTAGAAGATATAATTTGTAAAGGTAATTAGGTAGGTATAGTACCTATATACACTATTAGCAGTATAAGGAGTAACTGTTAGAGCAATAGTAATAGTAATAGTAATAGTAATAGTAATAAGAAGCAGAGGGCTAATAGCTTAGAACTAGATTAAACTTTAGCTAAATAAAAACTAAAAAATAATAAAACACGTGCGTAAAAATATAATAAAGAGATTACATATTAATCCCTATCCTCTAGGGTAGGCTGTACTAATAGAATTGTGTTATTAGTTAGGCATTATTTTAGTGATTAAGAAAGCCAGAATAAGATAAATAGATAGATTAATAAATAAAGATCTTAACCCTTAAGGAGTATAGAACAGTTATATACTAGCTTATCTATAGAAATAATTATTACCTACACTCTCTCTAAAGCTACCCTAGTTATATATTTTAAATTACTAGGTAATTAAAGAGTTTTTATAATATAGCTATACTTTATAAAGTAATCTAAGGTTTATTACCAAACTAAGCTTAATCTAATTAGTAGATAGGCTCTTAAATAAATAAATATACTA